TAGAAACTAACAGTTTTAGTCCAGTAGTCCTTATAATGATAACATATAGCAAACCCTTTAAAAATGGTACCATATTTTCTTGAGTATAGTGCACACTTTTTTTTCAAAACAGCACAGCTGTGTAGAAAGGGGTGCACATTATACACGCCATAATGAGTTTTGATGTTTTTTTCCGCCAAGGGAAAGACATTACCGTGAGCATGTAACACCGTAACACAAATCCATACTGAAGTACGCAAATTAATCATGTAATTACACTGTCTGGCTGTAAAAAGTGTTCTTTGTATATCTGGACTTATGTTTGTAACTTATTTCATTAATTTTATTCCAAATTCCTTAATATTGTTTTAATTTATTTCGGCGAAATCGTGTGTGAAGTGATCGAAAGATTAACAGCAACCACGGTCAGATTACTGCTATTGACACCTTGAAACAAACTTTAGTTGACAGAGAATGGATACATATATCATAAATGCCATACTTTGACTCGTTAAAAGTCATATTTGTTATAGTTTGACGACTCTATGTCAGCATGTAGTTCCTCGATCACGTGCGCGGGAGCCTCGACAGTGACTGGTCAAACTGGTTCAAGTTGAAAAATCATAACCGGCAAAAGCGATCAGCTGCTACGCTTAGGGATATTATTATTTTAAATATATTTAGTAAAAGCTGCAACTAAATTAACAAGATGTTGGAATATATTATACCTGATAAAAAAATAGTTTCAGAAACAATTTTTGCCGATCCTTGCATAAAAATCCTAAATTTCTACCAGTCTTTATGATACCTTAACTATTGGGCAGTTTGGCAGGGACTATAGGATTAGTGCCAATTTCTACCGCTGATGTGGCGGTAGTATATTATCACTTTGTCTTCCTCTTCTGTAATTCCTGCTCTTGAGGCTGTGATATATCACATACACTAATATACTTTTCCTGTGCTGTACTTCTTACAAAATATCTTGTCCTTTTTAAGGAAATGCAGATTTTGCCAAACAAGATGTCAACTCAGAGATTTACCTCGGTCTCAGTCCGTGACTTTAGCCATTAGACAGAAGCCTGAGTCTAGTAAAATTCTGTTCGGTCTAGTAAGCGCAACTAATAATAGTCCACATAATGACTGTTCCTCTGAAAATGATGCTAACAGCCAAGTTCGGGCTGGTTGTCCCAAACGTTTTTGGCACAGACTGAGGTCTGTATATTTGCAAGTCCTTGGGACTTTGTCATGAATTCGTTGGTCCCAGAGTGAACACTGTCCCAACAACCAATACTAACGCTGTGCGTGATTCCATATCAGTAGGGCTGGCTAAAACGATCGATAATCAGAAATATCGTCGATGGGAAGAAATATTAACGATTATCGATATGAAATTGTTGTCATCGATAATAACTCAAATAAGTTAATGTGATGAAATAAAGGTTAGATTTACCGAAACAGACTTGTTATTGTCAATCATGTCAATGGTCAAAGATGGACAGCAACTGTTTTTGTTATATCTCAAATGTCCACAAAGTAATACATTTTCACTGCTCACCATGCTCACCAGTGGAGTTAAATATGTTGATTTCTTTTAGACTTTCTTGCGTATTTGCTAAAAGATACTTCTCCGATATTTATCTCTAAATTGATCGATATTTAGTTAGTGATTATCAATCTCTATACTTATAGCCAGGCACACATTTTAGGGTTCAATATTTCTTGTATTTTAGTGACATTGCAAGGTTAAAATTGCAATGGCTTGATTTACATATGTTCCCAGTGCCTGAAGGGCAATGCATGGATTGTATTTCAGAACAGAAATAGGAGATAAATCAAAGTTAAATGTTTCAAGTTGTGTCACTCCAACATCTGCTCTTTTGCATCCATTGGGACCTGCAGTATTAGAGCTGAGCATCGCCTGGTATCTTGTGAAACGATTTGTATCATAATACGGACTGACGATACTATTGGTATCTAGAAAACCACATCAAATAATAAGAAATGATGAAATCACTGATAAAGCTCGAGATAAGCTGCGTATTTGCATGAAATAGGCATTAAATAAACTTAAATATGCAGACAAATCAAATCCTAGCATATCAAATTCACCATGAAAACTATAAATACGTTATTGAAATACAATTATTGCAGACAGTTATACTACTAATCACATATACAGGGATTGTAATATAACAGGTTTTAAGTAAAATACCGGTACCCAAATGTCAAGAAACAGGTGGGTAAAACAAATTTGAATACCCTCTAAAACTAGAATAACCAAATAACCCAAAGCTTATCTATTTAGTTCTGCACTGAAATAAAGCTCTAAAACCTCTTTCTTCAAGCATTTATTGATTGTAGTGAGTGAGTGTATGGTTTTACGCCGCTTTTAGCAATATTCCAGCAATATCACGGCGGGGGACCCTAGAAATGGGCTTCACACATTGTACCCATGTCGGGAATCAAACCCGGGTCTTCGGCGTGATGAGCGAACGCTTTAGCCACTAGGCTACCCGACCGCCCCTTTATTGATTGTAATCTCAAAAACTTGAACAAAGAACCATAAGCAGAGTGATAAGAACAAAACAGTTTTAAATGAAGGGATGGTTATTAATTGTAACAGTTAGTCGGCACGTCTTCAGTCACCACATTCTAGTAATCTGCCATACTTACTGGTGCCACTTTGCTACTTCTATCGTAATGGGAGGTAACTCTATTGGTTTCTGTTCTATTTATAGAGTAACGCGATCTCACAAACTGACGATTCAAGTATCGTGTGTACCTAAAAGTATCAATGATAATGTAGGTATCGGTGAATTGTTACAGCCCTACGCAGTATATAAAATTGATAGTATTTGCAGGGTTAGAAACTAACAGTTTTGTCCACTAGTCCTTATACTGATAACATATAGCAAAACCCTTAAAATGAGCCAGTTTCTACTAGTCCTTAGGATACCTTTACTATTGGGCAGTTTGGTAATATAAGGACTACAGGACTAGTGCCAATTTCTAAGGCTGAATTGTGTCCATTCTTTATTGTTATGCCTGTATTTTGTGCCTGTTGAAACCATGGTCAACTTGTCCTTGACCTTGTGGTTGCTGAGTCTTCTTCACTCTCCACTCTCCATGTGACATGACCCGTGAAGATTCCGGGGTAGAATAGGTCTTCAGCAACCCATGCTTGCCGTAAAAGGCGACTATGCTTGTCGTAAAAGGTGACTAACGGGATCGGGTGGACAGGCTTGCTGACTTGGTTGATACATGTCATCGATCCCAATTGCGTGGATCGATACTCATGATGTCAATCACTGGATTGTCTGGTCCAGACTCGATTATTTACAGACTGCTGTCATATAGCTGGAATATTGCCGAGTGTGGCGTTAAGAACAAACCAACGAACAAACCATGTGACATAGTAGGTCAGGCTAACATTTAGAGTAGCAGGAATATCAGGCCAATAAATCTACTCCAGATCCTTAATACATGAAAATAGTCCAATTTGTCAATTGCTTTACATAAACTTTAATGACATACATGGTAATATTAGAGCCGAGCTTACACCCCTGACTGGCGCTACACAACAGGCCAGCTATTAAACTCAGCCTAGATATGCCCCAGATCCTATCTCACTCTGCCCATAAAACCATTGCATGTTGCTATTCAGGTAGACAGCACAGCATCAAAGCCTGCCCATAATGTAATTTAGATATCGGGCAGGCTGTTTATGACTAACAGATTTGTAGAGTGATTGTCACGAGAAGGCTGTATATAATTGCTGGGTGTTGATGAAATCAGTGTAAATGGTGCTGGTTTATCAAAACTGGAGCATGTGGTTGAACAAAGTTTGATAATGTCTGTATTACTTTGTCATGGTATTTTATCATCTGTTCCAACATTGAGGTGCCTGTCGTGAAATATTTTTGAATTCTCTCAGTATGTTGGTACTGCAGGTCCAGATAGGTATTTAAGTCTTGACAAAGATGGCAGGATATGGCAGTCAATGTAGAAAAGCATTAACTTGCAGCCTGTTTAGTAATTGACAATGGGAGATGGTGTGTAGATACAGCGTTAGAAATTGGCACTAGTCCTATAGTCCTTGCCAAACAGCCCAATAGGTATCATAAGGACTAGTAGAACTTGCCATTATTTTTTTTTGCTATATGCTATCATTATAAGGATTAGTGGACTAAAACTGTTAGTTTCTATCCCTGAGATAACCAGAGGCTGTGAACTGTAAGTGTTTGTCCTGTTATAACTGACATCCTGTGTCTGCTTGTACTGACATGGTGCCTGGATAGGTTCCAGGATTGTCCATCTTGTGCTGACATGGTGCCTGGATAGGTTCCAGGATTGTCCATCTTGTGCTGACATTGCGCATCGATAGGTTCCAGGATTGTCCAACTTGTGGTTCCAAGTAAACATGCTGAAAACGCCAACTCGTTTCGTATCCCAACTCGACCTACTGGGGCAAGGTAGAGGTTACACACAACCAAATGTTTTCCCATAGACTTCTATAGTGACGCTTTGTTTTCCAGTTCTAATTGTAGTATGTTAAATCATTTATTTATATAGACAGCAACAGTAAAGGAGGTTTTTTAAAAACATTTTACTATCCAAGGTCAGAATTATAAAAAAACACTGCTTTCATAATTATTATTATTTTTTTTTTTTATGTCATCTTTTAATCAGAGGATTTGTAATCAAATTTAACAAAATGTCTAGTCTTACTATTCAACTGTTTGACTGGCATTTTAAAAGTTGGCAAATAATTACGAAAAACATACAACTTTATAAATAACAACTTCTTCATCGTTATCAAGCTGGAGTGAAAACAACCACTCCAGCTTGATAACGGTGTAAAAATCTACATCAAAACATCGCTACATGCAATGAACCAGAAGTTGTTATCCATAAAGTACATTTTTCTTAATTCTTAACTTAATATCCAAAACTGGCTACTCACCCCTACCCTCATGACCTGGTTGTCAGCCTCCCTGGTAATCTGTGTGTGTCTATTGCAGGCAGCAGAAGAACCCTGGCATCCCTCTGTGTGTGGTGGAGCTAACATGGCCATCGCTGCTGTCTCCTGCCTATCATGAGTGTCAACCAGGATACCTCAGGATACATTGTTGACAAGAAACAGGGTAAAATACACACGCAGAACGCCGACCTACTCTCACTGCTTACAGAAAACTCCAGTGACAGTTTGATCAGTAAGGCTGATCTCATAGACACGCAACGATCTGACAGAAGCCACAGGAGCAGCAAAACTCCCTTAGATGCAAATAACAATTCCCAAAGTGAAGTAGGGTCTCATTTAGAGGAAGATTCAGAGAGTGTTGGTAGACAATCCCAGACACCGCAGGTTGTATCAGATAGACGGAACTTTCCCCAACCGAAGCCCAGTGCACTTCTCCCATCAGCTCGAGCTCCGTCAACTGACATAAAGGAGGCAGGCAGGTCGAGTTCCACGAGTGTGTATGCAGTAGCTAATCCTGATATTCTCAGAGCTTCAGGACTAACCCCAACTCAACCAAATCAGTACTTTCCCAAATATGTTTCTCTCAAGTCCAGGTCTCAGGATGCTCATCTTGCTTCCATTGCAGTAGCAGAGGAGGAAGAAGCCACACCCACACCCACACCCACACCTACACCCACACCCACACCCACACCCACACCCAGGTCAAATAGTGTGTCTGCAGCACCAAGGTCAAATAGTGTGTCTCAAACGCCAAGCTCAAATAGTGTGTCTCCAACACCAAGGTCAAATACTGTGTCTCCATCACTAAGGTCAAATAGTGTTTCACCAACAAAAGAATCAACTCCTGCGTCTGTATCGGCAAGTCATAAATTAACGTTTATTGCCGATTCCCTGGAGTTTACTGAGACTGACCTAGAGAAACATTTAACTCCCCTGTCTCCAGATCCAGAAGCTACGAGTCGAGATCAAGATCCAACTCCAGCCCAGACTCCATCTGTTGTTGTTCAAGAGAACACTTTTGATAAACCTCCAAATCACAAGGAAAAAGTTCAAGTAGATAAAAACTTACTGCAAGTTCCTGCCAGAAAGTCCTCAGCCAAGTCCGAGGCCCACAATCCTGAGAGTCTCGTGTTTGAGCGAGACTCACTCTCCTCCAGTGCCAGTATAGAGGAGATTGGAAGGGCAAGGAAGACTGCAGACTCAGCTGATTCAAGCAGGAGTAGAGTTTTTGTGATAAGGAATGAGTCACAGAATACTATGAGTGGAGCCAGAAACCGGAAAGTTTATGTAGAATCCCCAGCATTCACTCACGAAGAAGAGGATGAGTTCCGATTTGTGAGTAGTCGTGTTGATGACTACCAGGATATGAGTGACACCTACAGGCAGCTTGATGAATCTACTGTGGAACACAAATCCAAGAAGAAGAGTAGTGGAAAACATGTGCGGTATCAGGATAGTGATAGATTTGAAGACAAAAACCAGCTTGACCTTGAGGAAGATGCTAGGTCAGTTCATAGGTTAAGTCAAGGTCACGACGTAACTTACAAGTCAGCTTTAAGAAATCCAAATCGACAAGAATCTGTGTCGAGTCCAGTTAAGAGTTTGGTTCTTCCAGACAAGCCATCCTTTGACCAAGGTGAAATAGAAGAACTAGACCGTGAGTCCAAATATCAGGATGTGTTGAAACAAAGAATTGATCATAGCAGACAGACATTGGAAAGTGCAGAAGTCCCTAAATTACCTTTATCCCCAGACACAGATCATGACTTCATGCGAGATTCTCTAGATATGGCTGGAGAGATTTACCAAGAAGGCCGAGGTAGTGCCCCTCGGGATTCGATGGAGTTGTACCAGGGGCAGCCTAATCAGAGTGTTGCCCCGAGATATGGACAGATGGAGAACACCACATGGAGGAACCCCCCTCCCCAGCCGTTCTCGGCCCCTCCCTACGAGGAGGAGAAGGAGGATGTGCTGGGTCAGTTCCACAGACAGAATGCTGTGGATGGATATGCCTCGGAACCAGATTACCGCATTCAGCAACGGAGAGACGACTACCCGGAACCTCCAAGTGAACCTTCCCACTATCCACAGGAACATCAAGGTTATCAAAAACATCCAAATGGTCCGGCGTACCAGGCCCATCCTCAGTATTATGAAGCGTCTCCTCAAGGGCAGCGAGACTACCCTCATCAACAGCAGTTTCCTACGTCTGGTTACTATGACAATGGTCAGGGTTACCCACAAAGGAATCCTCACATTTCTTCCTTTGTCCCTGAGGATAGAATTCATCAATCATATGATTCCGAACAGAGTTATCGACCTCCGTACAACGAATATGAACAGACTAATCCCAGTGGTGGTTACATGTACTATGATGACGCAAACGGTGGGCCTGAGAACGGTCACTATGACAATAGACCCGAGTTGGTAGGAGGATACTCCAACCAGAATAGAGTTGATCGATACGTAAATGAAAACGTGGATCCTAAAATGGAAATGTCGAGTCCAGGGAAACCCCACTATGACTATGTCACAAACAACAGGTTTGACTATGGACGGCAACCACCAAAGTCTTACAAGCAGCTCAGAGATATCAAAAATGAGGAAAAGTCAAAGTTAGAGACATTTTTCATCAAACCCAAAGTGAAACCTAAGCATGATGCAGCTGGGCAGTCATCTGCTCGCACTGTGAACTCTTTAGAAGGAGCCGAGTTGTACCATCCGCCCAGAGCACTGAATGAGAAGCCTGCCTCAGCTGAAGACCTGTGGGCCCAGAGAGCAGCTAAGTTGCAGCAGAGGTCAGCAGGGAAACAGGGCTCCAAGAAGAAACCCGGATCAAAGCTCGTCAAATATCCCAGTGACAGTGGGTTATCTGCCCGTTTAGACCCCAAAGTGCCATTACCACGACCAGCCTTCCTGCCTCAAGCTGTGAATCCAGGCCCTCACAGTAACTATGCCTCCCCCCCACACTCATTCCCATCCTCCCCCCAGAGGCGCCCCCTGGAATTGAAGCCGATCTCGCAGGAAGTGATCACCTCTGATGGTCAGAGGATAAGTGTGGATGTCAACCTGAAGCTCATGTCCCCGCCACCGGCCCACCACCACTCGGATGGCTACCTGCACAGGCCGCAGACGTACATACAGGACGTCACTGACCCTGTCGGTCAAGCTGGACATCAGTACCCGATCATGGACTACCACAACCAGCAGGTGAGTCACCCAGAAGTGAGTGAGTGAGTGTTAATGCCATGTACTCCAGTAAGATTCCAGCTTTGTCACAGCAACCAGCAAATGTTGTGGGCCATTCTGAACACCCACCTTGCAGCAGTAGAAAATTCTGATGGCTATTTGTGTTTGTATGACCACTGAACACTGAAAATTGAAGTACCAATAACGCATGCAGTGAGATGCGAATAGAAAATTATTATGTTAGAGCAGATTTCCATGCAATTTGGATGCTAATGATTCCTTCTTTGCCCATTTCTACGATGTTCTACTAGTCCTTATGATACCTTAACTATTGGGCAGTTTGGCAAGGACTACAGGACTAGTGCCAATTTCTAACACTGCAAATTTGAAAAGTATATTTCTGATGTACAGGATTATGGGGAGAACTACAGTGATGCCTACAGTGGTGTCAGCAATGGACAGCCCGGCTATGACAGTATGCCAAAGGATACTCGCCAGCTCGGCAACGCTTACCCCAAGATACCTCCCATACCTTCCAGTAGTGAGAGCAAGGACTCACATCAGGTAATGCTTACCCCAAGATACCTCCCACACCTTCCAGTAGAGCAAGGACTCACATCAGGTAATGCTTACCCCAAGATACCTCCCACACCTTCCAGTAGAGCAAGGACTCGCATCAGGTAATGCTTACCCCAAGATACCTCCCATACCTTCCAGTAGTGAGAGCAAGGACTCGCATCAGGTATGCTTACCCCAAGATACCTCCCACACCTTCCAGTAGTAAGAGCAAGGACTCGCATCAGGTATGCTTACCCCAAGATACCTCCCATACCTTCCAGTAGTAAGAGCAAGGACTCGCATCAGGTAATGCTTACCCCAAGATACCTCCCACACCTTCCAGTAGAGCAAGGACTCACATCAGGTAATGCTTACCCCAAGATACCTCCCACACCTTCCAGTAGTGAGAGAAGTGAATACCCGCATGCAGTCCCTGGCTGTAAGCTGAGCTGTTCTATATTGGTCAGTGTATTGAGATTCTATTCAGTAAGTTGTTGTGGTGTCTTGATTGAAAATGTAATTCAAATAATAATAATAGATCTCAGATCACTTTATCTGTCAAATTCTTGGAGTTAACTTCAGGGAAATAATTTTGTGTACATTTCTTACCATAGACAAGCTTTTCAAGACTTAACTCCAGACCAGTGTGACAGGAGTGCTAGGATGTGCTAGGATGTGCAACATTACAATACACCATGTATGTATCTACAGCACAGGGGTCGATTTAACTGCTGGCCTGTTGGCCCATGGCCAGTTAAAATTACAACACACTTGCTGAAACATAAAGCAGTTGACCTGTCTGGCAAATAAACATTTCACCCCTTCTGTGTAGGTTTAATTTTATTGGATCATCTTGTCAGAAGGACATCCGGATGCCATCTTATAATGTTGTGTATAACAACTTCTTTATTTGCTCATGAATCGCCATGAAATGAGGCACTTGGAGGCCAAGACTTTATCTCAGAGTGTAGGAAAAAACGTTTCGGGGTGAGGAGTTCTGAAATTTTCAGAGCCCTGCTAGGTGGCTTTATGAACTCAGTTTCAGCCATTTTGCGGCCTCCACCATTTAGTTTTAGGCAAGTTAGTTTGAGAAGGTCCAGTAACTTACAAAAGGAGCAAGCCCTGCTGGCTACTTACAAATTTGTTAATAAATCTTTCCCAGCAGCAGAGTGAACCGAATGATGGGTACGTGGCCCAGTTCCGCAAGCTGCGAGACAAGAAACAGCAGGATGAACATCCATGGTACAAGGTGTACAACATCAACGACTACAGGAAGATGCAGAAGGAGGTCCGTCTGGGGACTCTCGGACCCGACCTCGATAATGAATCCTTCAAAGATAGGGTGAGATGAAGTTCCAGTGATGGATTAGTAGCACTGATTGATTGGTTCCTCTCTGCCAGTGCTGTAGTTAATTGTGAATTCTTGTTAACAATTTGATCAAATGAGAAAATGGCTATTCAAACTCAAAAATTTATTCAAAATATTCATCATGATTTTAGAAAGTCATTCTTAATATTTATTAAAGTATGTAAAAGTCTTTTGATGTACAATCTCAGGAAAATATTGACAGAAAAAGACTAGCTATTATTACACTGGTAGATCTGCCTCAGAACTTTGTCTTTTTTAGACAAGTCCAGAGTGCTAGCGTAAACCTTTTTTCATTAGTCCTCCAAGTTTGTAGCTAATCCTGCTTGAACGAGACAAATGTTTGCTCTGTTTACTGTGTTTATATAATAGAAGCAGTCAGAACTTGTTCGGAATTATAAATGCTACACGTCAGTGAAGACTACCATTGGATATTTGCTTATCCTCAGCACAATTTAGTAGCCTCAGGCTAGCGGACAAGCAGACTCGCTGACTGTTGCATAAAAACAACAAACAGTGATTCCGTCAGCCCTTGACCTTCGGGGGGATGCTGACGCACTGCCACACTGTCAAACACCTTGGAGTCGACTAGCTTTTGCTTGTCAATCTTTTCAATGGATTGTAGTGTTACATGTCGGCAGTCATACACTATGCTTACAGGACAGAAACTCATCTTCCTAGACTTTACACTGGTGGTCGAGGTGGGTGTTATTGTTTAATGCCACATTCAGCAATATTTCAGCTATGTGATGGCAGTCTGTAAACAAGGGGCACAGGTGGCCCTGTCGTCTAAGGCGCCACGATTCGCTCTGCAGAGTTGCGTCCCTTGGGCACGCCAGAAACCTATGATCGTGGGTTCGAATCCCGGTTCGCCCCGACTATGTTTCTAGGTTTGTCAGTACCATACCTGTGCTTGTGGGTTTCACCGAAGTGGTAAACGTCTGAGACCTGCATCACTTCGGGCTTTCCTCCCACATTAAGCTGACACGCCGCGATATAACTGGAATACTGTTAAAAGCTGCGATAAACCCAACTCACTCACTCACTGTAAACAATTGAGTCTGGACCAGATAGTGCATTGATCGATATTGTGAGCAGTGATCCATGCCGTCAGGATACGATGTCATGCAATCAACCAAGTCAGCGAGTCTGGCCACCCAATCCACTAAGTCGCCTCGTACGACAAGCAGATTGCTAGGGACCAATTTTTACCCAGAATCCCCACAGGGGCAGTGGCCAAAGGTCGCTGTACAACATTGCTTGGTAAAGATGCACACTTAAACTCTGTTGTTGCTGCTGCAGATGGAAAAGATGCAGAGACAGACGCACTATGCACGGCTGGTGCAGGAGCGCAACAAGCAGGAAGTCACCCACAAGAAGCCGCCATCCTTCCCCAAACCTAAAGACCAGGATGACATCATGAACAAACGCAGGCTGGTATGTGTGTGTGCAGCTTACCCCACAGTATAGCCCTCTCCAACTGGAGTTAAATGCACGAACATCCAATTGTTCTTCCCGTTTTCGTGATTCTTAATGAGTAACTTGAATCTTATAGAGTTTCATTGTATGATTAGATTGTATGTTTCAAGATTAGAGGAAATGTCATCTGAAAATGTTTTTGCTCCTTGGATAATTATGATTACTTTATGACTGAGCTGTCAAGAGCCTAGTTATTTACACCATCTTTCATCCACACATGTGACACATGTAAGTCCTATATAGTCTATGAAAATCTCAGAAAGTATGTGATAATATAGTAACATGCTCTTCCACTGCATAACTCCCATTTATTTATTTTCTCGATAGGGACATTTCTGTGTCTCGATAGGAACATTTCTGTTTTTTCTGTTTCTCGACAGGGACATTTTCTATATTACGAAAGGGACATTTTCTGTTTCTCGATAAGGACATTTCTGTTTCTCAATAGGGACATTTTGTGTTTCCCAAAAGGGACATTTTCTGTTATAGGGACATAGTCAATGTCAATAGGGACATTTTTTGTTTTCTCGACAGGGACATTTTCTGTTTCTCAATAAGGACATTTTCTGTATCTCAATAGGGACATATTTTGTTTCTCAATCGGGACATTCTTTGTTTCTCAATCGGGACATTTTCTGTTTCTCAATAAGGACATTTTCTGTTTCTCAATAGGGACATTTTCTGTTTCTCAATAAGGACATTTTCTGTTTCTCAATAGGGACATTTTCTGTTTCTCAACAGGAACATTTTTTGTCTTCTCTCTCAAGAGGGACATTTTCTGTTTCTTGACAGGAACTTTTTTTGTCTTCTCTCTCAATAGGGACATTTTCTGTTTCTCGACAGGAACATTTTCTGTTTCTCAATAGGGACATTTTCTGTTTCTCAATAGGGACATTTTTTGTTTTCTCGACAGGGACATTTTCTGTTTCTCAATAAGGACATTTTCTGTTTCTCAACAGGAACATTTTTTGTCTTCTCTCTCAAGAGGGACATTTTCTGTTTCTTGACAGGAACTTTTTTTGTCTTCTCTCTCAATAGGGACATTTTCTGTTTCTCGACAGGAACATTTTCTGTTTCTCAATAGGGACATTTTCTGTTTCTCAATAGGGACATTTTTTGTTTTCTCGACAGGGACATTTTCTGTTTCTCAATAAGGACATTTTCTGTATCTCAATAGGGACATTTTTTGTTTCTCAATCGGGACATTCTTTGTTTCTCAATCGGGACATTTTCTGTTTCTCAATAAGGACATTTTCTGTTTCTCAATAGGGACATTTTCTGTTTCTCAATAAGGACATTTTCTGTTTCTCAATAGGGACATTTTCTGTTTCTCAACAGGAACATTTTTTGTCTTCTCTCTCAAGAGGGACATTTTCTGTTTCTTGACAGGAACTTTTTTTGTCTTCTCTCTCAATAGGGACATTTTCTGTTTCTCGACAGGAACATTTTCTGTTTCTCAATAGGGACATTTTCTGTTTCTAAATAGGGACATTTTTTGTTTTCTCGACAGGGACATTTTCTGTATCTCAATAAGGACATTTTCTGTATCTCAATAGGGACATTTTCTGTTTCTCGACAGGGACATTTTCTGTTTCTCGACAGGGACATTCTTTGTTTTCTCAACAGGGACATTCTTTGTTTCTCGACAGGGACATTTTCTTGTCTCGATAGGGACATTTTCTGTTAATTGCACTGGAGTATATACTTGTGTTCTCTCCTCTCCAGGCTCTGGAGTATGCCAAGAACGTCCCCAAGCCCAGTGTGAAGGTGCAGCCCAACCCCTACAACTCCTACCAGGTAGCATCGCAGATGGTCAGCACCAACCCCGCCTCCGGACCGCTGGTCAGACAACAATATAAACAACAACCTGTTGTGGATGTCATAGACCTGGAGAAACTGCAACAACGACATGAGCAGGATAAGCAGAATGTGGCCAAGATTCGACAGAACATGGACAGCGTGGTGGCCCAGAATGCCTAGAGTGCTTGCAGTCACACACACAACAGTGAAACAGTGCATTTACTTTGTGGAAGTTGTTCATTTTCAGTTCTGGATTGATAGTTATCCACCGTCAGGGCTGTTATGTTATGTGTAGTTATCTGTTGAATGGATTTGTATAGTATATCATGTGTCTACTTTGTAAGTTTTTTGTGTCATTTGAAAAAAGGTTTTATAGATTTGAAGATGAATATTTTTTGATTGAAAAAATCAAACTGATACAATGAATTTGAGGTGATGATTCCTCTTTAACACTGCTGGTAACTGTGCTATTGAAATAAAGACTATTGATTTTTCATGAAACAGTATTAAATGGAGACCACCCTGTAAGTCTCTCAATTTGTGTGAGATCAAAATACCATATTTTCTTTCTCATCACCCGTTCGTTTACCGGACTTCGCTGAAGGGGTACGGTGTAATTTTTTTCTGCGCTTGATAAGCGAATTTATTTTTTTCCAAAATACTGAATCCGCTAGAGGGGGTGCGCATTATACATGGGTGCGCACTGTACTCAAGAAAATATGGTACTATGTACGATTACGATGACATGATGACACAACACATTTTGAGACAAATGTAACGACTTTGATGACCATGTGTCATGTCCTGATTCACTGAGCTACACCTCAGCGCTGTTGGATATCACTTTGTAAATATATAGCTGTGATATCATATAGTGATATCCTGACTTTCTGCCATTCCTGTGTCTCAGACATGACTCAATATGTTTTCCAGCAAAACATCAAAAACACCATGCATATATTTTTGCAATGCTTGAATTCAGTCTCAGTACCATCAACATACTCCGTTAGTTCCAGACATCAAGGGTGTTAGATCTCCATTCATTGTTATAAATACCCTGGACCACTCACTACCTTTGGGAGATGACGTCACGATTCGGACGTCTCTTTCCCCCTCACTCGTCCGTTTGATTCGATTGAATGGCTATTTTTAGTGTCATGTCATTTGAATCAGGCTTAAAACGAAGCTATGGTAGCGGATTGGTTCAGGGTGGTTTTTGTATTTTATTTATTACCAACAGGGTTAAAAATAACCAAGTTCATAAAAATCGTATGTGCACTAGTGCAAAGTGAATTGTTTCAGTTATTCGGACGTCATTGTCGACGTCATTAGAATCTCAGACCTAAGGACGGAATGACGTCACACTAGAAACGACATTATAGCTGAAGATTATTGACGTCATTTGACAAATTGATCTGGGACAACAGTGGTGTTCAGTGCATTTTTTGTTAAGGAAAGCTCAAAAGAATTAAGAAATAATGGGTAATAAAGAAATTATTACTCTCACATGTGTGTCACATTGGTTTTACGAAACTTGTGTAAGAATGCATGTCTTGTCCTTGCTCTCGAACAAGAAATACAAGAATACTGACACTCATTTTTGTAAAACCAGTATCTCTATTTATTATCCTAGACTGGAGATATACTACCCTGGATTAGGGAGGATGTGTTGTGGGATGTTCCTACACTCCGTCCAGCCTCTGTGATATGTATATATCTATATCTCTATGTTTTGTACTCCATGTCAACTCATCCCATCAATGTAGCTCTAGAAACGTGGGAAGATAGTCTTTGAGGATGGTGTACATACTGTTCTAAAGTGCTACTATTTTATACTGTAAAAAGATGGTATGGAGAAGCTATTTCAGTTTGTTTGTGTGTACAAACATGTTGTGTTTGTGATATGTTAATTTGGTTTTATCATATGATTTACTGTAGTGATCTTATAGCTAGGTTCAACGGACACCGGGAGTTCGTAACTAGGAATACTTTGTGGAACAATGTCCAACTGTTGATATATTCTGAACTATTTCAATTTTATGTAAATATTTTTACAATGAAGATTTATGTTGAAAAGAGGTAACGTGGTTCATTCATGGAAGAAGGAGTTCAACTAATCTGTACATATTGAAATATTCACGTTGTAAAAATTAATCCCCAAGGTCCCAACTTTGTAGGAGTAGTTTCAAAGTTAAAAACAATATGATAAATCTTTATTAGGGGAGTGGGGCATCTTCCCGAGGCAAGAGAGTTAGCTGACTTTAAAAGTCTAGTTTCCACCCTTGCCGAACTAGGCTGGAATTACTGGGCTCGATCGTAGCGCCACCAGTGGCTATTGCCAGTTATGTCCCTTCTAAGCCTCTCCCATTGGCCAATCAGATTCCACCTCTCGTATCAATTGCATTTGCTTCAAACAAAATGGCGGCGCCCAGTCAGGACGATCTGATCGATAATCAAGATCTATATTGTGATAAAACGCGAAATGCATCAAATCACATGAACACCTTGATTAAAAACATGAAAAGATTTATAAAATATTTTCTGACACCGAGTTGGCGGTGCACATGCTTTGCAAGTCCTGCAATCGACCAAAATCTGCATGACAGTTTACAAACCGGATTTCGATTTCTGTGCGCGATTTTGATTGGACTATGCATAGACTCGTTAGTCCAGACAAAATGTAACTCCATAATACCAGCCTAGTTCGGCAAGGGTGGAAACTGGACTTTTATAGTCAGTTAACTCTCTTGCCTCGGGAAGATGGGAGTGGGGAGACGCTGAGATCAAGTGGGGTGTCATGAAAAAATTAGGGCGAAAGAGGTGGAGTGGCATGAAACATTGACACAGTTCTAATTTTCCAAATAAACATTTCATAAACTTGAACATTATTTATTTATGGACTGGCAATTTGTTATTGGGAAGCCTCTGTTCATGAAAAATATATTGACATGTATTTGAGTGTGTGTGAAAAAAACAACCTCAACGCCAATTTGGAGCAGATTATCCACATGGTTACATTCTGAAAACATAGGTTGGTTTAAAATGTTAGTCATGATATGTTACTCTATTTATCCTTGGATTGTTTCAAATAGTGATGTCCTGTTTTATAGGCCGATATTGTCAGTGTATACAGGTGATGTAGTATTAGCCTCCTGTGTTGTGAAACACTTGTAGAACATTCCTGCTGATCAGCTATAACGTCCTGGTTCCTGGTACAGTTGCCTCCATCACCCTGTCACAACATACAGGTACACAGGGAAATGTTAGTGTGGCCATGGGATTCCTATTGTCATGTCGGGCTTATCGGGTGTCTTCTATTTTGTAGCATGCTAGGGGAACTATTGGGGGCATATTGACTTCTGCAATAGTGATGGAATAGTTTCATTGGTACAAGTACTCTGCCTTCACACAGAATCGTCATGGCCTTATACAACACGATGTTGAAACGTAACATTTACTTTCTGTAGATTGCTGAGCGTGTTGCTGGGAGTAAAGGGAGGTCACTCTTATCAGCCATGTATACTTTGATAGGAGTTGGGTAAAATCAATCGATAGTGTCCATTCTCTGTATAGCTGAAGGTGTTGATTATCAGTATTTATTTTAATCTTATTTATATACACTATGATACCGTAGCTTGGTGTCCGTGTCAGCTCGCGATTTCTGCTTTGTCCCAGATGTGTTGTCATCAGGGCCAGACAATAATTGTAATATATTGATAGTTGAATCCTGACACTACGAGCAGATAGAGGCTCAGTGGTTAGTGTGTTTGTTCGGCGCCTGTACTGAGTTTGATTCCCTCCTGAGCATATCATATCATATCTTTGTTCCCCATTATGAGGGACAAATAGAAGCCTAGGACTCATTCATGGTTGGCCCAGTTTTGTAAGGTGCTGCAATTTGTTGTGCAGAGTTGTGTCCCTTGGGCACGCCAGAAACATATGCTCGTTGGTTCGAATCCCTGTTCATCCCAATGGTTGTAGGTTTGTCAGCACGGTTACCGTGCATATGGGTTTGACCAAAGTGGTCAAAAAGTGAGACCTGCATCACCTCAGACTTTCCTCCAACATGAAGCTGACATGCCGTGATATAACTGGAATACTGTTCCAAGCAACTCACTCATCAATATTATGTTTAATATAGGTCAAACAAAATCAAAATGAACTGACAATCACTCGTGCCATATCAGTTTTAATATTAATCATTCATATTTATTATTAGAGAAGAAAAGTCTTAGAGGAAATAGGAAAAATTCAGTAAATTTACATTCAAAATATTTTAGTAAGATTCTTACAGAAAGCTGATGATTTAAAATCACCAGTGACTTCAATGTTATTTGAGTTTGATTGAAATCTCATTAATTCAATATTATGTGTTAGGAGTTTTCTTTTTCTTATTTAGTCTTGAAGCAGAAACAAAACATTACTTCCTAGGTATCATTTAATTATTCTGTTTTCCTAACCAGGTAGTGATAGCATTGTGTTGTAATAGCCTTTGTTTGTTTCTCATACTGACATTGTGATTGGTTGACGACTTGCTGTACTCCATGTGTTGTGTTACCCTCTGGTATTCCTGGAGGACAGTTGGGAAGACTATCACCTCGGGGTATCAGGACTTGCTGTACTCCATGTGTTGTGTAGGGTTCCCCTCCGGTATTCCTGGAGGACAGTTGGGAAGACTTTAACCCCGGGATGTCAGGACTTGCTGTACTCCATGTGTTGTGTAGGGTTCACCTCCGGTATTCCTGGAGGACACTTGGGAAGACTTTCATCCCGGGATGTCAGGACTTGCTGTACTCCATGTGTTGTGTAGGGTTCCCCTCCGGTATTCCTGGAGGAGTACAGTTGGGAAGACTTTAACCCCGGGGTATCAGGACTTGCTGTACTCCATGTGTTGTGTAGGGTTCACCGCCGGTATTCCTGGAGGACAGTTAGGAAGACTTTCACTCCAGGGTATCAGGACTTGCTGTAAACCATGTATGGTGTAGGGTTCCCCTCCGGTATTCCTGGAGGACAGTTGGGAAGACTTTCACCTCGGGGTATCAGGACTTGCTGTACTCCATGTGTTGTGTTACCCTCTGGTATTCCTGGAGTACAGTTGGGAAGACTTTCACCCCGGGGTATAAGGACTTGCTGTACTCCATGTGTTGTGTTACCCTCTGGTATTCCTGGAGTACAGTTGGGAAGACTTTCACCCCGGGGTATCAGGACTTGCTGTACTCCATGTGTTGTGTTACCCTCTGGTATTCCTGGAGTACAGTTGGGAAGACTTTCACCCCGGGGTATCAGGACTTGCTGTACTCCATGTGTTGTGTTACCCTCTGGTATTCCTGGAGTACAGTTGGGAAGACTTTCACCTCGGCGTATAAGGACTTTCTGTACTCCATGTGTTGTGTAGGGTTCCCCTCCGGTATTCCTGGAGGACACTTGGGAAGACTTTCACCCCGGGATGTCAGGACTTGCTGTACTCCATGTGTTGTGTAGGGTTCACCTCTGGTATTCCTGGAGGAGTACAGTTGGGAAGACTTTCACCCCGGGGTTGTAAAGTCCAACAGATGAAATATGTCCAACTTATAATGTCATGTATATACCTTGTAACTGATGTAAATGGAAGTGTATTATAGCTATCTAGATGTGCTCAGATGTATTGATTCATATGCATTAAAACATACCATACTCATAAGCTGTGTTGGTGTCTGTTTCATGGAGGAGGCACCTTGCCCTACCACAGTGGAAGGATATTTACTTCACCTCTGCAGAATAAACCACTGGATGAAACAGGAGAATTTTTGACAAATATATAAAAAATTTCAAAGGAGATTTTTGATGCAGAGCTGGAATATTGTTTTGGCTTGATCTACAAATATACACATCCCCCACGAACCACAGATAAAAAGATATATTATGAATATATGTGACCAACCATGAGATAAGGGACCTTATTTTACAAAAATACAATTTATATCTATTACAGATACATGGTATCAAACATTGGATTCATTTTCTGCAAAGTCCCATTTCTAGATTTATGAGTGAGTGAGTGAATATGGTTTTACGCCGCTTTTAGCAATATTCCAGCAATATCATGGCGGGGACACCAGAAATGGGCTTCATACATTGTACCCATGTCAGGAATCGAACCCGGGTCTTCGGCATGACGAGCGAATGCTTTAACCACTAGGCTACCCGACCGCCCCTCTAGATTAATGACTGTTCATGTAATGATTGAAATGTTTACATATAAATGTCTGATTAATTGAAAGTTGACATGTATGCTGAAATGTTTTATTACATTACGAACAAACTAAAGAAAAATAAGATATTTTTGTAGTCTGCACACATGGCGAGTTTCACAGGAGTAAGTTGACGTCAAAGGTCTTTCTTTATGATGGACAGTACACATTGTATCCAAGTACTCAAGGTCCCTTTTCTCCTGGTGGGTCATGGATATCAATCCTTGATGGTCCACTGGGTAATCAAGAATCAGAGGAGTTGAATCTAAATAATTATGACAAACTTAATAATTTTGAAAATAAAACTATGTGTTTATGGAGCATTACGGTCACGTAGCATGCTTTAACTGCCAACTGAAATAGCCTTATATGGTTTGATAAACTGTAAATCGTGAAATTAATGCGTCTCCAAAAGAATGCGACCACTGGACCCTAGCCAAAAATGTGACTCAATACGAATGCGACACCCCCCTCCTCTCAAGCATCAGTGGATTTCTATCTAAAGATGTCCTCAGTCAGGTTTAGAATCCTCACCTTAATCCAACCTTACATTAATCCAATCACACACCAAATAGCACGACTTATTAGCGCCGAGTAGAGTACTTCCACAAAAACAAAACATGCGCGCTGGCTCGTGTCGGCCTTTGACGCAGTTGCAAAGAACAAAGGGTGGCGTCTGTCTGGACTTGCAGGTGTGATCAGTGATGACATAAGTGAGTAGAACTCTTGTCTTGACCCCAGCAGTGACAATTCACAGGATGTAATTAGTGTTTGAATGACATTGTTTATATACTTTATATACAAGTGCTGCTCAATAAACAGTGGTGTGGAATACATCAGCCAATGTCTAAGTTGGTATTTCTGCTAACCAAAATGTCTTATTGTTGATATAAATGTGAGCAAAGACCACTTGCATTTTTTTGCATTTAATTCACGCTCACGTTAATTTCAGGATTAAGGGAAGTAACTAACTTGTCTTCCAAACATATCCAGTAGGTTCCTTGTACAGAGATCTGTCCCTCAATCCATAGGTTCCATTCCTAGAGTCAAGGTGAGGTGAAATGGGGTTTACTGTCACGTCAAAGATTATAGCACTTATATAGTGATGTGCAGGTGTGTGGCTGGTTGTACCAGTCCTGATGCCGATTTATAGTGCTAGCTCACTGAGATACCATGCAGCAGTCTAACATGAATACCCCACTCAGACACAGTATACTGACTCCAAGCTGACCAGTCCTTGTTTTAGCCCCTTAGTGCCGAGTGCCAGACAGGGTAACAACAAGTACCATCTTTTAAAGTCTTTTGGTATGATGTGGCCGGGATCAAACCCCGGACCTTCCGCTCTCCAGGGGCATGTTCTACCACCAGACCACAGAGTCAAACCGATCATGATTTTATATTTGTCACCCTCAGACCCAGTGAGAGTGAGTATGGTTTTACGCCGCTTTTAGCAATATTCCAACAATATCACGGCGGGGACACCAGAAATTGGCTTCACACATTGTACCCATGTCGGGAATCGAACCCGACTCTTCGGAGTGACGAGCAAACACTTTAACCACTAGGCTACCAACCGCCCCCCATCAGACCCAACCTGATGATATAATTGAAATATAAGAGTACTTGGCATCGTTGAACCCTAAAGACTTACTCTTTTGTTTCTTTTTCCTCGGCATTATTAACTATATCAGGATAGGATCATTTAGTTTTTCAAATGTTTGTACCTATTTTCTTTTCAACCAGATAAGTGCCTAGTACTTGTATTGGTAACAAGATGGTGAACATGTTTCAAGTAACTCCAACAATTGATAATAAAGTCTTTTATTTACATATAAGATAGCATATATAAATATGAAACACTTGATATCAAAGCATGACAAGCACTTAACACATGCTTATAGAATACATTGAATAAATCATACATCTGGTGGATATCACACTGTTACCATGACAACATGCATGCAAAAGTTCATTCGGTGGATAAACAATACTGTTACCATAGTAACATGCATACAGTATAATACACAGTACATAAACATTCAAAATGCATTAAACAAATTTTGATTTGAAGGAAAATCAGGGCTACTTCAACGAGATGATAAATGAGGACTGGTAGTGAGTTGGGTTTTACGCCCCTTTTGGCAATATTCCAGCAATAGTGAGTGAGTGAGTGAGTTGGGTTTAACGACGCTTTTAACATTATTCCAGTTATATCACGGTTAATGTGGGAGGAAAGCCTGAAGTGATGCGGGTATGGTGCTGACAAACCTAGAAACATAATCGGGGCAAACCGGGATTCAAACGCACAATCATAGGTTTCTGGCGTACCCAAGGGACGCAACTCTGCACAGCGAATCGTGGCACCTGAGACGACTTGGCCACCCGTGCCCCCTTTGACAGCAATATGACGGTGGGGAGGACACAAGAAATGGGCTTCACACACAGTACCCATGTGGGGAATTGAATTGCGTGACGAGTGAATGCTTTTACCACATGTTTCGTTTTTAATTCCATTTTTAAACAAAATTAAAAATCCTAATTTAGTTACATGCGCATTGCTTTACTGCGCATCTTGTGTTGTGGTCATGGTGGTCATGGCGGCAATAGGAGTTTGTATGCTTGTTTATCTAGGGAGGCCCTTTCCGAGGTTGATGGTACACAACTGTTTACTTGGTTATGTACCAGTTTGAACAAACAAACAAAAAAACACCACCCGCCCTATATTTTCAAAAGTCATTGCCTGAGAACCAATTCTCTTATTTGTTTAGTATTCTATTTGAAGCGAGGACACCACACACAGACAAGAAAACAAAACTATTAAACTTGACATAAGGACCATTATCCAATAAACACTCCAAGCGTAACTCCTGTTACATGCCCCCGAGTCTCACCAGAACATGACTACCAAACAACACAACGCACATGATGGCTTTGGTTTGGTTTGGTTTGGTTGGTTGTTTTACGCCGCACTCAACAATATTCCAGCTATATGACGGCGGTCTGTAAATAATCAAGTCTAGACCAGACAATCCAGTGATTTACATCATGAACATCGATCCACACAATTGGGATCGATGACATGCATCAACCAAGTCAGCGAGTCTGACCACCCGATCCCGTTAGTCGCCTTTTACGACAAGCATAGTCACCTTTTAAGGCAAGCATGGGTTGCTGAAGACCTATTCTATCTCGGATCCACATGATGGCACATCATATGGACATGGATACAAAACATCTTGTATTCCCAATACAACAAGGTACAAGTTGTACACTGCAAGAATACTATGGCTCACCAGGAGATAATACAGGTATCACATGGTGGATGTCGGTGGTATCGGTAGCCATTGCTGGACATACACAAGGTGGGGTAGGTACACATTACTTCTATACCACATGGAAGTTTTCTGATTGTCCCATAAATAGTTTTTGATTGGCATTTTGACTTCAGAGTGAGTGTGAGTGAGTGAGTTGGGTTTAACGCCGCTTTTAACATTATTCCAGTTATATCACGGCGTGTCAGCTTAATGTGGGAGGAAAGCCCGAAGTGATGCAGGTCTACGACGTTTACCACTTCGGTGAAATCCACGAGCACAGGTATGGTGCTGACAAACCTAGAAACATAATCGGGGAGAACCGGGATTCGAACCCACAATCATAGGTTTCTGGCGTGCCCAAGGGATGCAACTCTGCACAGCGAGTCGTGACGCCTTAGACGACTGGGCCACCCATGCCCCCTTTGACTTCAGAGTTCAACCAGAACAATCCTGGTTATATAGTAGTAGTTGTACCAGTAGTAGCATGGTGTTGCAAGAATAACATCCACAGCTTCAGATTGATATCCATTATTATTTTGACATGCCGCTTTCAGACATTGGACCTGGGGACCCATATTAATCACAAAAAATGGGGTCATGGGTGACTGTTTTTTTATGGGGTCAGTAGAACTAGAGTATGAACATGGAACATGGATTACTGTTTACGGCTGTAGTAAAGCTTGGTCACTGAGATACAGGTGTGTATCCGGTACATGTGCACTACTCTGCTGACCAATCTCAGGATTTCTTAAAGAGTAAATTTGTAAATTTTACTACAAATTGCATATTAAAATACTTATCCTATCTCACACTATGATCTCTCGTTGCATAGTGTAAGGTAGGATATTTTATTTTTTTAAATATCAAATTTTACAATAAATTGTATATTTATAATACTTATCCTATCCTACATTATGCAATGAAAGATGCATATTGTGATACAGGATAAGTTTAAAAATACATATTTCATAAACATGCTCCTCTTCTCAGCAGATCCATTGTTTCTGGACTTGTCAGTCTGTTCTGTTGGTAGTGTTACATAAAAAGCCTATCTCAGACTTGTGACTTTTCAACAGTTCTGGCTGTTTTCTACATATTAACATTTTGATATTAAAGTTTGATACAGTGCATGCCTTCACAAGCACATAAAGTCAACAACATGACATCCGTTACAGCATTAAACTTAAAAAGTTTAAAATAAACATATATGAAATTCCTGCATTTGAAGATTAATTTCCATCTACACAATTAGCCACCCCTGTTTTTAGCCAGCATTGGCCACTTTCAGTTTCACTGCCTAATATTTCCCTATTGTCAAATAATAGCACATCCTTTCACATCTCAGCTGTATTGAACATTGTTGATCAAGATCCTTAGAAATGTCGCTAGTCAGGATTTAAGTTCACGAGTCATCCCACAGGCACCACAGGCGTTGCCTGGCAACATGTTCGAAGACAAGACACCTCCGACACGTCTTGATGCCACAGCGGTAGCTGACCACCTTGCCGGCGGAGTCCTTGCCCCGACAGTACTTCAGTCCACAGGGGTACCACCCCACACACATCTGGTAGTGACACAGACACGGCTTGCTCAGGTCGTTGGTGTCGTGACATCGGGCGTACTTGGAGGGGTATGTCTTCTTCATACCCGACATTAGTGTATTATAGTCTTTACTCAAAGCTGAAAAAATGTAATAATCACAATTAGTTATTTGGTTAAACAGATCTGTCAGCAAACTTGACATCTTGCTCCCTTTTTGTACACAGCATGAATATTACGGGTCAATAGACTTATAACAAAAACAGGTGTTTCCATACCACAAAAGTTTGTTTAGAGTTACCTGCCCCTGCTGAAACATCAAAAATCCATTTGATTTTGTTTGTTTGTTGTTTTACACCGCACTCAGCAATATTATAACTATACGACTGCGGCTGGTAAATAACCAAAGACAAGACAAAACAGTGATCAGAGTCATAAACAACATCCCATGCAGTCAGGGAAGGACAACAAGCAAGTCACTGAGCCTGCCCACCCGATTCATTTGGCCGCCTTATGCAACAAGTAGCAGTATCTTGTGACCAATTCTTAACCGGAATCACCATGGGGAGACAACAGGGGTTGAAGGCACCAAGTGATACTCAGAATTACCATGGGGAGACAACAGGGGTTGAAGGCACCAATTGATACTCTGAATTACCATAGGGAGACAACAGAGGTTGAAGGGACCAAGTGATACTCTGAATTACCATAGGGAGACAACAGAGGTTGAAGGGACCAATTGATACTCTGAATTACCATAGGGAGACAACAGGGGTTGAAGGGACCAACTGATACTCTGAATCACCATGGGGAGACAACAGGGGTTGAAGGGACCAATTGATACTCAGAATTACCATGGGGAGACAACAGGGGTTGAAGGGACCAAGTGATACTAAGAATTACCATGGGGAGACAACAGGGGTTGAAGGCACCAAGTGATACCCAGAATTACCATGGGGAGACAACAGAGGTTGAAGGGACCAAGTGATACTCAGAATTACCATGGGGAGACAACAGGGGTTGAAGGGACCAATTGATACTCTGAATTACCATAGGAAGACAACAGAGGTTGAAGGGACCAATTGATACTCTGAATTACCATAGGGAGACAACAGAGGTTGAAGGGACCAATTGATACTCAGAATTACCATGGGGAGACAACAGGGGTTAGAGGGACCATCTGATACTCAGAATCACCATGGGGAGACAACAGGGGTTGAAGGGAACAACTGATACCCAGAATTACCATTGGGAGATAACAGAGGTTGAAGGGACCAATTGATACTCAGAATTACCATGGGGAGACAACAGGGGTTGAAAGGGACCAATTGATACCCAGAATTACCATGGGGAGACAACAGGGGTTGAAGGGACCAACTGATACCCAGAATCACCATGGGGAGACAACAGGGGTTGAAGGGACCAACTGATACCCAGAATCACCATGGGGAGACAACAGGGGTTGAAGGGACCAACTGATACCCAGAATCACCATGGGGAGACCACAGGGGTTCAAGGGACCAATTGATACCCAGAATCACCATGGGGAGACAACAGGGGTTGAAGGGACCAACTGATACTCAGAATCACCATGGGGAGACAACAGGGGTTGAAGGGACCAACTGATACTCAGAATTACCATGGGGAGACAACAGAGGTTGAAGGGACCAACTGATACCCAGAATCACCATGGGGAGACAACAGGGGTTGACGGGACCAATTCTAACCCAGCATCACCATGGGGAGACAACAGAGGTTGAAGGGACCAATTCTAACCCAGAATCACCATGGGGAGACAACAGGGGTTGAAGGGACCAATTGATACTCAGAATTACCATGGGGAGACAACAGGGGTTGAAGGGACCAACTGATACTCTGAATTACCATGGGGAGACAAAATGGGTTGAAGGGACCAATTCTAACCCAGAATCACCATGGGGAGACAAAAGGGGTTGAAGGGACCAACTGATACCCAGAATCACCATGGGGAGACAACAGAGGTTGAAGGGACCAACTGATACCCAGAATCACCATGGGGAGACAACAGGGGTTGAAGGGACCAACTGATACCCAGAATTACCATGGGGAGACAACAGGGGTTGAAGGGACCAACTGATACCCAGAATCACCATGGGGAGACAACAGGGGTTGAAGGGACCAACTGATACCCAGAATCACCATGGGGAGACAACAGGGGTTGAAGGGACCAACTGATACCCAGAATCACCATGGGGAGACAACAGAGGTTGAAGGGACCAATTCTAACCCAGAATTACCATGGGGAGACAAGGGGTTGAAGGGACCAACTGATACCCAGAATTACCATGGGGAGACAACAGGGGTTGAAGGGACCAACTGATACCCAGAATCACCATGGGGAGACAACAGGGGTTGAAGGGACCAATTCTAACCCGGAATTACCATGAGGAGATAACAAAAGTATCTTTGTGGTGAGGTGAGACAAAACCCAGCAGAACATATACCTACATCTAGATATGGTGGTGAGATCTCCCTCCTTGAAGAATGTTGTTTCTTTCGCCTCCTGGCACATGTTGAACACATGCTGACTGATCATGTGACTTTTGCTCAGGTCGACCTGCAGGTCATACACCATTAGGTCAGGGCCCTTTTCCTCCTCTGGGCTCCGGATAGCAGTTGGATTTTTCTGAAAATGAGTGACCATTGATGTCGCTTTTTAGCATCTGTTAAGCAATAAAGGATTTCAACATGGGACTAAAGCCACACTAAGTTCCCTTCGCAGGCAAACTGGGAAAGAATGATTATTTTGTGCAATGTTATTTTCCAAACAGTGGTATTTTAATATTGCATTCAATACAAAATGCCTCCTCCTATATCTTGACGATATTAAAATGAATTGAGAAAATTTCATTTCCAATTTGGAAATTTTAAAGGACATTGGTTGCAGACTTATTGTATTGTATGGAATCTGTGTCTTGTGTGTAACAAGTGAAGGCCACCCAATACCCTACTGCCCCCACAGCCCAAGTAGAGTATCTGACTTCACTACCTGTCTGAGTTTTGACATGGCATCGGATGAGATGAAGTCATTCTTGCTGAACCTGCTGATGAAACACAAGACTTGAAGCTGATTCTGACCTCGTTCTTCTTCTCCAGCAACATACGCCCGGAAGATTTGAACTTCCTGAAAACATAAGAAATAACATACTGTATTGGACGTAACAAGGGCCCCGCTCTAATAAGCTCCCATGGCGATATTTGCTAATATATTGGCTAGTGAACAATCCGATTGATCAATGTACACAAGACTTATATATTCGTGTAAAATACGAACTCGTGTGTTATATGCACCCTTAATAATGGGCAATTAAATTCTGGAAAAATATATCTGTCGTATATATACATTTCAGGCTGTCAGCATAAACAACGAAACTTACGATCTTTCAACTCTTTTTTTTTCACCAATATAATATTCTAATAAAAGCCCCCTATTTCTAATTTTGAGAGCGCCCTGGGCGTTTATTACGTTGAATACAGTATGCATTATGCTGTAATCATTGTATGAATCAAAATGAAGGATGGGTGGGTTCTTCAGGCAATCAGATATCAGCTTTCTAAAATAAATCAGCTCGATTTCTTTACCACCTCAATTCAGAAACTCTGGTCATTCCCTCACAGCTATTATGTTGAATACTGTATGGATTATGCTACAGCTACGAAGACCAAATGATGAACATGATGAAGACATGATTAAAGTCTGCCATGGAAGGATACAACAAAATAATTGAGTGAAAAATTCCATGTTAATGTTGTAGTCCGCACACAGTTTTTCGGATTTCAATTAACGCTGCATGGATGATCAAACTTGCGCTGCCAGCTTGAAGCTAAGCAGGGCTAATGAGTTAATCTAATTAGGCAACAGCCTATCACAGGACCACAGGTGCTATCACAAATAATTAATGCTCCTATACCAAGTCATCAGCACTCGATTGGCTAGCTATATACGCAGTAGCCATGTCCTCCGGGAAACTCGAAAACTGATAAATAGGAGTTTCCTCAAATTACATTGGATTAATTTGTTAAAAGAGATAGCTGACCCTTAGGATCATAAAGGAGCACCTAACCCTAAGGATCGTGAAGGGGTGTTCGATCAGAAAGGGGTACCTAACAGGGTTAAAACTTAACACTAGCCCACTAGCCTGTGGCTAGGAGAAATTCCTGCAGGCTAGTACAAATTTCCCAACTTCCCCATTGTTTTAACAAGACAAAGGTATTTTATCGCCAACAGGTAAAGCTTTTGAGTTTATTTCTAACCTTATTTCTAAGGGTAACCTGCCCTAACTGTAACACAACCAAGGATCAAAGCGACATGTGAGAGCTACAGTTGAACCAATATTATACCGGACACCTATCTGCCATGTTTGTCTGATGCTACAAATATAGCTGCATGCGACAGCATTACGATTTGAAAAATAGGGCGATAAAGCTCAAAATATGCAGAATGACCCCGCTTAAAATTTGTATGGTTTCATATGATAAACCTTGATATTGAATATCAAAGCAATGCATAAACATCGAAAAAGTACTTGAAAATAGAAGTTTCAATATGGCATGCGACAACTTCATCAGTTACATCCGTCAGAGCCACATTTTAGCGAACACGTGGATTTGTTTTTATCTACTTTGGTAATAAAACATTTCATTTACTTATGAAAGCATTAAATCAAGTGTCAGTGGAGGGTAAGACCCCAAAAAACCCTGTTGTTTTAGCGAGGCAACAAAAATGGCATCTGAAAAACTAAGAAACCGTTACAAGGAATGAGCTTGTGCACATCCCTTACCAAAATGGAGGAAAGCATCTGGAATACTGCATTCATGCCAAATAAGCTGCTCACTGTAGCTGAAGGGGTCGTTATCAGCAAGGGTACTACCTTGTACTACAGATTTGTACCCGAGGTACGTTTCTGTATACACAAATGTACCTTAGCCAAAATCAGAATACAGAAAGCCCCCCTAGAACGAGTCAATTCTGCCACAGACTGCACTGCTCAATGCACTTAACCGGTTCCTTGCTTGCTTACATATACGACACATCTTGGTTGTGGTAAATTTAACATGGCAGTACGCATTAAATATGGTTCTCTCAGTATTTCCTTTCCATAAATGGATCAGAACTGTTGTATGAGATGCATTCCAGTGTGCTTTAAAAAAAATGAACAGACACAGTGACATACATACATTACTCTTAATATTCTATGGTGCACTCGATTATCCAGCATGCATTCGTCATCAGGCAAAACAGAACTACAACATAACCGGTTTCAGTTTTCGGGTTGAGGAATATGGACTCGTCAGCCGTTTAGGGTACAGGTTATAGCTAAAAAAGCACCTCAGCAAAACGTCACCCGAGTGAAATGGCACCGACTGGCGAAAACGTCACCCCGCCAAAACGGATACTATTGTCTGGCGATAACGGCACCTTATTTGTTTTTTGGTACCTTGGTACTGAAATACATAAAATAAAAGTAACATGGTCAATTGCAAACACAAATAACTGTGAAATGTTAAAACAAGTTTACATTAGAAACGAGCCTCTACTCAAATTTACTCACCGACTCTGATTGGGAGGCACAACTGAACTTATTGTAAAAACATTACATGCTTTGAAGTAAAATAAATGAAATAAAAAATCACATGGTCACCTGCGAACACAAATAATTGTGAAATGTTAATCCCCTTAAAACAAGTTTACATTAGAAATTAGGGCCTACCTTAAGAATACAGTACCACAACCTTTTCAAACACGTGACAATACCCTATGACGTAATTTGTAGTATTTTGTTGCCAGTCACACGGGCGAAACAATGCCCTGTGATGTCAGGGGTCATCGAGTGTGCATGAGCTCCTCCCAGTGTTCTATCATCTCTACACGAAATGTCATTGAATACGCCAAGTGCTGTGGAGGGTTTTGAATATTTGTTTACTGAATATAGCCTGCGGCGGTGCATTTTGCAAGCGCTAGTTTACGAAAGCACTTTTATTTTTTATATATTTTTTATTTCGTTTTTCTCGTAATTCAGGTTAAAAGGGTTATAAATGGGAACTTATATACATATATTATTTTTTCGGTACATTAATTTTCATTATTGTGCACAAGAATGTAGTTTATTAGGTATAATATATTGGCGCTGAACACATCCAAATATCGCTAGTGTTAAGGTAGGTTACCCCGAACTCTATCCTTAGCCCTTGGATCCCCTGTACGATCAATCATCCCTTCACGATCATTAGGGTTCGGTAAATCTACCCATTTAGTTTCTATTATAAATTCTATAGCGGCTCTTCACACAAAAACATCGAGTAAAAAGAATTAAATGGTTTTGTGTCGAATACCTTGGCTACTGGAAACTGTCCTGGAACATTCACAAAAGACACTTTCACCGGCTACATTTTTTCAGAACTGATTCAAAAGCGAACTCACCGTTGTGTCGTCACTAGCCATGCACATGCCCTTCCTTGTTCCTTACTATTATCCACATCATCCTTACAGTGTTCCCTACCACACTTTTCTGACACAAAATCCACCCGACGAATTATTAAATAACATGTCATTCATGCGTTCTCGCGAGTTCGATGTCTGACGCCTGGACACGTTTTCAGTTCGCGCCATATCGGATCATTCCTCGCAACTCGATATCGGGTAGATTACGGAATGGGACGAGTGTGCCAAATGGCATCGGGATCATTCATAAGTGTCGATAGACTAAAGTCACGAAACAACATGCCTACCCGTAACCCTTCGTAAGGGTCCTTCACCTATTCGACCCTTTTCGTTCAGTTCCGTTACGTCGTAGGCATGACAGGGTAAATTTGCACTTTGTTTCACAGTGTTGACGTAGCTCACTCGGTTAGCTGTCGGGCTAACAATCCGAAGGTCACGAGTTCGCGTCCGACGGATTCTCACAAAAACTGGTTGCTTGTCTTTGAGACATGTGACCTGAGGCAGAGACCGTCCTCACAAGAAGTTGTGGTACTGTATTATAAAGGTGCTCCGAAATTAGCCTCTACTCCAATTTATTGGAGGGCGCAACTAAACTTATTGTGAAAACATCACATGCTTTGATTACCTTTACTCAAATTAACTCAATGTCAAGCTGAAACTGAGTCTGGCGGAAATGTCAAGAAACTGGACTACAGGTATACTATATATTTAATATTTATTTTAGTTAGTAGGAAGTAAATAGTAATTTTATAAATATTTCATATATATCTCTCCTTTCAGCCGGCAGTTAATACAGGTGCCATTTTTCCCCAGACAATTAGTAGCTGTTTTCGCCAAATGAGGTGCCGTTTTCGCCCGAGAAATCGGTGACGTTTTGCTGAGGTGCCGTTTAAGCCTGCACCCTAGGGTACTGGGTATGTTTCTGTGTTCTGATTTTGGCTGGGGTACATTTCTGTAGAACCGGTGCTGACAACGACCTCTTCAACCAAACTGTTACCGCATTTTTTATTGTTTAGAGAATAACGGGTTGGCCCATGCGGGTCACTAATTACAATGGACAGTCAGTGTATGTGTAGCGACAATAAAACTTATTTACCGATTTAAAGTCGATAAACTGGGTGATCAAGGTCCCGTCAGTATTCTGATACTCGAGGGTCACTGTGTCTTCCGTCGTGTTGGCCTGTATAGACTCGACCAGCACGTCGCCACCTTTGTTCTTGACGTTCACAACAAGCTGACAACTGACTAGGCTCGCGCACAACAACAACACAGACGACGAAAATACTAGAAACTTATCCATCCTTCGAAAACAAAACTTGTGAAATGTCAAACTTTAATTCATTCCGTTCCCTTCATATGGCAACCATTTTTGATAACCTCATCAAAAGAAAGAAGTGTTATGCTATATCGTTTGATTTATGGTGATCCAACGAATATTAATAAAAGTTTTCGTGAGATAAATAATTTTATGTTTCAAAGTATATACGATATTACCAATATATTGTATCTAAACCAAAGAAGATAGAATTCCCCTTTGTACCAGAGACTATATCTACATTGTAAAAAGTGGGAATTACGGAAACGAAAAGCGAGCGCGAGACCATTTATTTCACTTTTTGAGTCACTTTTGACGACAACGGCCAAAACTGATTTCAACGCCCCCTTTTGGGATTGGACCGAGTATACATGGAACCTTTTAAATTTATATATGCTTTGAACAGTTTCATAATTTGCTATATGGCTGAAATATTGCCGTTGCGATACTAAATTTTAACACACTTACACACTTGGACGTATTGGCTAAGAATTTGAAGATTTTTACCAGTAATTTGTCCAGCAATTTCCTCACTACCTCAATACTCAATGATATATATCAGACATTTTACGGAGGAATATACATTTATATGGCGCGTTTTTAAATTTATGAAGTTATCCAACTTTGACGAATACACAGTTTTGTGGATGTGTAGTATAGGATAGGCACACTTTTTCTTGAAATGCAAGCATTAAACTTGAAGATTTTTACCAGTAATTTGTCCAGCAATCGCACGTGTTTCAAGATATATGGAAAACGGCATTTGCTTGACTGAACCCATCCGTTAGGTTATGTAGAGTAAACAGAAGTTAAGACAAATCCAAATTACATCATTGCTATGACATACTATTTTCATAAACAATTTTGTGGCAAAATGAAAAGACTGGTGATGTCCAAAGAGAGAAGAGTTAACAAAAGAAATGTGACCTACACGTCCTGCATTAGTTTGGCATGCAGACCCTGAAACAGCCCTTGTAAGTCTATAATATTTAGCAAGTCTTGAATACCGCAGTATTCTTAAAACGAAGAAAGACTCTGGGCTTCTATTTATTATATTTCATAACTGTTCAACAACTCAATTTAACAACCTCGTGGTTGCACAGCTCATACGTGGGGGTTGTTGCTTGGCGACGCCAGGGGCTTAGCTAGTGGAAAATAAAATGTAAGCAATCATATTGCATTACTCATTTTTTCAACATATCTAACACAGAGATATCACGAAATATCCTTGCCACGTGCTGTACATGGCTGGAATAATGCCAATGCGACGTTAAATTTTAACTCACTCACATACCACATTTTAAGTATAAAACAGTTTGATTATTGTGATGAAACCCAAATATCCTCCAGACATATCAATTGTCAATGCAAGAGAATAACCACTGAAACAGATTCCATTTGGCGTAAAGGGTAAAGTAGCTGTGAAAATTAAACGAATTGACCACTGAAACTCAGTGATGACACCAGGTGTATAAAGGCAATATAACACGCAAACAACATCAAACCAACCAGTCAAAGATAATTTTGAGGTGAGGTGAGGTGAAATGGGGTTTAACGTCGCGTCCAAGATGATTGCACTTATATAGCGACGTGCATGTACGCGTATGTTTGTTTGGCTGCCTGTACTAGTCCGGACTGATGCCGATTTATAGAGCGAGCTCACTGAGATACCATGTCGCAGTTTAACATGGATACCCCACTCAGATACAGTATACTGACTCCGAGCCGACCAGTCCTTGTTTTAGCCCCTTAATGCCGAGCGCTAGACATGGTAACAACAAGTACCATCTTTTAACGTCTTTTGGTAGACGCGGCCGAGGATCGAACCCCGGACCTTCCGCTTTTCGGGCGGACGCTCTACCATTAGACCACGGAGGCGGTCCAGATAATTTCGACACTGGTAGGCGGGTCAGCCTGTAAATTAACAAAAGATCATGTAACTATAACAAACAGCCTGAAATAAGAACACACTAAAGTACTTCTTTCAAATTATTTATTTTGTTTTATATTTGTAACGATTTTAAAGTGTAAGCACGAAGTCTTGCTTTTTGTGCTCGTAGTAGCTACTTTACTGACCACGCCACTGGCCATACTCCCTGACCACATTTTCTGTTTTTCAGTCAACGAATATTCAATAAAAAATCTGATTGAGAACTTAATAATATAAGGATAACATGCGTGTCTAATTATTTGAATATTCAGACTTTCATTCATTTACGCACGCGTTCTCCTCGAAACAAATTCAACGTGCATCCGCATTCTCAGCATAGACGTCGTGTCTGTTACGCGTGCGATGAGGATGCATGGGTGAGTGAGTGAATGACGTCGTGTAGGGAGGTATACCATAGAAGCTGGAGACCGCCTCCGTGGTCTTGTGGTAGAGCGTCCGCCCGGAGAGCGGAAGGTCCAGGGTTCGATCCCGGGCCGCGTCATACAAAAAGACGTTAAAAGATGGTACTTGTTGTTACCCTGTCTGGCGCTCGCCATTAAGGGGCTAAAACAAGGACTGGTCGGCTCGGAGTCAGTATACTGTGTCTGAGTGGGGTATTCATGTTAAACTGCGGCATGGTATCTCAGTGAGCTAGCACTATAAATCGGCATCAGTCCGGACTAGTACAAGCAGCCACACACACACATACACGTGCATGCACGTCGCTATATAAGTGCAATAATCTTGGACGCGACGTTAAACCCAATTTCACCTCACCTCACCATAGAAGCTGGGAGAAATTGTTTTATAAAGCTTTCAAAAAGTTTTATGGTGGAGGACATTTCCAAATCTGACGCATCGGTGACAAAAATCATGTCGGATGCAATTCCCTAATGAGACTTGTACCATATGTTCTCGTGTTATTTTAGGTGAAAACTTGACTTGCCTTTGCATGTGTTTGTGACGGGTGGTGCAGGATACACTCACCTTTTCGTGAACATCTGGTATCATCACTATTTGATAGTGATTCATAAACACATGCTCGTGATGTAGTGGAAATCGTACAATAGACTCTTTATGCAGAGGTAATAGACACTGCAATAAGCAGAGATTTCTATTGGATATGGAAAGGGTTTTATCGCTATATTTATTTGAAGTTGACGGGTGATAAGGTAGACAAAAGTTTATGGATAACCACTTCTTTATTATACTGTAATAGCGGGTGTTTAGGTAGTGTCATGTTGTTTGTGTCTTCATTTGTAGGGGCTGAGATTATTTTTGTCTTCTGAAAAGAGAGCTGAGATTTTGTTTACGTCACATTTCAAATTCAACCTATGGAAAGAATGTTGTTTTTTTCTCATTTTACTGTTCATTTTAACATTATAACTGTACAGATGTAGGCGATTTTGAAACAGAACAATGAAAACAGCAGTACAATAAAGCATTTTATAAAATAATGAATAAAAGACCATTTTGTACAACACCACGTGTAGCAAAACCCAGTCATCTTGACATGTTTGTACAGTAAACTACGGTTATAACGAACTCAAAGGGACCACTACTTTTAGTTCGTAATAACCGTAGTTCGTTATCAGCATATGTACAGCATATATACAACAAATGACCGGGACTAAAATATAAGTTCCTTATATCGGTCAGTTCGTTATAAGCGTGTTCGTTATAAACGTAGTTTACTGTACTCACATCTGCTGGAGGAATGTACTTTTCAATTACTAAGATGATGTGGATGATTGACATAACTAGCATAACTTTCGAAGTCAACTGACCAAAAAAAGAAACGTTACCAAACTAAAAGTGGGACAGGTTGTGTTCACGCCCCGAATAGTGTTAAAAAATGATTGAGAATCAATCGCCCAAACACAACCACAACAGTTTGTTGAGTAATGCACGTGCTACATTAACCAGATCAGTTGAACTTGAGTTTGATTTAAAAACTTTTGCTGCACTTACAGCATGCCAGCCTACAAAGATATGGATATAAAAGGAACGATGTATTGTTCATTCACACCCAAACCATTGGACAGTGACAAATAACATGCTGAGATTAACGGTACTGAAAGAACAAGGCACTGGTATGATACATCAAGAAGCAGCGCAAGGAGCTTTGGCTGTAGCCGAATGACAGTCACCAGGCTGATGGTCCGTAATAGGATCACTGGTTGGACGGGAGACAGGCTATACTTCATTGTCGACATCTTTGGTGTGGCGACGACCTTGGCCGACGCCACAACTGGCCATGCATCATAACAACACCCCTGAACGTCGTGGAGCTTTTGTCTCCAAAAGCATTTTTAAAATATTGAAAGTCCAAATACACAGTTAAATGCATTTCTCCAATCACGAAGATCAGTTTTTGCCTCAGATTGGTCAGAATTAGGACACACTCACTTACATCATCACAAAATAGAAACAGGTGACATCTGACCCATTAGACTCCCTTTTTTATAGGCAAAACGCACCCATTAGGACAGAAGGTTCCAGATAGGTGCATGAAATGTTTGAAGCCAATATCATTCAGTCCAGTTCTTCTGAATAGCACTCTCCCACTGTCATGGTTAAACGTGATAGCTCTTATGCTGTGCCGTAGATTATAGACGCCTAAATGCAGTTATCAAACCTATATTTTTCACTCTACCACCTCTGCCAATATTTTTAGTGTGCTTGATTGTGTTAGTGGCTTTCGGCAAATACCACTCCATCCAGATGCAAAACACAAGTCGGCCTCAATTACACCCGATGGTGTTTCTGGATGGAGTCGCCTCCCTTTTGGCCTCAAAAGTGCTCTTGTGGTATTTCTGAACCATTTCAGAGGTAGTAAAGAAATGAATTGGCGTAACATACTAATATATGTAGATGACATAATATTTGCTAAAACGTTTTCGTATTCCAAAAGATCAAAGAAGCGGGAGTTACTCTACAACCAAGACAAATGTAAATTTGCGTCAAAACAAGTCAACTACTGAGGGCATAACTTCAGCAAAGATGGCATCCATGTCGATATACTTCAAAAATAGATTCAGTCACACAGATCCCACCCTTTAAAAAATGTCCATGGCGTGTGATTTGAAAAATCTTAGATTTGGTCTGGTATTATCACAAATATGCAGCAAACCTTTCTGGCATCGCCTCCCCTCTGTACAACCTTCTGAAAAAGACGCGTCTTTCGAATGGTCCAACAATTGCCAACAGAAATTTGAAAAGCTAAAGAAAGCCCTTATAACAGCCCCCATCCTTGCATATCCCCACAAAAACGAACCCTTCATCCTCAAACTGCAATAGGGTACATTTTAGGTCAACTTGATTCTCATGGCGTAAGGTGGAATGATGTTAATTCTTGTCTTTTGACCATACAAGGATCTTCCTGTTCTGTTTTTAGGAACAAACAATGTTGATTGGTAACATTTCTTTTGCTCGTCAGATTCCGAGTAAGGGTATATGATGATTAATGGTCATTTCCCATCATAGTCAACGGCTGTTATGGCCTCTTAAAATGGAAGATTAAAAATGATTATTAATAAATAATGGTTACAGGTATACTGTCTCTCTGGCTTTGCGCACGGAATATTCGGTATTGATGAGGATGGCCATATTGTGGTCGAGACCTTTTATTGAGGCTGAGTTATTTTTTTCAAGCAGACTGAGGCTGAGCTTTTTATATACACAAAAATATGAGCTGTGTTTTTCCCTAAAACAATCCGCACCCCCACCCTTAGAAATCAAATCGTCCGAGCCTGAGGCCGGCAAAATCTCCACTCTCACCAAACGACCCATCAACCTTTTTTATCTGCTGACCAAAACCCTGAGATCTAGTACCTCCGTCTTGGGCCGTCTCAATAATAACCCACCCAAACTCGTCGACAAAGTCAACTCCTCAAAAGTCCATCCCAGACCAATAGATCTGCGACCACAAAACCTGAATACCCCCCCTACACACACACACATCCAACACCCCCATCCACCCACATCATCAGCCACCTCCTCTAAATAGAAGCCAACACTGACACCTACTTCACCAGCTCCACCTCCCTCAATACCCTACTAAAAGCAAACGACACTAAACCCCAAGAACCCAAAGGTTTAGTTTATAAAATGGACTGTAACTGTGGTCAATCCTATGAAGGTGTAAACCCCTGCCCAATTACCCAATCAACACCAGAATCAAAGAGCGTTAAACTTCAACCATCAAATCAGACAGTAAAGCAGTCATCTGGGACAGCGCATTCAGCTGCCCAAATCTCAACATCAACCCGGAAAACATCCAAATGCTCTCCAACAACCTCCATGACTTCACTAAAAGAAAACTAACGGAAGCAGCCCAGATTAGCCACCACAAGCCTTCTCTGAACAGAGATCAAGGCTATTCCTCTGATCCGCCTACTGTGAACTCATCCAGCATTAGTTTGCCCATCATTCCACCTGTAAGTAATTTAATCACGTTTAGTTGGTTTCCTCATAGGTGCACACACGTGCTGCCGTAAGAGGCGACTATGCTTGCCGTAAAAGGTGATTATGCTTGTCGTAAGAGGCGACTAACGGGATCGGGTGGTCAGGCTGGCTGATCTGGTTGATGTATGTCATCGTATCACAACTGTGCGGATCGATGCTCATGATGTCAATCACTGGATTGTCTGGTCGAGACTCGATTATTTACAGACTGTCGCCATATAGCAGGAATATTGCTGAGTGCATGCGGCGTAAACAACAAACAAACCTCATCTCTTGTTCTCTGCCTATAATGTTGTTACAATGTTATCTTAATTCCTGTTTCAAACGTATATGACTGTCGAAAAAATAACTTTACGTTTTCTTGCCTATTAAAATGTATATGTTTTCGAATAGTAGAGCCGTTTCGTGACAGATATGGGGTCAATTGTGCCCTTTGTGATGAAACTTGGCACAGTTGTAGGTGATGACATTTCAAATATTTTCAGATATGGGCGCCCCCCTCCAAAAAAAATAATCCAATATGGCCGCCATGGAGGAATGAAATATTCTAGTATACTAGTATCTCATGTGAACATGGTAATAACCACAATATATATAAAAATGAACATTTTGGAATAGATTTACCCAACACTACATCTGTAAAGTAAATAATTTTATCACAGTAGACTATCTATGTTGATTTAGGTAATCTAAAGCGTGAACAAAATGAAAAGAATTGGAGTGAGTATGGTTTTACGCCGCTTTTAGCAATATTCCAGCAATATCACGGCGGGGGACACCAGAAATGGGCTTCACACATTGTACCCATGGGGGAATCGAACCCAGGTCTTCGGCGTGACGAGCGAACGCTCTAACCACTAGGCCACCCGACCGCTTAACACTCTTAATGAAGGTCAATCAACAAAACCAATATTGTATACTCATATGGTGAATACAATGACAACAACATAATGTGTAAAGAACACATTTGGTATTTATTAAACTATGCTGAAAATGGCCTTTGGTTTTGGTTGGTTGGAACAATTAAATGTGATCACAGTTGCCACCACATTTGCCATTTGTGGTCTAGTAGTAGAGCGTCCGCCCGGAGAGCGGAAGCCCAAGGGTTCGATCCCCGGACGCGACGTTAAAAGATGGTACTTGTTGTTACTCTGTCCGGCGCTCGGCATTAAGGGGCTAAAACAAGGAGTGGTCGGCTCGGAGTCAGTATACTGTGTCTCAGCCCGTTTCATAGCTTTTAACTATTCCATCATTTATCCAAGCAAATATAATCCAGTACATATCCTAAATTGCTACCCCATCAACGCACATGTTAAGTACAATAACAGCAATAGTTTGAGACCACCCCCAACTCGGGTGACATTTGCACCTGTGAGAATGCACGGGCCGGTGTAAGGTCATCACCTCATGCAGGACAGGTGTTAGGTAATTACCACAGGCTATAGGCCGTTTCATACATGCATGACAACACACGTATTATTTCTAAGTTTATCATCATTTTACCTGTAAAAGTACATTTTAAGGGTAATCACAGTGTCAGGTAGGATAGGCTAGAATAGGTCAATTTGCGTTACCCTTAATATATGCTATTTTCATAACCTTATAACTCGTGTTTATTAAATGGAGCCAGAAAAGCATTTTTCTTGCATTTCCGACAGTACTTTAATACAAGCAGCCACACACCAAGGCCGTAGTTAACTTTTTTTTGACAGGGGGGTCAAATATTTGTACAAGTATCACTTGTCACCAACTTTTATTTTCATGATTCAAATAAAACTGTTTTCTATAAAAAAAAATAATCCAGGGGGGCAACTGCCCTCCCTGCCCCCCGACTAGCTACGGCCCTGCACACATACACACACGCGCGCTCTCGCGCTCGTGCGCGTGCATGAACGTCGCTTTATATGCGCAACAATCTTGGACGCGACGTTAACCCAATTTCACCTCACCTCACCTTGGCATGACTTAGAGGGTTGTGGTAGATAGTCCACCAAGGCCCATAGCCATGTAACTGGTATTACCCATCCTCTCTCACTTGGAGTGGAATGGTCTGTTTCAGGATGAGTACTCATCGTAAATCTCAAATCAACAGCAAGAAGCAAACGAAGAAAAGGAGTCACACACTGCATTCAGCCAAACAGCAAAAATCTTCACACATGGGAGCATTTCTGATAATTGTCGAGAACAAGACAGAACTGTTTAAGTTCTTGGCTGAACAAGTAATTTCATTTGGATGGGGGCGGTCGTGTAGCCTAGTGGTTAAAGCGTTCGCTCGTTACGCTCGTTCGATTCGATCCCGACAAGGGTACAATGCGTGATATTGCTAAAAACGGTGTAAAACCATACTCACTCACTCATTTGAATGTGGGAATAAAAAAAATAATAAACTCTTATGGCAAACAGGTTCTGTGAAACATAGGGTCTGATGTTGTACATGATCTGCATCTGTGATCACACACTTAATTGTCACTAGCCACCAAAACATTAGCCATGTGCAAGCATATTTCAAGAGATTTAAATTTTATTCGACAAATATTCTGTTATTTAACACATGAGTATACCATATTGTGTAGTTAATTTGCTTTAATAATGTGTCTTAAAGAAATGCCGAAAAAGAAAGAAGTAAATATTTTTTCATTTTTTCACACTTTAAATAACCTAAATCAGAACAAATAGTCTACTAAAATATAGTTCTTTACTTTAAAGATGTAGTGTTAGGTAAAAACATTCGAAAATGTTCATACTTCATAATATATTTAGGTTGTGGGTCATGCTCAAACGAGATATACTGGAATTTCATTCCTCCGTGGCAGCCATATTGAATTTGGCGGCCATATTGGGTGTTTTTGGGTGGCATCACATCTGAAAATATTTGGTATGCTATTACCTACAACTGTGCCATGTTCTATTCTTTTGTCACAAAGTGCTCATTTTTTCCCCGATACGGCTTCACGAGAATTAACCGTTTCGCTTTAATGTTTGGTCATACTTTTTGATTAACTGTACTTTTGGTGTTGCAGACGAAAGTGTGAAAAAGAAAATTGGAGCACGTCAATATCTGAGCTCCTGAGGGTTAATATTAATCTCTGTCAACTGACTTCGATGTCGGACCCTTTAGATCGAGACAGAGGAGGAAGACGCCGCCGAAGACGAGAGAGACCCGGAAGAAAAGTATGATATTTACCGCTTGTCCTATTTTCGATCACTAATGGCATACGTACAGCTGCTTGTCTTGCGTGTTATTAGCAATTTAATATTATATCATGTCATCCTTATGTTAGCGGTTAGAATTTAATATCGTTTACAGCCGTTTTAAATGGTGTTTTAAATTGCAAAGAATGAGTTTTAGAAACGGAATCGTATTATTTTGTATCAAGTCCACACCATTTGAACAGTTTGTATTCAAACTAAGAGAAAGTATTTTTCCAAGGTCCTTGTTACACCATCATTGAAAAAAGTCTTTACTTTTCTGTATTCTGTATCTGGTATCTTTGTACTTGTAAAACACACTGCAGAAATTATCTACTGCGAACTCCACAAATTGTCCACATTCGTAATATTGTAAAATAGATGTCAAACCCATACATGTGATAGATGCTGCTCAAATGTATGTTATAAAACCACAAATATATACATTGAAAATGTCTTCACTAATACAGAAAATGTTTACTTGGTGTTCTTGGACAAAATCTTCACAGAGGTGAGGTGAGGTGAAATTGGGTTTAACGTCACGTCCATGATTATTGCACTTAGCCTGCAACCTCGGGGTATCGCGGTACTTGTCATGTACGCTAAACGGAACAAAATGCACTCACTAACCTTTATGATTATTCGTGTTCTCTATATCAGATGTCATTTATTTTATCTAACAATGCATATTTTACTGATAAAAGTTCATTATTTACATTAGTAGCTCCGAGTAAAAGCCGGGCCTCGCGCTCTGTTTGACAAGGGAGAGAACTCCACCGTATCGCGGTACAGAGAAAAGTTGTGTATGGAGGTCCGAATTGGACAAAAAGAGGACATAATTCTACCAATCACTTGGTACGATCCTGCCAGACATCAGTGATTTGTCCAGACAAGTGCAAAGACAGCACAAGTAACATTCTAAATGTGTTATCAGCAATAGGTATTCAATGCATATTTACCGAAAAGTAAGAGAAAAATATTTTTATAAGTCAACATCAAAATATCAGAAATGATATTTTAAGATTGTTTAAAAAAAATTAGATGGAAATAATTTGTCACAAAATGGAAAAATGTTAAAAGTCAACAATAAATATATAAAAAGCACTCCTAGTATGCCCAAAGTATGTATTTATCTTTTGGTTACTAGTGAAGAACGTATTTCTAAGTTTGGCATTATGGCCCTTATGATATCCCAATAGATTCTGGGCACAGAGCGGGGAAAAATGTGCGGACTACGTAACTTCCGTTACCTCATTAGTCGCCATGAATATGCAGATGATCTAGTTCAGGTCGATCGAGAAAGTTTACTTGGGGAACTACGGGTTATATCGTTGGCCATTGATAGATGGGGGTAAGGCAATATTACAAAAGATGCCAGAAGTATGTATCAACGCATTAATAACTCCTTACTTACAGCAGACGGAACATTCCGAGGAAATTGAAATTGTTTACGAAGTGTGCACTTCCTGGTTACTGATTAGCATTAATGGACATCTGCCAAGAGGCGTGTCCCGCGTGAACTATCGGAAATCACAAATGCCGCGATACGATGAATGCCGCGGTACCATGGGGTCCGAGTATATATAGCGAAGTGCTAGCACGTGTGTGGCTGGTTGTACTAGTCCGGACTGATGCCCATTTATGGTGCTAGCACCCTGAGATACCATGCCGCAGTTTAACATGAATACCCCACTCAGGCACATTATACTGACATCCCGAGCCGACCAGTCCCTGTTTTAGCCCTTTAATGCCAAGCGCCAGACAGGGTAACAACAAGTACCATCTTTTAATGTCTTTTGGTATGACGTGGCCGGGGATCGAACCGCGGACCTTCCGCTCTCCCGGTGGACGCTCTACCACAAGACCACGGAGGCGGTCCAAATCTTCACAGACATGTTACAACATCAGTATCCCATGCCAGTCCATCGCAAGCACTTCACTGTTATACATGGATCACTCAGAATCCCTACATGAAGATACAATTTGTTGAAATAAACATTATGAATGATGTACAATGTCAGAATTTAAGTCTTAATGAATCAGGTGGTGAGATTCGGGGATTTGGTTGACTGTGTGTTGCTAACAACTGGGGCTGCGACAGGTAACTTGGGTACTAGGGTCGGTTCGGTACTGAGTAGAACCCATGTAGCCAAAGGACTACTCGGTAGGGCTGGGACAAGTCCAAATTTACTACCCAGGTACCCACCCACCTATTACCCGACCCTACCGGGGTACCTGCTGTAGTTCTCAAGAGATAGGTACAAAATGTCCTACTGGGAATAGTTTGACTGTAGCCCTAGCAATATGTATTTAGTTACACGTATAAAACGATCTGAAGTTGACTGAAGTTTTATCTTTATTCAAACATCGAAAGTCAGAAGGAATATGCGCATAGTCAGAAAGAAATGTACAAGGGGCTGTCTTGGCTCATTGAAAGATGTGTCTGGAACCCCATGCACAGCAATTGGAGTCCATTTGTCCAAGGTTTAACCATAGCTTTACCCCCTCATACACCCCTTGATTCTAAACCCAAAAATTTTAAAGATAAGTTTAACCCCTCATATTTTCCTGCAATCTAAACCACAAGAATTCACATCGGACATCCAAGAAAGGGTACATCAGTAGACATTTTGCTGTTTTGTTTCTTGCACATCAAGCCTCGAACTTAATGACTCATTTACTTCATATTTATCGATTCTTGTAATCCTCTCATAAAATATGTAATGATAATTGATAGCCTGGTTCCTAATCATATGTTCAATGTCATTATGTTGCCTTCCAGGAGAGAGAGCGTGAACCGGACCAGTCACCGAATCCCAGTAAACCTCCCATCATCCTTGGACTGGTGAAACCAGCTGCAGAACAGGTACACTGACAAACAATCTTCAGCTCAGTACTTTGAGACTTTAAGTTTTTATCAGAAAACATAAATATTAATTTCAACTGTCAAGTGTCCTTTCAATTTGCATGTCAATCTTATCAAAATTTCCAAACCAGGACAAGAATTCAAATGTAGTGAATGGGTGTTTTTTATGCCTCTGTCAGTACTATTCTCTCTTTATAACAGCAGCCTCAACGTAATCCAATCTGAGCCATACATTCCAAATGTTGATATATTAGAGGGTGGTGGGGTAGCCTAGTGGTTAAAGTGTTTGCCCATTATGCCGAAGGCAAGGGTTTCGATTCCTTACATGGGTACAATGTGTAAAGCGCATTTTTGGTGTATGTTAGTGAGTGAGTGAGTGAGTGAGTTGGGTTGATCGCCGCTTTTAACAGTATTCCAGTTATATCGCGGCGTGTCAGCATTTTTGGTGTCCCCCACCGTAATACTGCTGGAATATTACTAAAAGCGGCAGCATTAAATTCAACTCATTCATTAGAAAATGTTGAATTCATAACCACTTACTAGTTCAAGGAGCCATTGATCTGAATCTGAATCCCGAAGTGATGCAGGTCTCGGACGTTTACCACTTCGGTGAAACCCACGAGCACGGGTATGGTGCTGACAAACCTAGAAACATAATCGGGGCGAACCGGGATTCATAGATCATAGGTTTCTGGCGTGCCCAAGGCACGCAACACTGCACAGCGAATCGCGGCGCCTTAGACGACTGGTCCACCCGTGCCCCCTTTCAGTATGTTAAAGCAAGTGCACTATTTGAACTACTTGTGTACTGCAGGCTACAGTAGGGGGTGCAGTCATGCAGGCAGCCAATCTCTCCCAGGGGGGCATAGTCAACAAGCCACAGGAGAAACCCATTGTTGTGCTTCGGTCTCGAGATGAAAACAGACCAGCACCTACCACCACCACCACCAACCAGGCCACCACAACAAATCAAGGGGAGACAACTGTGGGGCCTGCAGGATACCAGATTCAGCGGCATTCCTCTGTAGGACATTTAGCTTTTGAAAGTGAGTTCTCATTGAAACAGCTTCCACAACTCCGTCAATACATCACTGCTCTGTAGATACATAGAGAATATTACACTCATTCTGGTGGTTTAGAATCAAGCAATGATCGAAGCTTCCAAAGTGAGTCTAGATATCTGTCCAGATAGTTTTAACTGACTGCATTTCACCACACTTACAGTGAGAGGGATACCAGTGAGTACTCACACCAATGAGTGCTGAGTTTGCATTAAATATTTCTTGGTTGATATCGTGAGCAACATGTGCCGCAGCGTTGTGGCTGATTTAAATGACACGCTTCACCACTACACTGCATGTTAAAACATGCACTTGTTGTTACCCTGCCTCGCGCTCTGCATGAAGGGGACAAAACAAGGACTGATCGGCTTGGAGAAGTCTGTGTATACTGTGTCCAAGTTAAACCTTGGCATGCCAGATCTGTGTACGATATGTTTTTTCTCAACCGGAACAAAAGGCAGAATGGTTTCGATCACATGCAGCCGGATACAATGAACGTAATCGTTTCACAAATACACACACGTGTACTTCGACTTGGAATTAAATCTCATCAGTTTATTTGTCACTTTATTTGCATTAACACACTTTTAGGGTGAAATTCTTCATGCATTTTTGGGAGCCAAGGTTTACCCTGTGGTGCATCCGGAGTAGCGGTACATCAAGGAGCGTTAAGTCGAGGGATCACAGTATTTATAAGGCCAACATTAGTTCAGACTAGTACAAGCAGCCAGATGCACGCATGCACGCACGCACTCTCAACCACACACTCGCACACACCCATGCACGCACACACAATTATTATAATGTGATGTTAAAACCATTTTCACCTCACCCAGAAGGTACAGTCTAGATTTGTGTAAGACTGCACCTGTAGCTGTCAGCCATTGTGTAGCAGACAAGTGTTAATATCTAGCACTGATTGTGTTACAGACAGCTCCCAGAACCGCCTGGCCCCGCCCCCTGAGATGAAGCACTGTGTGAAGGTGGTGGACGACTCATTCCGCTGGTGCGATGCAGGAATAGAGGTACATATAGAGGACATAGGCACAAGAGCACCGGGATTGTGCTCACAAATAACAGATTGTGATCAGTAGGGCTGTTATGATTCACTTGTGTATTCGGTGAATCGAACCATATCCATTCATGAATTGAATTCGTTATTCATGGCCACGAGAATCAAATATTTATGAATATGCAAGCATGTGCATTTACATAAAAATACCCATTAGAACATATTATATGCATAGATTTCTTCAAAAAACAACACTCTTATACTATTTAATTTGACAATATTGTGGTCCCTGGTCAGATACTAGTACCTGGATATGTGCAGTATATAAATGTTTAATATATTAATAATTAACAAACCATGTCAAATAATTTCTGTTGTTATTGCTTCACTGAATATAACAAATAAAACATCAGCTGCTGACTTGTTATTGTATTCCTGAATTAATATTTGTATTCGTTACCCTATATTCGTGATACAAATCATATGCGCCTCATAGTGTATTCGTTGCAACCCAAGTGATCAGCAATTCCCGGATTTAAACACACATTCCTGACATGCCTAGGGTGCGCCTTAAACATGTGGGCCGCTGATGCCCCTGTAATGTTTCTTGTTGGTTCTTGGCAGTGTGTTTAGAATGTTTGTGGTGTTGTCAGTACTTGGCAGTGTAGAGTGTGCATCCTCTCTGTTTGTGGTGTTGTCAGTACTTGGCAGTGTAGAGTGTGCATCCTCTCTGTTGGTGGTGTTGTCAGTACTTGGCAGTGTAGAGTGTGCATCCTCTCTGTTTGTGGTGTTGTCAGTACTTGGCAGTGTAGAGTGTGCACCTGCATCCTGTGTCTGCTTGTTGTGGCAGATGCTGCTGGATCAGACTGACTTCCTTGTGGTAGGAGTTCTCGGGCCACAGGGCAGCGGCAAATCCACCATCCTGTCCCTCCTGGCGGGTACCTCCCCTCAAGATTCGTACAGGTAACCTAGTGTTGTGATTATAGTTATATTAGGGGTGTCCTTGTTACATTAGTGTTACATTAGGGGTGTCCCTGTTACATTGGTGTTACATTAGGGGTGTCCCTGTTACATTAGTGTTACATTAGGGGTGTCCTTGTTACATTAGAGTTAAATAAGGGGTGTCCTTGTTACATTAGAGTTATATTAGGGGTGTCCTTGTCACAGAGTTATATTAGTGGTGTCCTTGTCACAGAGTTATATTAGGGGTGTCCTTGTCACAGAGTTATATTAGGGGTGTCCTTGTCACAGAGTTATATTAGTGGTGTCCTTGTTACATTAGAGTTATATTAGGGGTGTCCTTGTCACATCATAGTTATATAAGGGGTGTCCTTGTCACAGAGTTATATTAGGGTGTCCTTGTCACAGAGTTATATTAGTGGTGTCCTTGTTACATTAGAGTTATATTAGGGGTGTCCTTGTCACAGAGTTATATTAGTGGTGTCCTTGTCACAGAGTTATATTAGGGGTGTCCTTGTCACAGAGTTATATTAGGGGTGTCCTTGTCACAGAGTTATATTAGTGGTGTCCTTGTTACATTAGAGTTATATTAGGGGTGTCCTTGTCACATCATAGTTATATAAGGGGTGTCCTTGTCACAGAGTTATATTAGGGGTGTCCTTGTCACAGAGTTATATTAGTGGTGTCCTTGTTACATTAGAGTTATATTAGGGGTGTCCTTGTCACAGAGTTATATTAGGGGTGTCCTTGTCACAGAGTTATATTAGTGGTGTCCTTGTTACATTAGAGTTATATTAGGGGTGTCCTTGTCACATCATAGTTATATAAGGGGTGTCCTTGTCACAGAGTTATATTAGGGGTGTCCTTGTCACAGAGTTATATTAGGGGTGTCCTTGTCACAGAGTTATATTAGTGGTGTCCTTGTCACAGAGTTATATTAGGGGTGTCCTTGTCACAGAGTTATATAAGGGGTGTCCTTGTCACAGAGTTATATTAGTGGTGTCCTTGTTACATTAGAGTTATATTAGGGGTGTCCTTGTCACATCATAGTTATATAAGGGGTGTCCTTGTCACAGAGTTATATTAGGGGTGTCCTTGTCACAGAGTTATATTAGGGGTGTCCTTGTCACGTCATAGTTATATAAGGGGTGTCCTTGTCACAGAGTTATATTAGGGGTGTCCTTGTTACATTAGAGTTACATAAGGGGTGTCCTTGTTACATTAGAGTTACATAAGGGGTGTCCTTGTTACATTAGAGTTATATTAGGGGTGTCCTTGTCACAGAGTTATAGCTGGAATATTGCCGAGTGTTGTGTTAAACATCAAACAAGAAATGACACTTGTGACACTTCATAAACATCACAGTAGTGATTTGTTTCCATCAGATTTAGATGCCAAGTTAATATTTCTTCTGAACAGATACCATAAATATATAATCGTCATCATACACATTGCGATTCCTGCAAAGTATTATCTCCGTGTTGTGTGCTTGACTTGCAGGAGCTACGTGTTCCAGCCACAGACGAAGGAAGTGAAGGAGAACGGGGCACACCAGACAAATGGCATTGACATGTACGTCACTCCCGAGCGGATCATCTTCCTGGACACACAGGTACACTTCTACAGTGGTCAATGTAAGGGGGTCCTTGGGTGCTGTATCAAACTACAATTTAGTCCAAACCCGCAATTCTGTTAGATTGAGTAAGTTTAGCCAATAATAGGCCATACTATAACACTACAAGCTACTGAAAACGATGCTAAGTTCGGGCTACTCAACTCAAAAGTTTTTGGCACAGACTGATATATTATTTGAATCTTAAACTTTGCCATTAGGGTTATGACAGGGATTCCATGGATAATTCTGAACACTTCTACATCTCATGCCCTCCCAGGGTTAAATAGGATCACATTATTCGTGGACATGGAATGTAACGTGTGTTCCATCCAACATGAAAGGACATCGTACAGGTTATTCCTCTTAGTCTGTGTCTCCATGGGGATATGAAGGCACTTTGCGAGCACCATGTGCTTGTCATAACAGACAAGTCTGCAGGTCTGCAAGTCCCACACTAGTAAAAGTCAGTCAGGACTGTTGTCATTTCCTTGTGAAGTATAACTTTTATCATTAGGTAGATGGCGACTGAGGCAGATTGTTTTGCAGATTGGTGAAAGTAGAAATTAGGACCCGGGTTGAGTAGTGTGGTTACAATGCGTGACCTGGTTGATTGTGTTACAGTGTGCTGCTGTGCTTCTCCTTTGTGGCTAAGGTTTCAGATTGCTATGACAATGCTGGAATATTGCTGACTGGGCATAAAACATTCACTCACTCTTAGTTTACACAATATTCAGGCAAATTTTGTCAGGCAAGTAATCATAGTAGTGGCGTAGGAAGAGAATTTATGGATGTCAACTTCTTTATTATGAGGAACACAACATTTCAGAGTATATACTTACTGCTTCAGGTATACTCCAAAACATTGTGTTCCTCATATTAAAGAAGTTGACATCCATAAATTCTCATCTTTATGTGTATCACGTCTAAATGCCTCTCAAAAACTTGATGGTAATGGCTGATGTGATTTTATCCCTGTGTCATCACCAGCCAGTACTCAGTGCCTCCATCCTTGACCAGATGATACACCAGGACAAGAAGTACCCAACAGAGTACACCTCCGTGGAGAACTGTATAGAGATGCAGGTAAGGATCTCACAGAGTACACCTCGATGGAGAACTGTATAAAGATGCAGGTAAGGATCTCACAGAGTACATCTCCATGGAGAACTGTATAGAGATGCAGGTAAGGATCTCACAGAGTACATCTCCATGGAGAACTGTATAGAGATACAGGTAAGGATCTCACAGAGTACACCTCCATGGAGAACTGTATAGAGATGCAGGTAAGGATCTCACAGAGTACACCTCCGTGGAGAACTGTATAGAGATGCAGGTAAGGATCTCACAGAGTACACCTCCGTGGAGAACTGTATAGAGATGCAGGTAAGGATCTCACAGAGTACATCTCCATGGAGAACTGTATAGAGATGCAGGTAAGGATCTCACAGAGTACACCTCCATGGAGAACTGTATAGAGATGCAGGTAAGGATCTCACAGAGTACACCTCCGTGGAGAACTGTATAGAGATGCAGGTAAGGATCTCACAGAGTACATCTCCATGGAGAACTGTATAGAGATGCAGGTAAGGATCTCACAGAGTACACCTCCATGGAGAACTGTATAGAGATGCAGGTAAGGATCTCACAGAGTACGCCTCCGTGGAGAACTGTATAGAGATGCATGTAAGGATCTCACAGAGTACATCTCCATGGAGAACTGTATAGAGATGCAGGTAAGGATCTCACAGAGTACATCTCCGTGGAGAACTGTATAGAGATGCAGGTAAGGGCCTATCATGAGCAAACATAGCTCTGATCTAGACAAGTGTAATTTTACTTTATATGTTCATCACATCATACAATACATTCAATGTATAGAATAGCATATTGAATAAAACACAAATACATGTATTCCCAATTATAAACGGATTGACGATTAAAAATACCGTATTCGACGTAATAAGCTCCCTAGAAATAGGGGGCCCTTATTAGAATATTATTTTGGTGAAAAAAAACAGAGTTGAAAGATAAATTTCATGGTTATGCTGACAGCCTGAAATGTTTATGTACGACAGATATATTTTTCCAGAATTTAATTGCCCATAATTAAGGGTGCATATAGCACACGAGTGCATATTATACGCGAATAAATAAGACTTGTGTACATTGATCAATGGGAAGGGGTGCTAATTAGGATTGTTCACCAGCCAATATATCAGCAAATGTCACCGTTGGCGCTAATTAGAGGGGGGCGCTTATTACGGCGAATACAGTATTGTTCATTCCGCTGAATTTGTTCAATGTGGCCATGTCATGAGGACTACATAAGTCTTCAGTGTGGATTTTACAGGTCGAAACAGTTAGTTCGTGCCTGGTTAAAGACAAAGTGGTTTAAGATTGTCTCCTCTTGTTGCAGTCTCTGCAGATGGCAGCCTTCCTGATGACAGTGTGTAATGTGATCCTGGTGGTGCAGGACTGGTTCACTGACGTCAGCTTCCTCAGGTCAGTCAGTGTCAGGTGTGGCTGTGTGGCTGTGTTAGCATCTGTGTGTCGTCAGCTTCCTCAGGTCAGTCAGTGAGAGGTGTGGCTGTGTTAGCATCTGTGTGTCAGCTTCCTCAGGTCAGTCAGTGAAAGGTGTGGCTGTGTTAGCCTCTTTGAGTCAGTATCCTCGGTTCTGTCAGTGAGAGGTGTGACTGTGTGGCTGTGTTAGCCTATTTGAGTCAGTATCCTCGGGTCTGTCAGTGAGAGGTGTGGCTGTGTGGCTGTGTTAGCCTATTTGAGTCAGTATCCTCGGGTCTGTCAGTGAGAGGTGTGGCTGTGTGGCTGTGTTAGTCTCTTTGAGTCAGTATCCTCAGGTCTGTCAGTGAGAGGTGTGGCTGTGTTAGCCTCTTTGAGTCAGTATCCTCGGTTCTGTCAGTGAGAGGTGTGACTGTGTGGCTGTGTTAGCCTATTTGAGTCAGTATCCTCGGGTCTGTCAGTGAGAGGTGTGGCTGTGTGGCTGTGTTAGCCTCTTTGAGTCAGTATCCTCAGGTCTGTCAGTGAGAGGTGTGGCTGTTAGCATCTGTGTGTCGTCAGCTTCCTCGGGTCAGTCAGTGAGAGGTGGGGCTGTGTTAGCCTCTTTGAGTCAGTATCCTCGGGTCTGTCAGTGAGAGGTGGGGCTGTGTTAGCCTCTTTGAGTCAGTATCCTCCGGTCTGTCAGTGAGCTGTGTGGCTGTGTGGCTGTGTGGCTGTGGGGCTGTGTTAGCCTCTTTGAGTCAGTATCCTCAGGTCTGTCAGTGAGAGGTGTGGCTGTGTGGCTGTGTTAACATATGTGTGTCAGTATCCTCAGGTCAGTCAGTGAGAGGTGTGGCTGTGTGGCTGTGTTAACATATGTGTGTCAGTATCCTCAGGTCAGTCAGTGAGAGGTGTGGCTGTGTTAGCCTCTTTGAGTCAGTATCCTCGGGTCTGTCAGTGAGAGGTGTGGCTGTGTGGCTGTGTTAGCCTCTTTGAGTCAGTATCCTCAGGTCTGTCAGTGAGAGGTGTGGCTGTGTGGCTGTGTTAGCCTCTTTGAGTCAGTATCCTCAGGTCTGTCAGTGAGAGGTGTGGCTGTGTCGCTGTGTTAGCCTCTTTGAGTCAGTATCCTCAGGTCTGTCAGTGAGAGGTGTGGCTGTGTGGCTGTGTGGCTGTGTTAGCCTCTTTGAGTCAGTATCCTCAGGTCTGTCAGTGAGAGGTGTGGCTGTGTGGCTGTGTTAGCCTCTTTGAGTCAGTATCCTCAGGTCTGTCAGTGAGAGGTGTGGCTGTGTCGCTGTGTTAGCCTCTTTGAGTCAGTATCCTCGGGTCTGTCAGTGAGAGGTGTGGCTGTGTGGCTGTGTTAGCCTCTTTGAGTCAGTATCCTCAGGTCTGTCAGTGAGAGGTGTGGCTGTGTGGCTGTGTTAGCCTCTTTGAGTCAGTATCCTCAGGTCTGTCAGTGAGAGGTGTGGCTGTGTCGCTGTGTTAGCCTCTTTGAGTCAGTATCCTCGGGTCTGTCAGTGAGAGGTGTGGCTGTGTGGCTGTGTTAGCCTCTTTGAGTCAGTATCCTCAGGTCTGTCAGTGAGAGGTGTGGCTGTGTGGCTGTGTTAACCTCTTTGAGTCAGTATCCTCGGGTCTGTCAGTGAGATGTGTGGCTGTGTTAACATATGTGTGTCAGTATCCTCGGGTCTGTCAGTGAGAGGTGTGGCTGTTTGGCTGTGTTAGCCTCTTTGAGTCAGTATCCTCAGGTCAGTCAGTGAGAGGTGTGGCTGTGTGGCTGTGTTAACATATGTGTGTCAGTATCCTCAGGTCAGTCAGTGAGAGGTGTGGCTGTGTGGCTGTGTTAACATATGTGTGTCAATATCCTCAGGTCAGTCAGTGAGAGGTGTGGCTGTGTGGCTGTGTTAGCATATGTGTGTCAGTATCCTCAGGTCAGTCAGTGAGAGGTGTGGCTTTGTGGCTGTGTTAGCCTCTTTGAGTCAGTATCCTCAGGTCAGTCAGTGAGAGGTGTGGCTGTGTGGCTGTGTTAACATATGTGTGTCAGTATCCTCAGGTCAGTCAGTGAGAGGTGTGGCTGTGTGGCTGTGTTAACATATGTGTGTCAATATCCTCAGGTCAGTCAGTGAGAGGTGTGGCTGTGTGGCTGTGTTAGCATATGTGTGTCAGTATCCTCAGGTCAGTCAGTGAGAGGTGTGGCTGTGTGGCTGTGTTAGCATATGTGTGTCAGTATCTTCAGGCCAGTCAGTGAGAGATGTGGCTGTGTGGCCATGTGGCTGTGAAAGCATCTGTGTGTCTGTGCATTAGTGTGTCAGTGTCAGATTCTGTGTCAGTGTGTTAGTGTGTTGGTGTGTCAGTGTCAGATTCTGTGTCAGTGTGTTAGTGTGTTGGTGTGTCAGTGTCAGATTCTGTGTCAGTGTGTTAGTGTGTTGGTGTGTCAGTGTCAGATTCTGTGTCAGTGTGTTAGTGTGTTGGTGTGTCAGTGTCAGATTCTGTGTCAGTGTGTTAGTGTGTTGGTGTGTCAGTGTCAGATTCTGTGTTAGTGTGTTGGTGTGTCAGTGTCAGATTCTGTGTCAGTGTGTTAGTGTGTTGGTGTGTCAGTGTCAGATTCTGTGTCAGTGTGTTAGTGTGTTGGTGTGTCAGTGTCAGATTCTGTGTCAGTGTGTTAGTGTGTTGGTGTGTCAGTGTAAAGTGTGGCCGTGTGCCAGTGTGTGTTGTGTGCCATTGTTTGGATGTGCCAGTGTTTTGTCCTGTCTGATCTGTATCTCTGCTTCAATGTAGGTTCCTGAAGAATGCTGAGATGCTGAAGCCAGCTACTCCGTCTGGACACGAGGGTTCCTCACACCCTGAAGATGCTCCTGACTACTTCCCCCATGTTGGTGAGTCATCACTTCACGTTTGAGTGTGAGTGAGTAAGTTGGGTTTAACACCGCTTTTAATGGTATTCCAGTTATATCACGGCATGTCAGCTTAATGTGGGAGGAAAGCCCGAAGTGATGCAGGTCTCAGACATTTGCCACTTGGGTGAAACCCACGAGCATGGGTATTGTGCTGACAAACCTAGAAATATAATCGGGGCGAACCGGGACGCGAAACCACAATCATAGGTTTCTGGCCTGCCACAGTGACGCCACTCTGCACAGCGAATCGCAGCGCCTTAGACGACTGGGCCACCTGTGCCCCCATTTTACGTTTGAAAGCATTCGGAATGGTGATGGCACATGGCCCTGTGTACAGCACACAGGTCACAAATCAAGTGAAGTCAAGCAGCTTTTGCAGAGAGTAGGTGACCGGGTGCAAGCTTGACTCGTGAGAGTATCTAGGGCTCCAGTTCTGTCCCACACCAAAACACATGTTACATGTGGTGTCCCCTTGCAAGTGAATTTGTTTGAATATGCCTCTTTTCACTTAGCAGTGAATGGGTACCCAGTAGGATGAGGTAGCAATATGACTGTTAACCCTCTAGCTGGTCATTTATAATCCCCAGGGAATTCCAAATGACATTTTAGAGAACACTCATCCATGAACCATGGGGAGTGTTGGTGAAGTAAGGAGTAATGGTATAGTTATTGAAGCATACTCAAATTCATCGATCTAGCTTGATATGAATGTACTCATTATTATCACTATAATTGAGGGGGTGCACAGGTGGCCCAGTCGTCTAAGGTACCGCGATTCGCTGTGCAGAATTTCGGCCCTTTGGCATGCCAGAAACCTATGATTGTGGGTTCGAATCCCGGTTTCTAGGTTTGTCAGCACCATACCCGTGGTCGTGCGTTTCACCGAAGTGGTAAATGTCCGAGACCTGAATCAATTTGGGCTTTCCTCCCACATTAAGCTGATGCGCTGCGATATAACTTGAATACTGTTAAATTACATTAAGTAATACGTTACCACTGTTATACCGAGGCTGTTGTCTCCCACAACTGCTGCTTTAGCGAAATCTACCACAGAGATCTCAATTACCTCATGCAGCACGTGCGTAGCCACCTAGCTGCCATGTGACACCCTTCACTCTTGTCTCTTCGCTTGCTCTAGCAAGACGTACAATAAACTGCTCAAGCGTTCCTGTTTCTCCGACCATTCGGTGATATTTATTACTGTTTATTCTCTCTAATAAACTGTGCTTTTACGGGGCGTTTGCTGTAACTACGCTTGGAAATATTTTTCCCGCCAAATGGAAATATTTTTCCCGCCCTTTTTTTTCTATATACTTGCGGGGTGTCTCGTATGCACGTTGCGTCTTACGTTCCCCTGTTCTAGTATATCTTGGGGTTTTTACATCACTTATTCCTCTATATGTTATATGTGTATGTCCTATATTCCCATTGCTCGTTTATTTTCTTGTGAAAATACTCGTTTGTGACTATTTGTGGTGCGTGTGTTGTAACCATGTTTTGCTCTTTGTTCATAGTACAAACAAAATGTCTGACATGGATGTTTCGCCGTCCTCCACCCCCTCTACCCCCGCAACCAGGAGCTGCGGGGTGTGCCGCAAGCGAGCGCTACCGGCTGTATGTGCAGTCCGTTTCCACCCCTGTGGTGGCCGGCTCGTCCGGTCGGGGTCCCCTTGCGGGTACCACCACCACGGCTGCGGCCGATCCCTTGGCGGCCCGTGGGCTGTCCGGGGTTTCCGTCGCTGCATTACTTGCATAACTTGTGGACTCCAAGCTGGCGGCCTTATCTCAGGATTTGGAAAACAGCATTTCTCCTCTCCTTTGCCACGGCGGCACGTGTATCCGAAATTCATGCACTCGATGTCGCCAAGGTACGATTCGATAGGGGTGACGAAGGAGCGGTCCGCCTGGGCCTGCTCATGGGCTTCGTCGCCAAGAATCAGAGAGTCGGGCAAACGGAGAGAGAATTCACTGTAAGATCACTCAAAGAAATCTTACATCCTGCTGATACTGAGGACAGAGCGCTGTGTCCGGTTAGGGCCCTTAAGTATTATCTTAAGGCTTCGAATGAACGTAGACAAGGGCTTGACCGTCTGTTCATATCGTGTAACCCTAATCGCACGGTTGACATAACTCGCAACTCGATTGCGTTGTGGCTTCGTTCTGTCATCAATCTGGCGTACCGGTCTCGGGGGTTACCGGTAGCGGGGTCAAACCCGCACGAGATCAGGGCGCTAGCGGCAACATTTGCCCTACACTCGAATATCTCTGTTCGCAGAATATTACGAGGTTGTTACTGGCGTTCTGACTCGGTTTTTGCCAATCATTACCTCAAACAGGTCGCTGATGCCGTCGTGGAGAGTGTGCACCGTCTTGGCCCGCGGATCGCGGCGCAAGCGGGCACCTAAGGGGTGTGCCCAGCGCAATTCCGAACTCCTCAGGCGTCAGACCTTGCACGGTGGTCAATCTGGGTCGACTCCAATGTTCCCACTGCCGTGGGTACAGGAGTTGGGGTCCCGCAAACCAGCGCACTCACACCACAGGTGAGGGCGGCTTTTTGTGTGCTTTGTCCTTATTTGTATTTTGACAATTATGTATTTAATTGTCTGTCGTGTATCCCAACCTTGTGATGCATGCTTACAAATACTGGAATTAGGTCACGCGCCTAATGCATACTTTAAGTAGGCTTGCTCTGGGATATACGGTCTGAATGAAATTAATTTCCCTCTTTTCGACTGTTTAACCTGATCTAAGATTAAGCTCACGCGGATACAGTGTTCTCATCCGCTGCGGCGATGAAATACCTATCCAGTGGGGCCGTTTGGAGTCACCAATCGTTTTGGCAATGACGATTGAGCCTTACGGTATGCGCTTGACAGTGCTTTGGTATTCCTATAGGGTAACGCCTAGCTAGGTGCATGCGCATCGAGTGCTTCCGCCTTGGTGTTTACTTCCGCTGGTCGGAAGAAACGCTAGCAGTCAGGATTCGGGTTGTAGGTGCTCCCCACCGCCTACTGTGGTAGTCAGCCTCGGTATAACAGTGGTAACGTATTACTTAATGTAATTTGTAGAATTTTCCTATTCGGAATATTCTATAAGTAATACGTTACCACTGGGCTGCTGCCCGCCCGTCCGTCCCCCGAGCACTTGCTCTCGCAAGAGACAAGAGTGAAGGGTGTCACATGGCAGCTAGGTGGCTACGCACGTGCTGCATGAGGTAATTGAGATCTCTGTGGTAGATTTCGCTATAGCAGCAGTTGTGGGAGACAACAGCCTCGGTATAACAGTGGTAACGTATTACTTATAGAATATTCCGAATAGGAAAATTCTACAAAATCGGCATTAAACCCAACTCACTCACTCACTATAATTGTGTAATGATTAGCTTAACACCACTTTCACTCATTTGTCAACCCTTGCTCAAGTAGGCAGCTTGTAGCACAATTTAAGGATTTAACAATTTCACTGTGCTAGCACGTCCCTTAGTCCTGAGTCATGCATTCCTTTTGCAACCACTGTTGCACTTCCTGTTGCAGTGTTTGTACAGAACCGAGCTAACCGCGACGACTACGGCCTGGAGACTTACAAGATGATGACACACACACTGGGCAACACATTCGACATGACCAAGCTCAAGTGTACAGGTAGGATATATACATCCCATACTAGGGCTGGGACGTGTAACTCGGGTTCTCAGGTCGGGTGGGTACTGAAAAGGACCTGGGTTCCCACAGGACTACCCAGACTCATGGTTGGTCATGTGATGTATTGTTTAAATGACAAAAATGATCTAGAACTTTATGTTTGCACTACATGTTACTAATGTTCGCATTTCTTTCTGACTATGCCCCCATTCCTTCTGACTTTTATATGTTTGACTAAAGATAAACCTCGTGACCAGATCGTTTTATATGTGTATCTAAATACATTTTGTCCAGTGCTACGGTCAAACTAATCCCAATTGGATATTTTGTACCTATCTCTTGAGAACTACCGCAGGTACCCGGGTTTGGGGGGTGTAACGTATCATTACAAGGTGTTTATGCTTTTTTTGTTGGCTGAAACTCCTGTCATTTATGTTTCCATGTTCTTACATTATGACCTTTATAATGCTGCAAGTATTCTAAAACACAGCAGGTAAGCTGCAGAGCTATTTAGCTCAAAGTCTTTTCACATTTGTTCCTGTTTGTGTGACGTGTGTAATCTGTGCAGGCACTGTCAACATGGTGCGTGACAACGTCATCCCCGGACTCACCTCCAAGACAGTCAAGTCAGACATGAACGTCTTCTGCATTCCCCAAATGGAGTACTACAAGCTGGAGCCAGGTGAGTGTCGTAACTCTTACTTAGTACTACAAGCTGGAGACAGGTGAGTGTCGTAACTCTAACTTAGTACTACAAGCTGGAGCCAGGTGAGTGTCGTAACTCTTACTTAGTACTACAAGCTGGAGACAGGTGAGTGTCGTAACTCTAACTTAGTACTACAAGCTGGAGCCAGGTGAGTGTCGTAACTCTTACTTAGTACCACAAGCTGGAGCCAGGTGAGTGTCGTAACTCTTACTTAGTACTACAAGCTGGAGCCAGGTGAGTGTCGTAACTCTTACTTAGTTCTACAAGCTGGAGCCAGGTGAGTGTCGTAACTCTTACTTAGTTCTACAAGCTGGAGCCAGGTGAGTGTCGTACCTCTTACTTAGTTCTACAAGCTGGAGCCAGGTGAGTGTCGTAACTCTTACTTAGTTCTACAAGCTGGAGCCAGGTGAGTGTCGTAACTCTTACTTAGTACTACAAGCTGGAGCCAGGTGAGTGTCGTAACTCTTACTTAGTTCTACAAGCTGGAGCCAGGTGAGTGTCGTAACTCTTACTTAGTTCTACAAGCTGGAGCCAGGTGAGTGTCGTAACTCTTACTTAGTTCTACAAGCTGGAGACAGGTGAGTGTCGTAACTCTTACTTAGTTCTACAAGCTGGAGCCAGGTGAGTGTCGTAACTCTTACTTAGTTCTACAAGCTGGAGCCAGGTGAGTGTCGTAACTCTTACTAACTACGACAAGCTGGAGCCAGGTGAGTGTCGTACCTCTTACTTAGTTCTACAAGCTGGAGACAGGTGAGTGTCGTAACTCTTACTTAGTACTACAAGCTGGAGCCAGGTGAGTGTTGTAACTCTTACTTAGTTCTACAAGCTGGAGCCAGGTGAGTGTCGTAACTCTTACTTAGTTCTACAAGCTGGAGCCAGGTGAGTGTCGTACCTCTTACTTAGTTCTACAAGCTGGAGCCAGGTGAGTGTCGTAACTCTTACTTAGTTCTACAAGCTGGAGCCAGGTGAGTGTCGTAACTCTTACTTAGTACTACAAGCTGGAGCCAGGTGAGTGTCGTAACTCTTACTTAGTTCTACAAGCTGGAGCCAGGTGAGTGTCGTAACTCTTACTTAGTTCTACAAGCTGGAGCCAGGTGAGTGTCGTAACTCTTACTTAGTTCTACAAGCTGGAGACAGGTGAGTGTTGTAACTCTTACTTAGTTCTACAAGCTGGAGCCAGGTGAGTGTCGTAACTCTTACTTAGTTCTACAAGCTGGAGCCAGGTGAGTGTCGTAACTCTTACTAACTACGACAAGCTGGAGCCAGGTGAGTGTCGTACCTCTTACTTAGTTCTACAAGCTGGAGACAGGTGAGTGTCGTAACTCTTACTTAGTACTACAAGCTGGAGCCAGGTGAGTGTCGTAACTCTTACTTAGTTCTACAAGCTGGAGCCAGGTGAGTGTCGTAACTCTTACTTAGTTCTACAAGCTGGAGACAGGTGAGTGTCGTAACTCTTACTTAGTACTACAAGCTGGAGCCAGGTGAGTGTCGTAACTCTTACTAACTACGACAAGCTGGAGCCAGGTGAGTGTCGTACCTCTTACTTAGTTCTACAAGCTGGAGCCAGGTGAGTGTCGTACCTCTTACTTAGTTCTACAAGCTGGAGACAGGTGAGTGTCGTAACTCTTACTTAGTACTACAAGCTGGAGCCAGGTGAGTGTCGTAACTCTTACTAACTACGACAAGCTGGAGCCAGGTGAGTGTCGTACCTCTTACTTAGTTCTACAAGCTGGAGCCAGGTGAGTGTCGTACCTCTTACTTAGTTCTACAAGCTGGAGACAGGTGAGTGTCGTAACTCTTACTTAGTACTACAAGCTGGAGCCAGGTGAGTGTCGTAACTCTTACTAACTACGACAAGCTGGAGCCAGGTGAGTGTCGTACCTCTTACTTAGTTCTACAAGCTGGAGCCAGGTGAGTGTCGTACCTCTTACTTAGTTCTACAAGCTGGAGCCAGGTGAGTGTCGTACCTCTTACTTAGTTCTACAAGCTGGAGCCAGGTGAGTGTCGTAACTCTTACTTAGTACTACAAGCTGGAGCCAGGTGAGTGTCGTAACTCTTACTTAGTTCTACAAGCTGGAGCCAGGTGAGTGTCGTAACTCTTACTTAGTTCTACAAGCTGGAGCCAGGTGAGTGTCGTAACTCTTACTTAGTTCTACAAGCTGGAGACAGGTGAGTGTCGTAACTCTTACTTAGTTCTACAAGCTGGAGCCAGGTGAGTGTCGTAACTCTTACTTAGTTCTACAAGCTGGAGCCAGGTGAGTGTCGTAACTCTTACTAACTACGACAAGCTGGAGCCAGGTGAGTGTCGTACCTCTTACTTAGTTCTACAAGCTGGAGACAGGTGAGTGTCGTAACTCTTACTTAGTACTACAAGCTGGAGCCAGGTGAGTGTCGTAACTCTTACTTAGTTCTACAAGCTGGAGCCAGGTGAGTGTCGTAACTCTTACTAACTACGACAAGCTGGAGCCAGGTGAGTGTCGTACCTCTTACTTAGTTCTACAAGCTGGAGACAGGTGAGTGTCGTAACTCTTACTTAGTACTACAAGCTGGAGCCAGGTGAGTGTCGTAACTCTTACTTAGTTCTACAAGCTGGAGCCAGGTGAGTGTCGTACCTCTTACTTAGTTCTACAAGCTGGAGACAGGTGAGTGTCGTAACTCTTACTTAGTACTACAAGCTGGAGCCAGGTGAGTGTCGTAACTCTTACTTAGTTCTACAAGCTGGAGCCAGGTGAGTGTCGTAACTCTTACTTAGTACCACAAGCTGGAGACAGGTGAGTGTCGTAACTCTTACTAACTACGACAAGCTGGAGCCAGGTGAGTGTCGTACCTCTTACTTAGTTCTACAAGCTGGAGCCAGGTGAGTGTCGTAACTCTTACTTAGTACTACAAGCTGGAGCCAGGTGAGTGTCGTAACTCTTACTTAGTTCTACAAGCTGGAGCCAGGTGAGTGTCGTAACTCTTACTAACTACGACAAGCTGGAGCCAGGTGAGTGTCGTACCTCTTACTTAGTTCTACAAGCTGGAGCCAGGTGAGTGTCGTAACTCTCACTTACTACGACAAGCTGGAGCCAGGGGAGTGTTATTACTGTTATTTTACTTCCACAAGTTGGAACCAGGTGAGTATCGAAATTTTACTTTAGTACTACAAGTTGGAACCAGTGGTAACTGTAACAGTTTACTTTACTTTTTCAGAGCCTATTCTCACCCTGCTGCCAGAATACCGAGGCTTCCCAACGTTCATCGCCCTGGTGCGATCTCTGCGGAACCAGATATACTCCTTGCCACGCCACCTCCTCACACACACTACGTTGTCTGAGAAAAACTGGTGAGCAGGGAGTTGTTGTTACTACCACGATATCTTGGGCATTGTTTTCTATCTTCATAAACTCTTGGGCATTTTTCTCTATAGGCACATACCCATGCTCATGGGTTTCACCGAGCTTTGAGCTTTCCTCCCACATTAAGCTGACACGCCACGATATAACTGGAAAACTGTTAAAAGCGGCGTTAAACCCAACTCACTCACTCACTCTATAGGCACAATCTGTAGGGCATTGTTCTCCATGGGCACATGTCAAAGGGCATTTGGTATGCATGGTAACAATATGTAAAGGATTGGTATCCATGGGCACACTTCATAGGGCATTGGTATCCATCTACGCAATCTGTAGGGCATTAATATCCATGGACACAATCTGTAGGGCATTGGTATCCATGGACACAATCTGTAGGGCATTGGTATCCATGGACACAATATGTAGGGCATTGGTATCCATGGACACAATATGTAGGGCATTGGTATCCATGGACACAATCTGTAGGACATTGGTATCCATGGACACAATCTGTAGGGCATTGGTATCCATGGACACAATATGTAGGGCATAGGTATCCATTGACACAATATGTAGGGCATTGGTTCTCCATTGTTGCGGTCCACAAGGCATTGTTCTCCATTGACACAATCTGTAGGGCAGATTAGGTCCCCATCGCCCTTAGCTTATTGTATGAGAGCCATGAGGATTGGGTGATCACTGTTTGACCTGGCTGAACATTGTACCCTGATCCTGCTCATGGTGAAGAGTGTTACTAAAAGGCTTGATATGGCAGCAATATTGTAGCTCTGTGAGTGACACAACACTACCTCAATCCCGAACTCACTCAGCATATAACTCCATGAGAGTACATAACAGCATCAACTTTTATGTTTTTACATGGAAAGAAAATAAACGTGTTGAGGTTCTGTTTTTTGACAATGTGCAATTAAATTAATTGTCAACTTCTGGTTTGCCTGACCCAGGTCTGTGGTGTCGACAATGTTCAGATCACTGACAACAGCAAACTTGATGTTTCTGCATGGAAAGAAATCAAAGAGGTCCTAGTGCATTTATTGTGTTTGTGATTTCTGACCACCACCTGTGTCCCTGTGTCTCCAGGTTTCACTATGCTGCACGGATGTGGGACACTGTGAGGAAGTCCCAGCTGCTGTCTGAGTACAACAGACTCCTGCCCTGAGACTCCCGCGGCAGACGGGGCAGAATCTTGCCAGACAGTGGACGTCCGTCAGTTCAACCTGAAGCTCCAGACAGCAGATGTGCATCTGAAACTTGCCAGCTAGCAGACGTCTACCCTGAAGTTCCAGACAGCAGATGCATGTTTAAAACTTGCCAGACAGCAGACATATGTCTGAAATGCCAGACAACAGACGTGCATCTGAAACTTGCCAGACAGCAAACGTCTATCCTGAAGCTCCAGACAGCATATGTATGTTTGAAACATGCCAGACAGCAGACATATGTCTGAAACTATAGACAGCAGACATTCATCTGAAATTTGCAAGACAGTAGACATCTACCCTGAAGCTCCAGACAGCAGATGTGTGTTTGAAACTTGCCAGACAAACTTGTGCATCTGAAACCTGACAACAACAGGCACATGTCTTAAACTTGCCAGATTGCAGACAGTTGTCCATCTGCTCTGAGACCCCAGACAGCAGACGTATGTCTGACAGGTGATGGTAAACAATATGGCAGAACACTGGGCGGTTGACTCTGGTTTAGTGGAGGAGGGTAGTTGGCACCAGGACGTAAGGAGAACCCTAACATGTTAAACAGAATTGATAGCTTCACGAAGCTAGCTGTGTTTGAATCTGAGGATATATAGAGTTCAAATTGGAAATAAGGCTAAGCAACAGATAACAATATTTTTTAGGTATTATTTGAGTAATCAGTGCTTGAAATATGCTGTTGTCAGAGGTGAACCCAATAGGGATACACTTGGCAACTGACTTAACTTTCAATAATGACAGTGACATACAGATGTAGGAGACTGCAGGGCCCGACTATGCTACAACTGTTGACTTCCTGTGATGACATACAGAAGTAGGAGACTGCAGGGCCCGACTATGCTACAACTGTTGACTTCCTGTGATGACATACAGAAGTAGGAGACTGCAGCGCACGACTATGCTACAACTGTTGACTTCCTGTGATGACATACAGAAGTAGGAGACTGCAGGGCCCGACTATGCTACAACTGTTGACTTCCTGTGATGACATTCAGATGTAGGAGACTGCAGCGCCCGACTATGCTACAACTGTTGACTTCCTGTGATGACATACAGAAGTAGGAGACTGCGGCGCCCGACTATGCTACAACTGTTGACTTCCTGTGATGACATACAGAAGTAGGAGACTGCAGCGCCCGACTATGCTACAACTGTTGACTTCCTGTGATGACATACAGATGTAGGAGACTGCAGCGCCCGACTATGCTACAACTGTTGACTTCCTGTGATGACATACAGAAGTAGGAGACTGCAGCGCACGACTATGCTACAACTGTTGACTTCCTGTGATGACATACAGAAGTAGGAGACTGCAGCGCCCGACTATGCTACAACTGTTGACTTCCTGTGATGACATACAGATGTAGGAGACTGCAGCGCCCGACTATGCTACAACTGTTGACTTCCTGTGATGACATACAGATGTAGGAGACTGCAGCGCCCGACTATGCTACAACTGTTGACTTCCTGTGATGACATACAGAAGTAGGAGACTGCAGCGCCCGACTATGCTACAACTGTTGACTTCCTGTGATGACATACAGAAGTAGGAGACTGCAGCGCCCGACTATGCTACAACTGTTGACTTCCTGTGATGACATACAGATGTAGGAGACTGCAGCGCCCGACTATGCTACAACTGTTGACTTCCTTTGATGACATACAGAAGTAGGAGACTGCAGGGCCTGACTATGCTACAACTGTTGACTTCCTTTGATGACATACAGATGTAGGAGACTGCGGCGCCCGACTTTGCTACAGCAGTTGACCTACTGTACTGACAGTGACATATATGTAGTTGTTTAAATGATGCACTTAACCAAATCATAAGACTTATTAATGACAAGGGGTGGTCTACATTGATTTCAAATTTGGTGACTGTTATGAACGAGGCAAGTCAGGGAAAGTGTTTGATGAATCAAGTGGCAATGTTTGAATGCACCTAACACAGGGTGTGCAATGTCAGACACCAGCCCCGATGAGGGATTACCATCAGCTATTATCAACATGTACTCGTGGTTTATGTTGTCACTCTGAAGATATAGCTTCACTGAGCAGTCTTGTTATCTGATATTAAGTTTGTCATGTTGATGTGTGTTGCTATGGTGACTGTCCCTGTGATTTAACTAGAACAATAAATTCTACTTAACACTTCGTTCTTTTTTCTGTCATATTATTTGATAAGAAAACGTACAACTTTATTGATAATAACTTCTGGTTTCTTGCATACCTATGGTAGGTTTTGATATAGATTCTTACACTGTTATCAAGCTAGAGTGATAACGGTGTAAGAATCTACATCAAAATGTCGCATGTGCTTTTGTTTGTTTGTTTGTTTGTTTGTTGTTTAATACCGCACTCAGCAATATTCCAACTATATGACGGTGCTCTGTAAATAATTGAGTCTGGACCAGACCATCCAGTGATTGACATCATGCAATTGGAATACGATGACATGCATTACCAAGTCAGCAAGCCTAACCACCCGATCCCGTTAGTCGCCATATGCAATAAACCAGAAGTTAGCCATGACATAGTATGTTTTCTAATTTACTCACCAACTTCTAGAATGCCGCCAATCAAACACATATTTTTGATGATTGAACAATTTGACGAAAAATTTGTATTGGAATTTAGACTGGCAGAGGTTCATGTTTATTTTTCATCCATGGCGACATTCTGTGTAATTAGCAATGAAATATTTACCTACATCAAGACCAATAGGTAATCAATGTATGAATGGTGATATTTGTGTTATTTAAATTCAGAATGTTATTCAATGCATTGATGGTGTGGATTGAGGCTGATGTGCATGGTCGGATGTTTACAAGTTGCCGTGGTAAAGTGGGAATATTGCTGACTGCAGGGGTAAACAACATTCACTCACTCATTGCACATGCGATAGAAAACCATTGTGCCGTCATCAGTTAGTTTGGTGCGTTGTTGTTACCCTGTCTGGCGCTCGGCATTAAGGGGCTTAAGCAAGGACTGGTCGGCTCGGAGTCAGTATACTGTGTCTGAGTGGGGTATTCATGTTAAAGGGGCGGTCGGGTAGCCTAGTGGTTAAAGCCTTCGCTCGTCACGCCATAGACCCGGGTTCGATTCCCGACATGGGTCCAATGTGTGAAGCCCATTTCTGGTGTCCCCCGCCGTGATATTGCTGGAATATTGCTAAAAGTGGCGTAAAACCATACTCACTCACTCACTATTCATGTTAAACTGCGGCATGATATCTCAGTGAGCTAGCACTATAAATCGGCATCAGTCTGGACTAGTACAAGCAGCCACACAAACACACACACGTACATGCAGTAACTATATAAGTGCAATTATCTTGGACGCGACGTCAAACACCATTTCACCCCACCACCTAGTTTGGTGTGTATGAAGTGGCACTTTTTTGGATATGTGCTGTCAAAAAAATGGTTGGAAAAGAGCAGTAGGTGACAAACAGTACGTTTCGCACTACCATCACACAAATAATGAAACTGACCATTGCAATAGTTGTCTATGAGTTATGCAAAGAAGTCTAAAAATGTTCATTTCAAGAATGCTGGAAAGTATCAGCACCCAGCCCACACGAATCACTTTTTTTCAACCTTGCTATCAGTAGGCCCTATCTGGAGTGTCCACCTCTCACACAGATGACATTCACAAGGTGTCTCCTCTAGGTGCATTGGGATCCTCTGTTATTCCTGGTGCAGTGCCTGGGTCAGTTCATTCAGGTTTTGAACGGGAGGGTCTCGAGCTCCACTTGGAAGCCAAGGAAATCCCAAAAGTGTTCAATTGAGTTCGGATCAGGGTTTGTCATTTATTTTCGGAATTGGATTTTCAATCAGGTTGTGCTTTATTAATTAATTCGCATGTGTACATTTCCATTGATATTTACCCTGTGGCAGTCCTCACTGTCAACATGTTGATCTGACTTTTACACTGGTGGTGTCGCGAACTAGTTGGTTGTTGATCTACAATTTACAATAACACACTGGGCTTCGATGATGCACCTTTCATTAACCGACCCATGAAGATTCCGGGGTAGAATAGGTCTTCAGCAACCCATGCTTGCCGTAAAAGGTGACTATGCTTGTCGTAAACGGCGACTAACGGGATCGGGTGGTCATGCTCGCTGACTTGGTTGAAACATGTCATCGATCCCAATTGCTTGGATCTATGCTCATATCAATCACTGGATTGTCTGGTCCAGACTCGATTATTTACAGACCGCCGTCATATAGCTGGAATATTGCTGAGTGCGCCGTTAAACAACAAACCAACCAACCTTTCATTAACCAAGCAGCGTTGTACAGGTACAAACAACTGGAAACACCGTGTATCAATGATCAATTTATTATGAGGTACCTCAGCTCCATACAACGCTATCGGTCTAAGGTCATGTGACACACAGCACACTCGCTTCAATATCATTGGCTAACATACGATGACATCACTAGTTTCCATGGTAACATAAATACAGCGAACCACATGAGTTTATTCTGAAGCAGTGGTCAATAATAACAATGGATGAAGAAGGATACTGTCGGAGCGGACTGTTGAGGAGAACTGGTTCAGGACTCTTCAGTGAAGTTAGCACCACATCAGCCAACAATACATGAATTATCTGTTCCTAACCTAAATGAGTATAGCTCCGAATTGATATAGCAATAATCAAGCCATATCACTCCCTAGAACACGGTGTCCATGAACTAGCAAGTGGGGAATTGAACCCAGGCCTTCGGTGTGACGAGGAAAATATTTGTACCCTAGGCTACACGACCTTCTCAACAATATCTGGTTTCCAATACACAGGTTCATATTTATATTCTTGCTCAAATATTGCAGCAGTTTCTGCTAAATGCATCTGATTTAATAGAAAATAATCAAATAATTTGTCACAATGAGAAAATATCAACATATTTAGTTTTCTACTGAATGCTGGTACATAGGATTGTACTTCAGAAATCTTTTAATGTTTGTTTCTTTAATTAAAGAAAATATATAAATGACCTTAAGGCAAATTGGTTTCCTTTTGCCAAATATTCTCACCTTTGAAATACTGAAATCCCAACTAATATTTAATAGATATACGTGATCAGGGAAGGTCATTTTGATGAGCTGGACTATCACTGGTAGCAGAATTCTTTAACTTAGGGACAGCATATTTAACCTGTTCATGAAATGTATCCCTACACTAAGCCAAACTTAAAGATCCCAATGACAAGGCTAGTTATTTTTAGCAGCAGTTGAAATTAACCTAAGACTTTTACTCGTCTAAATAGAACAGCTCTTAGAATACCCTAAACATCACAAGAACTGACTCAAGCTAATGCCAATTTGTATCCACAGTTACTTACATCGGATTTTCAGTGAAGCTAAGCTGCCATGTGTGTTTATGTGTGTGTGAGTGTGTTTATGTGTGTGAGTGTGTTTATGTGTGTGAGTGTGTGTTTATGTGTGTGAGTGTGTTTATGTGTGTGAGTGTGTGTTTATGTGTGTGAGTGTGTTTATGTGTGGGAGTGTGTGTCTATGTGTGTGAGTGTGTTTATGTGTGTGAGTGTGTGTGAGTGTGTGTTTATGTGTGTGAGTGTGTTTATGTGTGTGAGTGTGTTTATGTGTGTGAGTGCATGGGTGAAGTAGACCCTGAACCACTTCTCCAGAACATCGACACCGACAGTTGTTGAAACTGGACAACTAATACAATAAACAAAATAAATAAACATCTATTTTCTACAGTAGTGTTAGTTGACAGTAGTAATGGCCAATTAACCACTCATAAGCACAATATTCAACTTACAATATGGAAATTATACTGTGTTATCAATACAACAGCTGATTGGTCAGAAACTGTCACATGACCAATTTATAGCTAGATTATTGGTTGGTTTGATGGAGTGACATTGTCCAGTTCTGTGCAAAGATTATATAAATTCTGTTACTATGATCTGGCTCACGACTCATGTGAACCTGAAACCTTGCTTATCAAATCTATGCTCTTGGAGTATGTTAAGAAATATATATCATAATTTTAAAAAAATAGTCATGTATATCTTTTTTCATATTTTGCATGATACGACTTTGTTATCTATTACATGTCAAACAATTCTGACTCAATTTGTAACATAGTTATCTCCCCTTCAAAACGAGGTCATTTAAAAACTATCCTGATTTTTTTCTAACCCTCCTTTTTGAGGTCATGAAATTCTCCCAGAGCAATACTGTTTCGATTTTCTACTTCCAAAAGATGATGCTAACCTGTCTCATTCTGGTAGTCCAACCAATCACAACTCTCAAGGAAATACATTGCCGATATTCTACGTATACATTTGGTGACTACAAGACATTTGATAATATATTTGATTATGGGTTCAAAGATATGAAGCGACATTCCTCAATAAAGATAAAACTGTTCAAGACATAATCTTTCCGGAATGTTCACTCTGACCTTCGGCTGGAATAGTTAACGGAATGAACAGCGTCCTACAATGATGACGATGTCAGTACGAAGTGCAGCTAGTATGGCCAATATGTCCCCACAGTAAATACAGGATACAAGTGGAGGAGATCTCTGTACAATGTCTGCGTCATCTGTCACCCTACACGCATGTGACCTTCACCTTTACATCATGGGTAGAAACAGACAAGGATTACTCTGTTGGTAACTGGGACTCTGTCACTCCATCAAACTCCGTCACTTCATACAACCAAGCTGTTTAATTTCATATTAAAGACTAGCATTGTTGAAGTAAGCCACATGCCACCTTCTCCAAAATCAAGGGAACAACTTTACCCTGAAACAGTAACAAATCAACACATGCTTTTTTTAGCTGCAGGAACAGACACTCTGAAAAAAAATGCCATTTGATGAAATTAAGGGTTCAAACTTGAAATATTTACTATATTGTTTTGAAGTTGAAATTCAGGACTACCTTTGGACAAGATTATTTTTTCGGTTATAAACGTCCAGTTTAGGTTGGATTTGTTTCCAAGAAGATGGAGGTTACACCTGTGCCCCCCAAAACTGACCAGATTCAACACACTACAGGAACAGATTCAGCTAAGAGGAGGCGACCGTGTACATCGGTACTGAAGCGGGATGACGATGATGCCATCATAAGTCAGGTGGAGCTGGCCACAGTTTGTGCAGGAGATGATGTCATATCACAGCCAAAGAGACTGAACTACTGTCATGAGCAATGCCATTCCACTCTGTCTGTGACTTGGCACAATGCTCCTTGTGAGTGAGTGAGTTGGGTTTAACGCCGCCTTTAACCGCATTATATCGCAGCGTGTCAGCTTAATGTGGGAGGAAAGCCCGAAGTGATACAGGTCTCAGACGTTTACCACTTCGGTGAAACCCACGAGCATTGGTATGGTGCTGACAAACCTAGGAACATAATCGAGGCGAACCAGGATTCGAACCCACAATCATAGGTTCCTGTTGGCCCAAGGGACGCAACTCTGCACAGCGAATCATGGTGCCTTAAGACAACTGGGCCACCCGTGCCCCCCCCCCCCCCCCCCCCCCCCCAATGCTCCTTGTATTGTATTGAGTTAACTGTGGACTATGACTGACCTTGTCCCAAGGGAGGTAATCATGGATCCTGTTCTTGGGGTGAGTGAGTGAGTATGTTTTTATGCCGCTTTTAGCAATATTCCAGCAATATCACGGCGGGGGACACCAGAAATGGGCTTCATGCATTGTACCCATGTGGGGAATCGAACCAGGGTCTTCGGCGTGACGAGCGAACGCTTTAACCACCAGGCTATCCCACAGCCCCCCTGTTCTTGGGTCAGACATAATGTCTTGTTGTTTTCAGGAATAAACTTATCAACACAGACATTTGGGCACAATATACCATAAATCATGAGTTTAATCAAGACATACAAGATATGTAGATACTCAAATTTGAGAAGCTAGATTGAAGATGTTGAGTGACGATAATGTTTTAGACATAAATAAATAATGTTTGTGTTTTGACCAAATATTAAAACCTCTGATGTGGAAAGAGTTACACAGATAAAAAAAAGCCAACTTGACCCCAATTCATTTGAGACCAGTCCTAAAACAATAAGTCAGCAAAAATAATAGGACCTTCAAACTGGCTAGTCGGACACACACACTCATAGTACAAGATGTCAATTGTGGCACCATTCCAGCTAGTTGAGATTGGCTAGTCAAAATTTAAGGCTATGACATCACTATCTACAGAGTTCCGACTGCCTTTCTGTGATATGATCGATGAAGCTCCTGCACACACAGCTGCTGCCCCCGGCTGACCAGGCAGAAGGCACATGAATACTTAAATATTGCACTTTCAATGCTTAAACCAACGGACAGTGTTACATACAGTACAGCTAACTAAGATTATTTATATATATTCTGCAAATATATACACTTTGTATGCAAATAAACAAGTTTTCAACAAATGATTTGCAATCTTCTCATTGCACCTCATTCTGGCTGCGATCAGTCAAAACCGGTTCCAACCAGTCAGAACCTGACCAGACTGAACCTGCCTCTTGTTGGCTGTTTCTGTTAAGATGGTTGATCTTTTGTGTATTATGCTTCTTCTGAGACCAGTATTACAGAATCGGCAAGAATTAAAAACAAATTGCTGATATATATGCAAAATTGGTGTTTCATCGACCATGCAGCACCTTGTGCAGAATGTGACTCGTATGTTCGGCTGAGAAAACAATCCTCCATCTGACGGAGAAATAACTGTACAGGTCTTAAGTAATAAAAACATCACAAGGTAGATCCTCAACTAAAATGATAAAAATAGTCTGGATGGACAGAGATGTACAAACAGCGAAACTTTGAAAATACTGTTTTTGAAACTTGTAGCCAGCCCTATAGCGGTAACAGAAACAGTAACGGAAATCAATATTGACTGAGTGGATCTGGACACAAACATTGTCTATACTGGTTGTGGTGGATTATCATATCCGTCGAAGCAGACGCCTAACAAACAAGGGGAGGTAACTCCTGTCAGCATCTGTTGAAGACATCCCTGAGGTAACACACACCAATATGTTGACAATATTAGAATGCCTTATTCAAGACTTAAACAAACAAAATCAAATCCTCACGCATTATCTCATATTTGATTTTCATCACTGCTGTGACGTGGACGATAATCATATTTTACTCGTAACATAGGTTTTGAATTGTTTCTCAGACACTATCCTCAAGTCGTATATACAGAAAATCAAAGGGAAGGATTTCAACAAGAGAGGAGATTTTCTGTGAAGACACATTCGAATTTGTTAATATACACCGTGCGTCGTCTGAGCAGATCCGACCAGCCATGGTATGTGAATGAACTATACACAATGAGACATGAAAACCTAAAACAAGTATGTACAGACTCTAATGCCACGCTAGTTTCTAATATATTAAATGCTTTGATATTCGTGTACAAAAACATGTTTCACTCCATTAATGATTTTGATTTGATTTCAATTAAAAAATATAAATAAAAGGCAAGACATTGATAAAATGATAACGAGAGCGAACTGAACATTAGCACTTGTTGGCTGTGGTGGAGAATCTCTCAGCATCGCAGCTTGCATCTCAACATACAGCAGTTGTACATCACCTCCACTCACAGACATCACACGCGTATCACACAATGAGTATCTGTCGGCTCATCCATTCAGACAAACACACATTTCATGGTGTTGTTCCAGTACAGTTGAGACGGTATGAGCAGGGATGGAACCTAACGTTAGATCCAGTAGCCTGGTGAGTGTCACCTGATGAGTGTCTCCAGGAGAGTGTCTCCTGGTGAGTGTCACCTGGAGAGTGTCTCCAGGAGAGTGTCACCTGGTGAGTGTCTCCAGGAGAGCGTCTCCTTGTGAGTGTCACCTGGAGAGTGTCTCCTGGTAAGTGTCTCCTGGTGAGTGTCTCCAGGAGAGTGTCACCTGGTGAGTGTCTCCTGGTGAGTGTCTTCAGGAGAGTGTCTCCTGGTGAGTGTCTCCTGGTGAGTGTCTCCTGGTAGATGTATCTAGAATTACTGATTGTGTGTAAATGTGCCGTAATGATTGGAAACTCTGATGGTGGACTTCCCTTCCAAAGTGTTACTGAAGCAGGGTCGAAACCTGCTTTGGGAAACGGGCACATGGTGAGATGAGGTCAGAGAAATTCATATATAAAATTTTGGAGAAAAGAATTAATTTCACCTTTTATCACTGAACTCTGACTGTACATTGTTTCTTTTGAGGTAATAATACTCGGGTTTTATAAATAGGACTCCTGCCATCATTTCTCAGAAGCCTGAGAATGAATGGTCCAGTATCATCCTTATTCTGGCTTTGGACCTAAGGTTAAGTTCCATCCCTGCAGTAATGAGTAATTTGGTCTTGAAGAGATTATTTCTTGACCCCGTAGAAAGGTTTGGGCCCGAGTCTGAGAGGTTGGTTTTTGACCCCTCCCCCCTCATTGATGGTGATTGCTGCGGAACTAGGGAGCTCAAGACTGAATCTGTAACTGGGAGGGGTGGGGGCATCTACGGCAGGGCGTGACACAGCCCCTTGACACGGGGACACACTTCGCACACGACCTCGTGTTGACCTTGGTTTCACAGGAGGTGACCTTTCATCTTTTTGTACTTGACCTTGTTCTTCCTGATTTTTCTGTCTCTCGAAATAATCCATGAGTTCCTTGATGCTACCCCGTCTCTGTAATCCTGGTCCGGACTTCTCTTGAGGACTTTCATCACTTTTATGTTTGATGCCATGTGACCTTGGGTCTGACCAATCCTGGGACCTGTTCTTGTCCCGCAGCACTGTGTCGCTACCGGAACTGGCATTGTAGTCACTCGACCGGCTGTGGAAGGAACCGTCCATGTAGTGCGACCCTTCTGACTCTGACGTTGATGATTCACTCTGTGTGCGGCCATGTGACCCGCTTCTGTAGCGGGGGGGTTTACTGAAGTTGTTGTATTTCTCTTTCCGCCTTGCTCTGTACTCACGCCCGACCTCAGCAGGGGATGAAGGAGGGTGACGCTCTTCCACAGCCCGGTCATGCAAAACCTTCTGCCGGTTGGGTGTAGGGCTCCTTGATGTGATCCTGTTCTCTTTGTCCGCGCCCATGCCGCTACGCCTCATCCTCTCGCGAGATCGTGACCTCCGACTGAGACTGGTGTGTACGAGACGAGGCGAGGGGGCTGAGGCCTCGTCATCGGTGTCCATGTCTCCGTCCAAGCTTCTCAAAGCGCTGGATGGCAGGGACATGGACAACTGGGGGGAAGGCTGACAGTCTTCATTGGGACTCGAACTATCAGCCAGATTCTGGTCGGACCCCTTCTCAAACAGATCCATCAACGACTGCATCTTCTGACTTCGTTTCACTCGCAACGATCCTGTGTGATAGGTTCCAGATTCTTCAGAATCGAGATCTTCAGGTCCGAAAGTGTCATGGCGTTCAGCTGCAAGCTGGAGGACCGATTCATCCAGGGACGACCTGCTTCCGATCATGTCCTCGAAATGTCTGGTTGCCATCACAGGCTTGGATGTCTTCACGTGGAGGGGCTGAGAGAACTGAACCATGTTGCCCTCTTCTATCATCAACACGTCCGGGTCGGGGGTGAACCGAGGATGAAGTGGTTGCCGCTGGCGATACGAGTCAATGTCTGAGAACACATCGTCCTCCTGACTTGAGATTCCTGAAGGGTCAGCATCAGAAGGACCTGTGCTGGAGAGGTCAGGGGTCACAGAGTCAGACATATCATCCATAGCCTCTGCAAGCTGTCGAGGCGGATGTGGAACTTTTTTGGCACGAACAGTCTGTATACTCTTTTTAAGGTTTGGACGTCTTTCTATCACTAACTTAGCATCACCCTTTTCAGATGTAATTTCTTTCACAATTACTGTCCTAGAAATATTATCTTGGCCGAAGGTGAGAGGGGGAGTTTCCTGTCTCTCACTTCTTTTCACAGTGGGTCTTTTGACCTCCATGACCTCTTGGCTTGGAGGAGCAAGGTCGGGTATTTGTTGTGGGGAGGGGGAGCGGATTTTCACAATGGGTGGGGCCATCAAGGACCCCCCACACAGAGGGGGCATGTCATCACACTCAGGGGGTGGGGCATGTTTTTGTTGGCGCTTCTTTGGAACGGGCACTGACTTCCTTTCCCGTTTGACAGGAATCTGACTCAGGTGAGACACAGGTTCTTTTCCCATCATCACTTCCTTCCCAGAATTCAACACATTTTCAAACACTTCTGACCGGACCTCACCAAAACTTTGAACTCTTACAACTTCAGTTCCCCTACTTTCAGACTTTTTGTAACTACTGTGAACATAATTGTGACTGTTTGATTCGGATGACAGCGTCAGTGACGTCTCCACCTCCATCACCTCAGAGTGGTACGAGGATGACTGAGGGTTGAGGGTGAAGGTCACTGAGGTGTCGGGGGTCACACTTCCCCCTGTGCCGACATCCCCACACTGGGGGTGCTGACGCACACCACTGGAGTCAATACTGTAAGCAACAGAACAGGGTGATGTCCGGTCTGACCGCACACCGTCAGACATATTGCACATGTGATCCACATCCATCATCTCGCTACTCCTGTCATGATCATGTCTATATGCCATTCTTTGATGGAATCGTTTTTCTGGATCCTTCCTGGGAAATGTTTTAGAAGAGTATTCCTCTGAAACCTGTTGTGACGTTTTGTCAGCAAGTTTCGACTCAGTGGTCGATCGTTTGATGGTAGGTTTCTCCACAGTGAGAGTGTCGTGGACGACGTGGACTTCAGGGAGTGACGGAGACATGTGAAAGTGGCTGGGGGGGATGCCCCCGTGGTAGTTGACGCCAGGATACTGGGGGTCTCGGTGCCTGGAGGTCGGGGACAGGGGAGGACCTCCAGGCTGACCTCCAGTGCAGTAGAAGTCTCCCGGCAGGACCAGTCTGTCTCCCCCGAACCGGCTGTCTTGACTCCCCCTGTAGTCCAGGTTCTGTACCACATTGGGAGAGGATCGCGGACTGAGCCGAGGACTACTCTCCACTGAACTGCTGCTTGCTGTGTATGGGATTCTAGGACTGGATCTTCCCATGCTTTGAGGGCTGGAGATGTTGGCTCTTGGTGTTTGAGATGTCAGTGTTCCAGTGGGCGTTCCCTGACTGCCGCTGTCGGAGAATATCGGACTGTCCCTCCATGTGACGGAGTCCTGGTCCACCATGTCGGAGTCCCGGCCGCCAGGAGAGCTGTAGCCAGGCAGACTGGCATTGCTGTTTCTCAAAGAACTTTTCACCGAGGCAGATATGTGGCTTTCGGAGTAACTTTGTGGGAAGCCTGTGGCAAATTTTGGAGGCTGAGAGTTGTTGTGACACACATACTCAATGCTGCACTCACTGTTGTCTTCCGACTCCGTCTCTGTTGATGAATCCGAGTCAGAAGAGGAGGTCGAGGAGGAGGAGGAATTTTCCTGAGCACAGATATCCGCAACATGAGCCCCCGACCCAGAACCACACTCACCGGAAGACTTCATTGGAGCCTTCAGCACCCTTGGAGCAGCTACGATTTTTAAGTCAGTTGGTTTAACAATGGAAGTCTGTTTGCTGTTGTTGTTTCTTTCACTGAAACTCACAGCACTGGTCTGCCCATTCACTACACTGTCACGGACAGTCCGGTCTTGCTGTGGTTCTTGAGCTGATGGGGGAGCTACTTTCACATTCCCAGAAACAATCTCAATTTGATCAACAGGTGAGAACCTCATTTTGGGAAAACTACCACTCTCCTGTTTTTCTGCTGCATGCCTTGTTGTTTTTGATTTGTCTATTCGAGCATAGTCAGGGATCTCACTGGGGAAATCTGTCTCTTGAGGGTTTGTAGGTGTGAGCACATCCTCTGATATATGGAGAGGGGGGAGATCGTCGACAGGGCTTTCGTGCCGCCCATACCCCTCCTCCTCCATCTCCAGTGCACGGTCAACATTCCTCTTGAAGGCATTGTCAATCTGCATGTTAATCTCCTTCAGAGTGCGGCTTAACGGGGAGTCTGTCAGGCTGTCTAGAGAAGCGCTCCGCCGCCGCCGAGCCTCTCCCATTGGGCTGTCATCACAGAGGCTCAGGTTGAAGCTGTCGACAGACTGAGACAGTTCACTGATTGTCACAGACGACAGAAGGTCTGACTGACTGCCCACATTCACATTCTCTAATGATTTAGCGATGTCTGACGGCACACTTAAACACTTGGACATTTGGTGCTGGGGCTGACTCTGATGCATTTGCTGTAAATTGTTCTCCAACGTTTTGATTTCAGAGTTCAAACTTTTATTGGACTCAGGTGTCTTTATTTCCTTGTATTCATGGGGACCGATTTCCCGAAATTCGACTGGGCGGCTGGGAAGGTGTTCAGTCTTCACTTCCATCGGAGGAGCATGCTTCTCCTCCAGAACCTTCCCACCACTTCCCTCATGGTCGGCTTTCTTGATAGTCTTCTCAGGGGGAGAAGGTATTGTCTCATATATGCCGTACTGCATACCAGTGGAGGTCAACTTATTGTCCAGTTGATCAATTAACTCACTCATACTAGAAGGAGACCCCATGATCATTGTCTCCCGAACTTTTGGACTCCCATTTTGCTGCGAGTCCTCATCCGACAGAATCTCGGCGTAATCATGATGCCGAGAGTAGAAATACTGAGTAATGATTGGCTCATTTTTATTTTTGTCACCATTTTTCTCGGAATCATTCTGCCCTTTCCTCCTAGCACCAGGACTTGCAGGCAGCTGCACAGTCAAGATGTCCTCCTCGCTGGAACCAAGGCTGATATTTTTCTCAACATTCGCCTTCTGTTTCTTTCTACCAATCGGAGGCATCTTAGCGCAGCGTTTCTGTGGACTGATCTCCTCACTAGACCTCGGAGGTTTACCGTCACCATTCTGGCGAATCACATTTCTTTGAATCTGAGGCGAGTCGCCCTGCAGACTGCCCAGCCACTTGTCCGTCTGCTCATCTTCATCATAGCTGTCGGGGGAGGAGTCCATATCTCGGCCCAGCTCTAGGTGGGGGCTCTCTAACGAAGGCTGAGAGGACGTTTTGTGCCGAGATGACACTTTGCGAGATTCACTAGAGCTCCGATCGTTGCGGGGGGTGTTAGGAGCTGATGGTGTCCTTCGATGTAAGGCCTTCCTGGTAGAATCCCCACGAACAAACGACTGTTTTCTCTCAGGCTCCCCACGCTTCTCTGACCTTGACCTTCGACCGGCCTGTCGAGGCTCAATACCTTGTTCTGAAAGAAAAGCAAATGAATTTAGGGTAAAGAAGTAAAGTGTTTGAATTCTTTTACAGCTTATTCATTGGACCTATTCAAACTGTGTTCATGTGCAATCAACACATTCTTATTTCTATGAAAAAATATATCTCCATAAGCAATAGGTTATCAAGAAATATAAAACATGGCCGGCATGGGTAGACAACATGAACTAAAAGCTTGTCCACAGCTCATTAAAGTCGTTTCCTACTTTGAATCCTAGTGTCCCTCTCCAACCCTGTCAGTCTACTACTCCAGTGTGCTTGCTTATACCGTAACATGGCTTGGGTCCCATTCCACTTAGCTGTCTTGTCGCTAAGAATATGTGTTAAAATATGGGAGTTACGATCACCTTAGTGCTAAGATCACATTTAGGGACGTAGTCTCTAATAATGCAGGATCATGTTCTGGGAAGCGTAATGTCCTGCGCAACATACAGTTTTGGGACCCGTGAAGATTAGGTCTTCAGCAACCCATGTTTGCCATAAAGGGTGACTATGCTTGTCGTAAGAGGCGACTAACGGGATCGGGTGGTCAGATATCACAGACATCATGGTGACTGACAACATCACAAATCTCTCCCACTCTGAAGCTGGTTAGCTGTACTTATAAAATTGAGGACCCTGGTTTTCACTTTTTAAAAAATGAAAAAGTAAGAAAAAAGATTATGAATGATAACCAGAACTTCAGAGAGTCTTTTGATATCAAATATATCAATACAGTAAACAACGGTTAAAACGAACACGCTTATAACGAACTGATGGATATAACGAACTTACTCTTTGGTCCCACCTATTCGCTGTAGTTATGCGGTACTTATACTTATAACGAACTACGGTTATAACGAACTAAAATTAGTAGTCCCTTTGAGTTCGTTATAACCGTAGTTTACTGTATTGATACTTATTGATACAAGCCTTGTGATCATATATTTGATACAAAAAGACTCTCTATATAACACCAGGTGTGTTTTATTAAATGATCATCACATATACAGTTTGGCCCTAGTCCACAACCCAAGTCAGTTTGTCTACTGTTAAGGCAGGGTCGAGGGTTTGGACACACTTTTTACATTTAATGTTTCACAGATTTATTCCAGCTTTTCCACACAAGTGGAATCAACCCCCCCCAAAAAAAACAAGTACAAAAGTGAGCGTGGCTCACTAATACCCCCGACCCGCCTAGTGTGTCAGTAGTTACAAATTAAAAAGCTAGGATAGGGTTAGGGTTGGAAAAATTCATTAAAAAATGGCAAATTAATAAAAACAATTTTTTTTCTTTTGACTGCACCCCTCCATATGACACAGATTATATGTACTAAGTTTGAGATGAATCCACTGAATAGTTTAAAAGAAATCGTGCGGACAAAGTTTTCGGACGGACGGATGGACTGAGGGAACCTTGGTATAACTGTATAATAATAAACAGTCAATCATTTATTTATTTACCGGTATATAAAAGTCATTCTGCTGTGGAGTTAAAACTGCAGCTGGCTTCTTGAATCCCTGATAGTGATGTAAACATGGCATTTACATGTAACATATTGTATTGTATAAGAGGGTCTATATTACTAGCGGGAGACATAATACAAAGAAATATTTCTATGTTGAATTTATTTCTTTTCCAGCTGCTTTTCAGATGGGGTGCAGGACCATGAAACGAAAAATAAAAGATATGTGGCCCTTGTACAGTGTCAGGTATTTCCGAGAGTATTTGGGTGAGTAAGTGTTCCAGGTTAAAAGATATGTGGCCCTTGTACAGTGTCAGGTAATTCCGAGAGTATTTGGGTGAGTCAGTGTTCCAGGTTAAAAGATATGTGGCCCTTGTACAGTTTGAGGTATTTCCGAGAGTATTTGGGTGAGTAAGTGCTACCTACAGTAGCTGCACCCACCGTGAGGAGTCACTGACAGATCCACGTCGATGGGGACCTCGCGCCCGCTGTTGGTGAAAGGGTTGTCATAGGAATGGTGATGGAGGATGGCGGTGGCGTCGGACGACAGGGATCGCTTGTGGTGACTTGTGTGTGGGTGCTTCTCTTCTAGGGGGAAAAACGCATTAATATCAAATAATTAAAGTTCTGCATGCAAACACAAACACAAACACAAACACCACTGCACAGCTGTGTTACTACAGATCAGGGTTAGAACTAAACTCAAGCGTTTTACTAGCCCGGGTAAAGATTAATTGCCCTTGCAATGTTAGATCAATGGGGAAATTTGGAAATTTGTACTAGCCTCCAGGAATTTGTACTAGCCCCAGGCCAGTGAGTGAGTGAGTGAGTTTGGTTTTACGCCGCTTTTAGCAATATTCCAGCAATATCACGGCAGGGGACACCAGAAATGGGCTTCACACATTGTACCCATGTCGGGATTCGAACCTGGGTCTTCGGCGTGACGAGCAAACGCTTTAACCACGAGGCTACCCGACCGCCCCAGCGGGCTAGTGTAATTTCTAACCCTGATTATCACAGAAGGAACATGCAGACATTTGTTATCTTGTAAGCATCTGCAGGAGAACACGGTTATTACACATACAGACACAACTACATAGTACACCATGTACTCTCGCTCATAACAAACAATTTCAAATGTTCTGACAGCTTTGCAATAGGTCATCATTCATGCAAGTAATGTAACGCCTTTAGCAAATTGATTTCATCAAAACAAATTTCATTCACAGTTTGGTTAAACCCTAGTTCACGATTTAAACACAATAAGTTGAAAAAGAATAATGCACATATTTCTGAGTAATTGAACATGGACATTTCTGGTACTTCGCATCATCATTTAAGTGAGTGAGTGAGTATGGTTTTACGCCACTTCTAGCAACATTCCAGCAATATCACGGCAGGGGACACAAGAATAGGGCTTCACACCTTTTGCCCATGTGGAGAATCGAACCCAGGTCTTTGGCGTGACAAGCGAACACTTTAACCATTAGGCTACCCCACAGCCCCTCATCATTTAAGACATTAATCTACTTCTAATCTAATCTAATCTAATCTAATCTAATCTAATCTAATCTAATCTAATCTAATCTAATCTAATCTAATCTAATCTAATCTAATCTAATCTACCAATGATGCCTAGCTAGGGCTAGCAGACTCTAATGTTTTTGGCACACACTTGATGCAATGAAGATGTGTGTGTGTGTTTTTGTGTTTTAGTTGAGTATGCAGCACTCAGCAATACTCTAGCTATATGACAATGACCTGTAAATAATCAAATTTGGACCAGACAATCCAGTGATTGTATTGTGAGGGGTACGAAGACATGCAGAAAACCAAGTCACCAAGTCTGACCACCCGATCCATTTGGTCGCAGGGGAGATCGGACATGTGCATGCTGTCTGCTTGTGTATGAAACATCATTGATGTACCAGAGAGTGAAACAGTAGTGCCCCGTACCTCCGTAGACGTTGACGACCATGAGGTTGTCGTTGACCTTGGAGCACCTGCTGCTTGAACTCCTACTAGAACTGGCCAGCGAGAGGAGAGACTCGGCACTCTTGGCCGTCCGGAGTCTCTTCTTCCAGTTGTGGACGTCCTCCTCCGTCAGCGCCTTGGCCTGGCGCGACCCCACGCCACCCAGACTCACTGTGTCTGCAACACAACATGGAGTGAGGAGGTGGCAGTCGGGGTGGAACTGGCTTAGCTCAGTCAAAACATGCATTGCACTGTAAGATGGATTTGCAAATCTGCAAACAGTGACATGGTTTGACAAAAAGGATGAAAAGTTTGTTTGTATTGATATACTGTGGCACATGTGCAGTGTATATATGTAACAGTTTAATGACCATCTTTGGTGCGACTTCTACTCTGAATCTCCTGATTGACAAGTCCTCCAGTAAATGTATGTGGAGTGAGTGAGTTTGGTTTAACACTGATTTGAATAGTTACATCACAACATCTCGGCTCAATGTGGGAGGTAAGCCGATAGCCACGCGGGCCTTAGACTTGGTGAAACCCACGACCAAGGGTATGGTGACAAACCTAGAAACATATTCAGGGCGAACTGGGATATTAACCAACAAGTTTCTGTCATGTCTAAGGGACACAATTTCAAATTGTAAATTGTGACACCTTTGTTGACTGGGAGTCAGTAATGGAGGGCAATGTATGAGACGGAGTCATGGGAGACCAGGAATTAGCTGTATGAACCGGAGTATCGTGCTGACAAACAGTAATAATTAAGGCAATCCAGGATTCAGCAGATCCTGGCACAGCTATGGGACCTAACTCTGCCCAGCTAATTGAGCAGCCACAGTTATCAGTGTCAGAGTGAAGTAGGATGAGGATGAACAGGAACAGAGAACCACTGATAATGAGTAGAGGTCGTGAGAGTTGGGACACTCAGTAGAGGTCGTGAGAGTTGGGGCATTGAGGAGAGGTCGTGAGAGTTGGGGCATTGAGGAGAGGTCGTGAGAGTTGGGGCATTGAGGAGAGGTCGTGAGAGTTGGGACACTCAGTAGAGGTCGTGAGAGTTGGGGCACAGAGTAGAGGTCGTGAGAGTTGGGACACTGAGTAGAGGTCGTGAGAGTTGGGACACTCAGTAGAGGTCGTGAGAGTTGGGGCACAGAGTAGAGGTCGTGAGAGTTGGGACACTGAGTAGAGGTCCTGAGAGTTGGGGCATTGAGTCGAGGTCGTGAGAGTTGGGACACCGAGTAGAGGTCATGAGAATTGGGACACAGAGTAGAGGTCGTGAGAGTTAGGGCATTGAGTAGAGGTCGTGAGAGTTGGGGCATTGAGTAGAGGTCGTGAGAGTTGGGACACTCAGTAGAGGTCGTGAGAGTTGGGGCATTGAGTAGAGGTCGTGAGAGTTGGGGCATTGAGTAGAGGTCGTGAGAGTTGCGACACAGAGTAGAGGTCAGGAGAGTTGCAACACAGAGTAGAGGTCGTGAGAGTTGCGACACAGAGAAGAGGTCGTGAGAGTTGCGACACAGAGTAGAGGTCGTGAGAGTTGGGACACTCAGTAGAGGTCGTGAGAGTTGGGGCATCGAGTAGAGGTCGTGAGAGTTGCGACACAGAGAAGAGGTCGTGAGAGTTGCGACACAGAGTAGAGGTCGTGAGAATTGGGACACTCAGTAGAGGTCGTGAGAGTTGGGACACTCAGTAGAGGTCGTGAGAATTGGGACACTGAGTACAGGTCGTGAGAGTTGCGACACAGAGTAGAGGTCGTGAGAATTAGGACACTCAGTAGAGGTCGTGAGAGTTGGGACACTCAGTAGAGGTCGTGAGAATTGGGACACTGAGTAGAGGTTGTGAGAATTGGGACACTGAGTAGAGGTCGTGAGAGTTGGGATACTGAGTAGAGGTCGTGAGAGTTGGGACACTCAGTAGAGGTCGTGAGAATTGAGACACTCAGTAGAGGTCGTGAGAGTTGGGACACTGATCAGGGATTATGATTGTTTGTTTATTTACACCGCACTCAGCAATATTCCAGCTACATGATGACCGTCTGTAAATAATCAAGTCTGGCCCAGACAACCCAGTGGTTGACAGATTAACAAGGATCTTTAAACAGTATTTCGAATTAAGAAGGAGAGCGTGTGAGTCATGAATGAGTCGAGAGTAACTGAGAGCAACATATTTTGAACCAAATAAGTATTTACTGAATCATTAACAGGGGCGGATATGCTAGTTTGAAGTCTGAGTCAAGTAAAATTTCTTTCGGTCTAGTAAGCAGGTAAGCTTTGCTAAAAGATGTTCAAACATGAACAGTAAGGTCTACTGAAAATAATGTCAAGTGACTGGTTCAGACTACACTGAAAAGGTTTTGCAGCAGAAGCTTTGTGTTCGTACCCAGCTCCTTGTGGCTGCCCTGGATGCTAGACTTGCGGGCCTTCTTGATGCTGCCAGCCCGGGGCTTGGAGAAGAAGGATTTCCACCCGCTCACCGGCGACTTCTTGTTGCCCTTGGACGATGTCTCCTTCACCGTGTTGGCCTTCTTCCTGTACAGGCAATGGGAGACATTATACTCCTAGGAAAGTCACTGAAAGTACGTGAAAAATCAAGTGATCTAATACCCCTGACTTATTTCTTCCATGCATAGTTCTGTCCTGTTTACAGCTGATGCCTGTCACAGTCCGTAAGTAAGTCCAAGAGAACTGATCCACTGAGAGACTGTGATCGTGTGCCCTGATATACTGAGGGACTGCAATTCTATAGGGTGGACAGACAAATCATGCAGTATTACCTGTATCCAGGGAGGTCGATGACCGTGTGGTATTTGGAAGGCAGACTGTCAGGGCCGCCCCCCACGTCGATGTAGCGCTGGTTGGGGTTGAGTCCCCCGAGGAAGGCCCTCTCCCTCGCCTCCTCCAGGGTCAGCAGACGAGTGGGGGTGGAGATCGCCAGGGACTTGGGCCGCGGCTTCTTGTGAGATTCTACAGAGACACAACAACTTGCAAACTAAACAACTGAAACTATACTCCCATATGTTAACAATATGTGCAGTGTAAGATGCTACCCACTTGAACAAGGGGTAAATAAGGGTTCAGATTCACGGTTATAAGGACTTCATTTTTGCCCAAGCCAAACCAAAAAGACCAAAGCTTTCACGTTCAATACAAACTTGGTGTTTAATGTAAGCTTGTCTTAAAGATGTTTTGCAAATTTTCAGCGCCGGTCTAGACATTACAATTATTGGTTGTACTCGTTTGAGTGAATGATGACATAAACATTACTTGAACAAAGATTGAGCTATCTGATTGGCCAGTCTCCATCTTGTAGACACAGATACAAGTCAGCAGGCTGGTGGATATGGACATCATGATGTCATAGTGTAATATACTAGCGACATCACAGCTGACCTTCTGGAGACACAGTTGCTGTACTGTGAGTCCCATATCAGGCGCAATGTGGATCACAAAATATGGTTTCGTGGTTGTAAGAGACATTTCAGTCAGTTAAATCCATCACCCTCTACTGGTTGGTTGGTTTGTTGTTTAACGCCGCACTCAGCAATATTCCAGCTATATGACGGCTGTCTGGAAATAATCGAGTCTGGACAAGACAATCCAGTGACTGATATCATGAGCATCGATCCACGCAATTGGTATCCATGACATGTATCAACCAAGTCAGTGAGCCTGACCCCCAAATCCCGTTAGTCCCCTTTTACGACAAGCATAGTCGCCTTTTACGGCAAGTATGGGTTGCTGAGGACCTTTTCTACCCCGGAATCTTCACGGGGAGCACCCTCTACTGACACAGGTATCTCACTTCAACACGCTGGACTGCTGGGTACTTACTCTGTAGCTCTGGCGATGAGTATGAAGGCATTTTATCACTGAAGATGATATCACAGTAGCAGATGAGACACTCGGTCACCACGGCCTGTATCCCCACCCCCTGCAGGGCTGCTGCCCCGCCCCCCATCTCAAGCTCCTTCGACCTGCACACATCAACATCAATGTAAGGGAAATATTTGTCTTGTTTCATGCTTTACACTGCAGTCAGTAACACTACAGTCATAAGGCAGCCTAGAGATAATCGAGTCTACATCATTCGTCATGTAGAAAGTACATAAATGACTGGGTCGTAGATATTCCCTTGTGAAGTGAGTGAGTGAGTGAGTTGGGTTTACGCCGCTTTTAACACTATTCCAGTTATATCACGGCGTGTCAGCTCAATGTGGGAGGAAAGCTCGGAAGTGATGTAGGTCTCAGATGTTTACCACTTTGGTGAAACCCATAAGCTGACAAACCTAGAGACATAATCGGGGCGAACCGGGATTTGAACCCACAATCACAGGTTTCTGGCGTGCCCAATGGATGCAACTCTGCACAGCGAATCGCGGCACCTTAGACTTGGACACCCGTGCCCCCCAATGTGAAGTACTAATTATGGGTAACTGAAAATAATATATTCCATCTTCCTGATGCAAGGGAGATAACTGACTATAAAAGTCCATTTTCCACCTTTGCAAACTAGGCTGGAATTTCTCGGATTCCTGGAATTTCTTGGATCAATCATAGCGCCACCAGTGGCATTTACGAGTTATGTCCCTTCTATGTCGCTCCTATTGTCCAATCAGATTCCACAGCTCATATCACTAGCATTTGTTTCAAACAAAATGGCAATCTGATTGATAATCAAAATCAAAAGTGGATCAAATCATGTGAGCATCTTGATAAAAAACATGAAAATATTTGGAAAATATCTGTTGACGCCGAGTTTTTTGTACACATGCTTTGTAAATCCTGCAACTAACATAAAACTGCACTGCAGCTCATGAACCGGATGTCAAATTTTGTTAAGCGATTTGACTATGCATAGACTTGTAAGTCCTGCCAAAATGTAACTCTATAATTCCAGCCTAGTTCTTTTATAGTCAGTTGACTCCCTTGCCTCGGAAAGATGAATATATACTTGACCTTGATCAAAGTGATTTTGTAAGAAAGGCTTAACCCCTGGTAATAAGTATCCTGCAAAAATCCATTGAGACATGACACATGCTAACACAAAAAAGGGGAACACCAACATGTCATCTGTGACACTATACTAAACTTGACAGGCTGATGACATACCTGAGAAGGTTGGGTGCCCAGACAATGGCCAGGTTCTTGGAATGCATGCCAGTGTCGGGGCCGAAGCCTGCCACCCGGGCCAGATGCCGCATCAGGTACTCCGTGGTTCTGTAACAGTATACACTCATATCACAGCAGTCTGTAGTCGGCAATATCAACGTGATATAGGAAGATTATACACCAGTATAGACAGTCATATCACAGCAGTCTGTAGTCGGCAATATCAACGTGATATAGGAAGATTATACACCAGTGAACAATATCACAGCTATATACAATGTGTCTATCTCGTGAATGATGTTGACTATGAGACCCACCTGTAGTGAGGGGGAGGCAGCTGCTGCACCACGTCGTGAATCTTGAGGAGCTTGTTGTCCTCGTCCCGCACAGCATCCTGAAACACAAGGCACTATTAGGAGCAGGGAGACTTAGGAGGTGGCAGGCTTAGGAGGAGGCAGGCTTAGGAGGAGACAGACTCAGGAGTGGTCTGTAAATAATCAAGTCTGGACCAGACAATCCAGTGATTGACATCATTAGCATCAATCCACGCAATTGAGATACGATGACATGCATAAAAAAAGTCAGCGAGTCTGACCACCCGATTCCATTAGTCGCCTCTTACGACAAGCACAGTCGCCTTTTATGGCAAGCATGGGTTGCTGCAGATCTATTCTATCCCAGACTTCATGGGCGTCCAGGTGGAAGGGGGTGGGGCTTACTACTGGGTCATACTTACAGCAAACTTATCATACAGCTGGTATGTGAGCAGGGGGTTAGGGAGTTCACGGAAGTACATCTTGAGAAGTGAGCTGATGCTGTGAATGTCCTGCAGGTAGCAGTCGGCCGTCAGATCCGGCACACGGTCCTCGTCAAACGCCAACCTGTGACAGGAGACGTACAGAACTCAGTGCTAGACACGTGATCAGCAATAAAGCATGGGTGGGAAATGTTATCTCAGGTCATAGCATTACAGCTGCACAACATAAGGTTCTTCTGTTTCTGACAAAACTGTCCAGTAATCAAAACTTCATACTTGACTGACACTTCTATCACAAAAATGTTCAGAACGAGTGAGTGAATGTTGTTAAAAGCTGCAGTCAGCAATAATGAGTGAGTGAGTGTGTTAAGAGTGAGTGATTGTATGAGTGAGTGATTGTGTGAGTGAGTGATTGTGTGAGTGAGTGAGAGATTGTGTGAGTGAGTTAAACCCGGCTCTTTGTGTGATGAGCAAACACTTTATCCACTTTAAGTACCCCACTACCCCAGGAGTACACAGGATATTGATGTAACACACTTTGCCATATACAATCTGTACGTACCGGAGCTTCTGGATATTGGAGGTGATGCCGGAGAGGCGGTAGATGCCGTCAACGATGCCATGCTTCTCGATCACCTCCGTACAGCTCTTCAGCACCAGTGGGACTATAACAGATACAACACAATGTACATTTTGAGAATCTGGAGATTACGGTATGGGAGTATGGCTTTACACCACTTTTACATTCAATTTATGGAGCTTTTATATTCAATAATACATTCTAGCAATATCAAGGTTGGGGGCTTTGTACCCATGTGGGGAATTGAACCTGGACCATTGGCGTTATGAGCTTTAACCACTAGGCTACCCAGCCATCCTCTAGAGATTCAAAACACATATATAGAGTTATTACAAAATAAATTATTTGCATGAATATTTTTCTCCTAATGTTTCAGAAAGGAAGCAGTAAATTGCTAGCAAGAAATGATGCCACACCATACCCATGAGGTGGGGAGAATGTAGAGGTGGGGAGAACGTAGAGGTGGGGAGAAAGTAGAGGTGGGGAGAATGTAGAGGTGGGGAGAAAATAGAGGTGGGGAGAACGTTGATCTGGGGAGAATGTAGAGATGGGGAGAAAGTTGAGGTGGGGAGTACACTGAGTTGGGGAGAACGTAGAGGTGGGGAGAACGTAGAGGTGGGGAGAACGTTGAGGTGGGGAGAACGTTGATCTGGGGAGAACGTAGAGGTGGGGAGTACACTGAGTTGGGGAGAACGTAGAGGTGGGGAGAACGTAGAGGTGGGGAGAACGTTGAGGTGGGGAGAACGTTGATCTGGGGAGAACGTAGAGGTGGTGAGAAAATAGAGGTGGGGAGAACGTTGATCTGGGGAGAACGTAGAGGTGGTGAGAACATTGATCTGTGGAGAATGTAGAGGTGGGGAGAACATTGATCTGGGGAGAATGTAGAGATGGGGAGAAAATAGAGGTGGGGAGAACGTTGATCTGGGGAGAACGTAGAGGTGGTGAGAACGTTGATCTGTGGAGAATGTAGAGGTGGGGAGAAAGTTAAGATGGGGAGAACATTGAGGTGGGGAGAACATTGAGGTGGGGAGAACATTGAGGTGGGGAGAACGTTGAGGTGGGGAGAACGTTGATCTGGGGAGAACGTAGAGGTGGGGAGAACGTTGATCTGGGGAGAATGTAGAGGTGGGGAGAACGTTGATCTGGGGAGAATGTAGAGATGGGGAGAAAGTTAAGATGGGGAGAACATTGAGGTGGGGAGAACGTTGAGGTGGGGAGAACGTTGAGGTGGGGAGAACGTTGAGGTGGGGAGAACGTTGATCTGGGGAGAACGTAGAGGTGGGGAGAACGTTGATCTGGGGAGAATGTAGAGGTGGGGAGAAAATAGAGGTGGGGAGAACGTTGATCTGGGGAGAATGTAGAGATGGGGAGAAAGTTAAGATGGGGAGAACATTGAGGTGGGGAGAACGTTGAGGTGGGGAGAACATTGAGGTGGGGAGAACGTTGAGGTGGGGAGAACATTGAGATACTTACTCAACTCCCCATCGTTGCCAGAGTTGAGGAGGTGTTCCCCGAGATCGCAGCCGAAGACTCTCTCCTTGACGATACCTGACTGCTTGAGCTGGTTGCGAGCTGGACGGGTGGAGAAGAACGTCCGTAAGAAGGACATCAACTTGCCATGCTTTTTCATCACTGCAAAGACAACATGCATAATGCTAGGTTCATGCATCAAGCAAACGCACACAGGTTAGTGTGGGTACAGGGGGAGTTGTCTCCCTTCCCTCCACATGCTGGGGTCAGTACAGGGGAGGGAGGGGGGAGGTAGGGGGTGAGTACATGTCTGTTCAACATTTCTCAATACATTCCTAGAGTAGGAAGCTAACAGTAATCCCCAATTTTCAGTGTCCTTGACCGAAAGCTGAGGGCCTTAAACTGCCATTGAATTGGATGAGTGAGTGAACGTTGTTTTACGCTGCCGTCAGCAATATTCCAGCTTTACCGCGGAAGCCTTTAAATAATTGACACTTCAGAAACAAAGCTAAGGTGGCGAACGGATCCTGGGTACTTATCAAAAATAGAATGGAGATTGAATACACTGGCTAACAGAGGATGAGATCTTCAAGGGCAAAGGGGGGGGCACAGGTGGCACAGTCGTCTAAGGTGCCGCGATTCGATGTGCAGAGTTGCGTCCCTTGGGCACGCCAGAAACCTATGATTGTGGGTTCGAATCCCTGTTCGCCCCGTTTATGTTTCTAGGGTTGTCAGCACCATACCCGTACTCGTGGGTTTCACCGAAGTGGTAAACGTCTGAGACCTGCACTGCATCACTTGGGGCTTTCCTCCCACATTAAGCTGACACACCGCGATATAACTGGAATACTGTTAAAAGCGGCATTAAACCCAACTCACTCACTCACTCAAGGGCAAAGGACCCCCTTCACACTGATGTCACTGTTAGTCAGGAGGCAGATCATCAGATGCATGTGGGCTGCCTGTACCGTGACAGTTAATGAAACAAATCATCTAATGCACCAAGTCAAACCAAACCAAATCCAAGATTCATGCAAGTCTGTTAACAAAGAATCCAATAACCTCCATCTTGTCATGCCCGCCTACATAACTGTATGATGTAAACAGTGTTGTTAGTTACTTATCACTGCTTCCTGTAGTATATAACAGCCGCATTCCTACACATGTAACACAGCAGCAGAAGAAACTAACAGTTTTAGTCCACTCGTCCTTATAATGATAACATATAGCAAAACCCTTAAAAAGGGCAAATTTCGACTAGTCCTTATGTGCCTTTACCATTGGGCAGTTTGCAGGGACTATAGCACTAGGGCCAATTTCTGAGACTGCAAAGGATAGATATCTGTGGCAAACACAGATAGATATGAATACACACGATAGACTAGATCTGGGGTGTTCAAAGCCGTTGTCAGAAAGCATGTTATTCCATGTCAGTGGTCTTTGTACAATCAAATTACAGTGTATTGTAGTCCTTGCCAAACTGCCCAATAGTTAAGGTATCACGAGAGCCAGTAGAATTTTGCCATTTTTATGAGTTTTTCTATACATGATCATCATAAGTACGAGTGAACTAAAACTGTTGGCTTCCATTGTTGATATTATTCCATGTCACTTGTCAATTCATGAGCATGTCATTCCATACTTTGTATATTTCTTGGTTTCAATGGGTTTTTTATGTCATATTTCACAAGTACAAGTCAAAGTTTCTAGTCCATGGACAGGTGCCCCTCTGTAACAGTCAACACCCGTGTCAGTACCGCCCGTTCATCTTACGACTCCCTGCAATAACCTGTCCCTGTACATGACCATGTTGATAATGAACTCCCGTTCATCTAACGACTCCCTGCAGTAACCTGTTCCTGTACATGACCATGCTGATAATGAACTCCCGTTTGTCTGATGATCCCCGCAGTAACCTGTTCCCTGTACATGACCATGCTGATAATGAACTCCCGTTTGTCTGATGACTCCCTGCAGTAACCTGTTCCCTGTACATGACCATGCTGATAATGAAATCCCCGTTTGTCTGATGATCCCCGCAGTAACCTGTTCCCTGTACATGACCATGCTGATAATGAACTCCCCGTTTGTCTGATGACTCCCTGCAGTAACCTGTTCCCAGTACATGACCATGCTGTTAATGAACTCCCGTTTGTCTGATGATCCCCGCAGTAACCTGTCCCTGTACATGACCATGCTGATAATGAACTCCCATTTGTCTGATGATCCCCGCAGTAACCTGTTCCCAGTACATGACCAGGCTGATAATGAACTCCCGTTTGTCTGATGACTCCCTGCAATAACCTGTCCCCTACATGACCATGCTGATAATGAACTCCCGTTTGTCTGATGACTCCCTGCAGTAACCTGTTCCCTACATGACCATGCTGATAATGAACTCCCGTTTGTCTGATGATCCCCGCAGTAACCTGTTCCCTGTACATGACCATGCTGATAATGAACTCCCGTTTGTCTGATGACTCCCTGCAGTAACCTGTCCCCTGTACATGACCATGCTGATAATGAACTCCCGTTTGTCTGATGATCCCCGCAGTAACCTGTTCCCTACATGACCAGACTGATAATGAACTCCCGTTTGTCTGATGACTCCCTGCAGTAACCTGTCCCTGTACATGACCATGCTGATAATGAACTCCCGTTTGTCTGATGACTCCCCGCAGTAACCTGTCCCTGTACATGACCATGCTGATAATGAACTCCCGTTTGTCTGATGACTCCCTGCAGTAATCTGTCCCTGTACATGACCATGCTGATAATGAACTCCCGTTTGTCTGATGATCCCCGCAGTAACCTGTCCCTGTACATGACCATGCTGATAATGAACTCCCGTTTGTCTGATGACTCCCTGCAGTAACCTGTTCCCTGTACATGACCATGCTGATAATGAACTCCCGTTTGTCTGATGATCCCCGCAGTAACCTGTTCCCAGTACATGACCATGTTGATAATGAACTCCCGTTTGTCTGATGATCCCCGCAGTAACCTGTTCCCTACATGACCAGACTGATAATGAACTCCCGTTTGTCTGATGACTCCCTGCAGTAATCTGTCCCTGTACATGACCATGCTGATAATGAACTCCCGTTTGTCTGATGACTCCCTGCAGTAACCTGTTCCCTGTACATGACCAGGCTGATAATGAACTCCCGTTTGTCTGATGACTCCCTGCAGTAACCTGTCCCTGTACATGACCATGCTGATAATGAACTCCCTGTTTGTCTGATGACTCCCTGCAGTAACCTGTTCCCAGTACATGACCATGCTGATAATGAACTCCCGTTTGTCTGATGACTCCCTGCAGTAACCTGTCCCCTGTACATGACCATGCTGTTAATGAACTCCCGTTTGTCTGATGACTCCCTGCAGTAACCTGTTCCCAGTACATGACCATGCTGATAATGAACTCCCGTTTGTCTGATGACTCCCTGCAGTAACCTGTCCCTGTACATGACCATGCTGATAATGAACTCCCGTTTGTCTGATGACTCCCTGCAGTAACCTGTCCCTGTACATGACCATGTTGATAATGAACTCCCGTTTGTCTGATGACTCCCTGCAGTAACCTGTTCCCAGTACATGACCATGCTGATAATGAACTCCCTGTTTGTCTGACGACTTCCTGCAGTAACCTGTTCCCAGTACATGACCATGCTGTTAATGAACTCATGCAGGATTTCCCGTAGTCAGTCAATCTCACACCTCTCACATTCATGATGCAGATCAGGTTTATATCCATTCCTTATCATATGTTCCATCTCAAACAATAGAAATACACACAGGTAAACATGCTATTTGGATAAAACAACTAAAAATTATACGTGACAAACCATGAGAGAAGGAACCTTATGGGTGAAAACTCACATTTTGAATTCTTATTACCGTATTCGACGTAATAAGCGCCCAGGGCGCTCTCAAAATTAGAAATAGGGGGCTCTTATTAGAATATTATTTTGGTGAATAAAACAGAGTTAAAAGATAAATTTTGTGGTTTATGCTGACAGCCTGAAATGTTTATATACGACAGATATATTTTTCCAGAATTTAATTGCCCATAATTGAGGGTGCATATTACACACGAGTGCGTATTATACACAAATAAATAGGTCTTGTGTACATTGATCAATCGGAAGGGGTGCTAATTGGGATTGTTCACTAGCCAATATATTAGCAAATAACGCCGTGGGCGCTTATCAGAGCGGGGCGCTTATTACGTCGAATACGGTATATATTAAAAGTACTGTGTCTTGGGACCACAAATTACCATGTATTTATAAGCTTTAATTCATATTTATTACAGAGATACATGGCATCAAACATTCGGACTCATTTTCTGCAAGGTCCCTTTTAAGATTTAATGTCTGATTGATTGACAGTAGACATGTATGCTGGAATGTTTCGAAATAATGTATTTATTGATTACGAACTAACCCGTGAAAAATAAGATATTTTTGTACAGTCCGCACACATGAATTTCCTTTGGGGAAGTAAGTTGACGTCAAACGTCTTTCTTTATGACGTCACAGCAGTATTGTATCCCAGCACCCATAAGGTCCCTTTTCTCCTGGTGGGTCACATATAAAGAATAAAAGCTTGCTAGCTGGTATGTCTACAACGCTGATCTGAATTCCAGCCAATCACAAACCTAGGTCAGCTCCATTATAAAATGTTTATGTTGTTACAATAATAGATTCTGGTGGAAATTTCGTAGCAATTATTCAAAAATTATTTATACAAATCCTATTACCACACTGATTATTAATTTGCAAGCATTTCCATTACTTTATAAAAAATCAGATTAAGATAAAATCTGATACTTTGATGCTGACTTGTAATTTCTTGAAACTGTGTAGGAAATATGAGATATATATGCTGGAATCCAAATCAGTCCCCGACACTAGTAAAACTGTATGTAACAGAAGCTGCCATCCCCCTCTGTTCCCCTGCACCACCGATGCATGACGCGGGGGTCAACTTACAGGGCTTCTTGGACGCTGGGGGTGGGGGTATGCGCGACGCCATGGACGGCGGCACCTTGTCCCCGATCACCTCCACACACTCACTCGGGAAGAAACCAACCTGGGAATACAAACATCAACAACTGTGTCGAAAGTGTAAAATGAGTTTGAGCGTGTTGCAATCTGATCGGTTGAAATACATGATTAAATGGGATTCGAAGTCCAGACGTCTCCTGGGCTATTCACTACGCATGAATAGTTTTCCTGATAAGCCTATTTTTTTCTTCAATCCCAAATTTAGAACAACAATATTAAATATTATGTTGGATCAATATTTATCAGAACTTTGATTAAGTTGGGGTTTTTTCACATTCTGCTGACAAGGCAAGTTCAGTTATCATGTAAGCTGTGATATCATTAGGGGCCACTATTGGGGCTATTTTCACTATTGCGATTGTAATTGCTCTAGTAGCCCACACTATTGCAGTTGTATTGCGATATTAGTTAACTATTGCAAAATATTGTGATCGAAGTAAAAACTCACTTTTATGCATAACAGAAACAAATAAAAGTATTGGTTACAATCCTCCCTGTGGCAAACTCAACCCAAAGGGAAGTAACTCTCATCTGCCGATCATGAGACTTCAAAAGTTTGAGATGGTCCCTCCTTACCTCAAACCCTCTCTTCCCGCGCCACCAAATGGTATCATCCGCTGGAGGCATGTCGATCACAGACACAATGTCACCCACCTGCAACAGGGATCATATCAAAACTAGAATAGCTCTTGTAAGACAAGCATTGCACCCGAAGATTGATTTGCAAATTCTGTAAACAGTGATGTGGTTTGACAAAATGGATGAAAAGTTGTGTCTGATGAAATACTGTTGGATCACTTCAGATGCAGTACATAATATGTAACAGTCAGTTCAGTGACAATCATGGTGGCTTCTCATTAGCTGACTCGATCTCCTGCCTGCCAAGTCCTCCTTAAACAGTCTGTGGCAAAGGGTGTGAGTGGGTTTTAACATCGCTTTGAACAGTATTTCAGTTATATCACATCGTGTCAGATCGATGTGGGAGGAAATCCAGAAGTGACTTACATCGAGAGATATTTCATCTACAGCTTGAGCATTGTAGCGCTTGACGACGTGCGCAGCGGCAATGGCTGGTGTGTTGATGCCCGAGTCGTCCACAGCCAGCAGCCGGTTACCCCGATTGTCAATCTGCAACATGGACATTAAGAGGATTATTAAAAAAAAACAAGTCACAAATTCTAGTATTCAGGGTCCCGTTCCACAAAGCGATCGTAGCGCTACGATTGTCGTAAGTCTATGTTAAAGTATTTGAGTTACGATTGTCTTAGTGTTATGATCGCTTTGTGGAACGTGGCCCAGAATATCAACTTCATTATTATTTTCTTATTAAATGAAAGAGTGAGAAATGTTTTACACAATTTTCAGCAGCATTCATCATTATCGAGGAACACCAGAAAATGGCTTCAGAAATGTACCCATGTTCAGACCTGAATCCAGGTCTTTGGTGGAGAGGGAACATTTCAACCACAAGGCTACCCCCGTATCTATAGAGTTGCCCCACAACCTACCTCCAACCAGTTGAGCACCGACCCACAGTTGATCATACTTCCAGCAATCTCGGAGAAGTGCTTCAGGTACCTCCTCAATGCCCTCTCCAACTCCTGCAACAACAACAACAACAACGGTCAATAACAGGAAGAACGTGACACCAACACAGCCATTATCTGATGGGGCTAACACCATCTCTCTCACATGATACCACCCAATTGAGAGTTCAGACCTTCCAATTGAGAGTTCAGACCTTCCAATTGAGAGTTCAGATCTTCCAATTGAGAGTTCAGATCTTCCAATTGAGAGTTCAGATCTTCCAAAATTGAGAGTTCAGATCTTCCAATTGAGAGTTCAGACCTTCCAATTGAGAGTTCAGATCTTCCAATTGAGAGTTCAGACCTTCCAGTTGAGAGTTCAGACCTTCCAATTGAGAGTTCAGATCTTCCATTTGAAAGTGCCGAGCATCCAATTGAGACTTTAGACCTTCCAATTGAAAGTGCCGAGCATCCAATTGTGACTTCAGACCACCCTGTTGAGATTACAGGTCTCTAAATTGAAAGTTCAGATCTCCCAAAGCAGAGTTCAGACCACCCAATTAAGAGTTCAGGTCTCCAATTGATAGTTCAGGCCTACAAACTGATATTTCAGGCCTACAAACTGATAGTTCAGACCACCAAATTAGGAATTCAGATCACCCAATTGAAAGTTCAGATCTCCCAAATCAGAGTTCAGATCTCCCAACTGAGTGTTTAGACAACCCCATTGAGAGCCCAGTTTCATTCTCTCATCCACCATGTTTAGAACATATATGGAGCAACTTGCATGTCTCTTAAAGTTAAACGACTCATTCCTAAACTGTTCCGTGGGATGCCTGGTGATAACTACTCACACCACTTATAACACCATTTCTGTCACGTCGTGGAACAACGCAGATGCAACACAAATGCTAAGAGAAACGCTTCATTTACCAAGACAAAATTTATCTATATATTCCTGACAAAGCACATGCCTTAGAACAACTCATATTCCTGTAGAATGGAAAATATGAAGAATAATCTCCTTTCGTTCTTGTCATGAAACGTCAGTGGCAACATGTAGGCTGTAGGCATTAATCCAGAGTGGAGCAAGTTCCCTTGAAAACATGGGTAACCTTCAGACAGGATGTGGCAAAGAGCTTTGTGTTCAGAGTGTTCAAGGGACACGATGGTGATCCTTCAGACAGGGGTGTCAAGGTCAGAAACAGTGAACACCAGTGTGTGGGCTAGTACGTCATGACTACTGTGTGTCCAGTTGTTGAAATCATGACACAATGGATGTGATTAGGAATGAATCACTGGTTCAGCAGATGCACTGGACTCCATGACAGAACAGAGTTGTCTCCCTTTGCCTGTAGTTAATCCAGGGAACAAATCCTGGCAATGAATAATAGCTTGGATCTCTATTAGTCATAGACAAACACCAAGAGCATAGTTAGATCATTGCTACAGTAATCCCCGTAGCACACTCACAAGAAAGTCAGTCAGTGTGTTGTTGACTGGGAGTACATGTTGAACTTATTGAAGAGGTCAAGTAAAAAGGTACTATTCCCGGTATTCAGGCCTATAAGCATACACTGTATAACATCTTCCTCTGCTGGTACACATGCCTTTATTCAGAGAGTAAGTTTGTTTTTAAATGACTCCAAGGTTACTGTATGTCTTCATGAACATACTGTCTGTACACAGCATAAAGTCATCCTGCACATGACTTTATCCAGGTCACAAAAAATTTAAGTTTGTTTTTCAAATTTCGAGTAGGTTATGTTGTTGCCAGCAAGTTGCCATGACTAACTCACTGAATGTTGTATGACATGGCTTAAGAATGCCAACTAGTGAGGGCCAGGTTGTACAGCTTGTGTCTGCCACTTCCTGTATCTGCTGACCTTTGTCCCCATGGGCAGTCTGTGTGCAGTAATTGCTCTTGTTCTCGGGAAAACAGTAATTGCCCCTTGTGTTAGTAACAACGCCCCTTGTGTTAGTAACAACGCCTCTCCATGTGTTGTGTCTTGTACAGATCTTGCAGTGTTTATTCCTTGCTGTGGGTTGGAAGGAGCCAATACTGGAATAATTGGTCCATCAAGAAATACAAATTAAGTCATGTTTGACTTCACTGGAAGATCCATCATGTTTCCTTGTCATGGTTACATAGAAAGACTTTTTCTCCCAAAGATGTGACTACATCTCGTCACCTACTGTTGTCAAGTCTCCATCCCCTGCTTTGACATCTTTTCTGACATTGACATGACCTACTTCTTCCTTGGCAAAAGAATCAGTCTTCAGTCCACAGTCTGAGAACAAGGATAAAAGAGATCTTCATTTTTGTGGTATTATCATATAAATATTGATCCACATGGCTCAGATTACACATTTCATCAACATACACTATGACAATTACAGTTCCGACAAGCACCTGTAACGTTCCGACAAGCACCTGTCACGTTCAGACAAGCACCTGTCATGGCACAATCCCTGAACAACATGACAGTCCTATAGTGCCACATCCATGACAGAGCTGTTCAAGTCAGCATCTTTTATCCGGTCCTGAATATTGCAACTTCTGCTCCTACCAGGGAAACTTTACTTCTGAAGTAAGGTTCTGTGTCACTGAAGTTTGTCACGAAGAAATCTCGACAGACTCCACAATCAATATCCACATCACATGTTGACTTGTCTTGTGTGGGAGTTGTGGGAAGTACAAGGGAGCAATCACTGATGGAAGCTTGTCTTCCTTCGCCTCAGGCTTCAGGCCCAGAGTCACCTTTATCTTCTCATCTTATTTATCCCACAGTGCCTACCGTATTCAACGTAATAAGCGCCCAGGGCGCTCTCAAAATTAGAAGTAGGTGGCTCTTCTTAGTATAAAATTTTGGTGGAAAAAAAGTCTTAAAAGATCGTAAATTTTGTGGTTTATGCTGACAGCCTGAAATGATACAAAAGAAAAGTCTGTGTGTATTAGACACGACAGATATATTTCTTCAGAATTTAATTGACCATTGTATGGGGTCCATATAACACACGAGTGCATATTATACACAAATAAATAAGTCTTGTGTACATTGATCAACTGGAAAAGGTGCTAACTGGGATTGTTCACTAGCCAATATGTTAGCAAATGTCGCCGTGGGCGCTTATTAGAGCCGGGTGCTTATTACCTCGAATACGGTAACACTGTCACAACGCTCCAATGCACAGGCAACTTCTACAACACATTCTCTTCAACACTTCCTCCATCTCTGGATTTCGTCACAGTTTGCTCATGAATAATTGTCACAACTTTTCACCGAAAAGCAAACTACTTCATCAACGTATCCCCTCAACTCCTCAGAATTTGATATTCCATATAAACTTGATCCATGTGACAAATCATGTGAATATTGTCCACATTTCTTCTTCTCTACTGCTATCTCCAGTATTTCTTGATGTTCCTCTGATGCTGACAGAACTTTATCATAAGGAAAACACCCGAGAATTCAATGTTCCGATATTCCACCTAAACATGATCAATGTCACAAATCAACTGAAAGGGTCCACGATTCTTGATAACACTTTCTGTGTGTCAAATGTTGCCTCTGGGATGTTGAGATATTCCTCTGACGCTGACAGAAGTTATAACAATATTTTCACCAAACTTGTCCGTCAGGAAAACACATGAAGACCCATCCTGTCCACCACCTGGGCAGTTAATACTCCACAAGATCCATATCACAGTAACATGTGACGGAATATATTGCTAAGTTCAGGTTGATGAAAGTTTCAAGGATTCCTCATTTCCTTTCAAGGGATGAAAACTGCATCAATGTTTTGAAATCTGCGAACATTTTCCACAACTATCACTTCCTAGCTGTTGCCTTTAACAAGCCATGGCATTTGAGGCAGTGAGTTGGTCAGAGATGTTCCAGCCAGGCAGTGACTCAGCCAATCACAGCCACATCACATGTCGTACACAGGTCTTGATCAACACCAAGGGGAGCCACACAATAACATGTGCTTCTCTCATCACCGCTCATTTTATTCAATTATCCCCAGGGTGATTCACATGCCTCATGACTTCACCATCATATGTTCACATGAAATGATGACATCATATAATCATGTGCACACAAAGTGGTGACATCACAGTTTGTAAGTTCTATTAATATTCACATGAAATAATGTCAGCAAATGACTGTTGTCAATCACATTCAGAACAAACAAAATGTGAAGTTTTTTGTGTGGAAGGAACAAAATGCTTCACTATACAAGTCTTTGAAGAACAGTGTTAGAAATTGCCACTAGTCCTATAGTCCCAGTCCAATAGTTAAGGTATCATAAGGACTAGCAGACATTTGTCATTTTCATGGGTTTGGCCATATGTTCTGATTGTCAGGACGAGTGGACTAAAATAAAGCTGTTAGTTATGGAATGAACAACATACTTAACTTTACAAGTCATCAACATAGAAATCATCAGAAACTATCCTGAGGAACACACTTGAAACATATATGCATTTGACAAGTTACTCAAACAGATACTATAACATTCCCACTTTGAAAGTGACGACAAGAAACTAGTGCTTAAACTGAACTGTTGTCTCACTTAGACATGTTGGACCAAGGCCCCATAAGCACTTTACTGGTCTGCCAACTCAAGTACATGTATTTAGGACGTAGTGAAATTACTCACTGGTGTCCCTATACATGGGCATTATCTCCACTTCACACAGGGTTCATGTTCCAGAGTCTAGACCTGGACTCAAACATGGCCACTAAACATTAGGCTTAAAAAAAGAAAAGAATTGGTTCTCAGGCAATGTATTTTGAAAATTTCTGTTTTATTTTTTTTGCCTGTTCAAACTAGGATAACCAAATATACAGTTCTGTACCATCAACCTGGGAAAGGGCCTCCCTACATAAACAAGCATACAAACTCCTATTGCCGCCGTGACCATAACACGAGATCGCAGTACATCAACCTGGGAAAGGGCCTCCCTACATAAACAAGCATACAAACTCCTATTGCCGCCGTGACCATAACACGAGATCGCAGTACATCAACCTGGGAAAGGGCCTCCCTACATCAACAAGCATACAAACTCCTATTGCCGCCGTGACCATAACACGGGATCGCAGTACATCAACCTGGGAAAGGGCCTCCCTACATAAACAAGCATACAAACTCCCATTGCCGCCGTGACCATAACACAAGATCGCAGTGAAGCAGTGTGCATGTATAGGGAAGTAACTGTGTGCTATATTGGATCGCATTATTTTTAAGTATTGGGAATTTTTAATTTTTTTTAAAATGGAAATATAAACGAAACAGGCGGCAGACTTTATGATGATGTGGGCGGTGCCTGAGAACCAAGACTACTTTATTTTTAGTCTTAATAAAACAGGGTGCCGTTGTACAAAGCAATCTTAGCGCTAAGGTGATCGTAACTACCATACCTTAACATAGACTTGCGACAGTTGTAGCACTAAGGTTCTTTTGTACAACGGCACCCAGGGCCCTGTTTCACAAAGTGATCTTAGCACTACACCTACCATTATGTGAGTTAGGATTGTGTCAGCACTTTGATGGCTCTGTCAAACCAGTTCCCATGGCCCCATCTTCAGATGAGTCGGTTTAAGTTTAACTACTTCAGCATCTAATTGCTTATTCTAAGAACATCACCAAATTAAATCCAGCTGCTCAACTTCATGTGAGATTAATGCTGATCTAGTCCAGAACAGTAAACATTTGCCAAACTACTCCCTGCTGTCTATAAAGACTATGTTTGGTGCCAGCAAGTTAAACTATTTACATCAGATTGTTGGCAACGAGAAACATGGTACCTTGGCTCCAACTTCTTCTTAAAATATTCCCGATTAAAGGCATCCTTGCATGTTTACATGACAACAGATTGATACTAATATTGTGTTCAAAGATTTCAGGACAACTATTATTGTATAGTGGGCAGTAAAGAGGACCCCAGTTGAAAATCTGAAGGTTTTAGTTTGGTATGACTGCAGCCAAAATACAGGATTTATGGCAATGATGTAATAGAGGTAGAGGATTTGTAAGAGTTATTGTGTTCAAAGATGAAGGCAGATGACCAAGGGAAAGAGCTCATATTCTAATTTGTCTTCATAAGAGCCCTGTCTTTGTCCAAAGCAAAGGGTTGAACATCCATTATGGACTCTTATGAAATTACCAACTTTTACTCCTTAAGAGACATAGTAAGGCTAAGCCATGAATTAAAATGAAGTTTCAAGTGACACAGTAAGATGGCTCCATTGTCTTCAAAATAACAAAAAATCAAATAATCAGTACTGTAAATCAGGAAATTAATGCGTCTCCAAAAGAATGCGACCACTGGCCCCTAGCCAAAAATGCGACTCAATATGAATGCGACATCCCCCCTCCTCTCAAGCGTCAGTAGATTTCTATCTAAAGAAAATGTCCTCTGTGAGGTTTACAGGAGAGTCCTCGCCTGATTCCAATCTTACATTAATCCGATCACACACTAAATAGCACTGCTTATTAGCGCTGACTAGAGTACTTCCGCTAAAACAATACATGTGCGCTGGCTCGTGTGGGCCTTTGACGCAGTTGCAAAGAACAAAACATCGTGTTGCATGGGTGGCGTCTGTCTGGACTTTCAGGTGTGATCAGTGATGACATAAGTGAGTAGAACACTTGTCTTGACCCAAGCAGTGACAATTCACAGGACGTAATTAGTGTTTGAATGACAATGTTTATATACTTGTTACAAGTGCTGCTCAATAAACAGTAGTGTGGAATACATAGTTGGTTTTTTTCAGCATATGTCTAAGTTGGTATTCCTGCTATCTAAAATGTCTCATTTCAATATAAATGCGATGTTTAATAATGTGCACAAAGGCCTTTCGCATTTTTCGCATTTAATACACACTTGCGTTAATTTCAAGATTTACAGTATTTCATGACTGTCCTGCTTCATTTCTGATGTTGAACCCACCTTGTTGTTCTTGCCGGAGTCCACCTCTTTCTGTAGTTCCGACAAATGACTGAACTTGCGGTCGAAGATACACTTGTGGAGCTGTCGGTCCAGCATACGAAAATTGCCATACGTCCGCCGTACGTTCCACGTTTTGTCGCTGGACTTGACGCGGAGGAGGTACGAGTATTCTCCATTCTCTTCCTCATTGTGGTGGTAGTTCTCCCGATCTTCCTCACACAGCTGGACCTAGGGTAGATAACCAGGGACTACAGCACCATCTATACACGACGGTTGCATCGTTCGAGTTGGTTGGTTTGTTGTTTAACATCGCACTCAGCAATATTCCAGCTATGTGACGGCGGTCTGTAAATAATCGAGTCTCGACCAGACAATCCAGTGATTGATATCATGAGCATCGATCCACGCAATTGGGATTGATGACCTGCATCAACCAAGTCCGCGAGCCTGACCACCTTATCCCGTTAGTCACCTCTTACAACAAGCATAGTCGCCTTTTAGGGCAATCATGGGTTGCTGAAGACCTATTCTACCCCATGGGTCGTATCGTTAAAGAGTTACCAATTAAGTATCAACTATAATCAATCATCGGAATATCCTCATAACTATAGGTTCACTTTAAGATGAGAGATCCAATCTCCATTTCAATGGGTTCCTACAAGCATGGGTACAGGAGACGACACCTTGCCAGGAATCACCCTGGTTACTTCGGTAGCTGCCACACATACCTCGAGAGGTCCCAGTTCAACCGATTCATAGTGGAAATGAGCACATTCCTCCAGCTTCGGAAAGCGTGTAGAGCCGTCGAACACTCCACTGTGGACAGAAGACACAATGGTGAGCATGATTCATCAGTCAAATACAACTGGCATAAGGGTCTAATACTGGCACTATGGTCTAGTATCTCTGCTATGGTCTAAAATTGACATTATGGTCTGATATTTGAACTATGGGCGAATATCTGCGTTATGGTCTAAAATTGGCACTATGGTCTAAAACTGGCTGTATGGTATAATACTGGCACTATGGAATAATACTGGCAGTATCTGGCACTATGGTCTAACATCTGCACTATGGTCTAACATCGACACTGTAGCATGATATCTGCACTATGATCTAAATTTGGCACTATAGTCTAATACTGGCCCTTTGGTCTAATAAAAGACTATCAACACTGTGGTCTGGTATTGACACTTGGTCTAAAATTATCATGGTCATATATTGGACTTAGGGTCTAAATTGGCCCAATGGTCTGATATTGATACTATGGTCTAAATTTGGCCATATGGTCTAATATTCTCACTATGGTCTAATATTAGCACACTGGTCTAAAACTGACACTGAGTAAATTTAGACAATTGAGTTCTAATACCTACACAATGGTCTAATATTGTCACTATGGTCTAATACCTACACTATGGTCTACTATCTACATTGTGGTCTAATATTGTCACTATGGTTTAATACCCACACTATGGTCTAATACCTACACTATGGTTTAACACCTACACTATAGTCTAATACCTACACTATGGTCTAATACCTACACTATGGTCTAATAAAGACATCATAGAAGGTCTAACTTCAGCACTCTAAGACTAGAAGACTAGAGCCAGTATGGTTCCATTGTATACTCTGGCCTCACTGTCAGTCTGGATGTTCAAACGACCCATCACACATTTGTCATACAACCACAGTAACATAATTACTAACTTGAAATGAGTATCTTACAGCATTAGAAATTAGCACTAGTCCTTGTCGAACTGCCCAATAGTTAAGCTATCCTAAGAACTAATAGAAATGTGCCCTTTTTAAGGGTTTTTTCTACACACCATCCTTTTCAGGACTAGAGACTAAAACTGTTAGTTTCTACTGCTGTATCATGTACTCTGCAAACTCACAAGAATCAAGATTCTGCCAAAGAATCACTTTCTGAAAACAAAATCACAGCTACCTTCCCATTAGCTGTGTTGACACAGCTGTAGATACAACGATGGTGCCCATCTGGTACAGCCAGGCTTGAGGACATTCACCTGTCTACACATCACACACATCACACACACACACACACACAGACAGAGGAACGATACTTTTAAACACACCAGATGCTTCGTGGACCTAGCTTATTATTAGTTCCTGGTTCGTGACTTATTAAACAGACCCCAGGTGGACGGACGCAGATGTAAAAGGGGTAGCTGCTGCCGTTACGTAATGCCGCAGATCGTGTTTGTTATGTAAGTTGAGCCTTTACTTAACACATGCAGCTTTTGTAAGTGTTGGAATGTTATTCCATCAGGATTTGTATGTATCAGCGTGTGTGACATGCACACAGCGAGCCCATTAGCTGGCCACTCCATGATGTTGATGTTCAGCATCTGATTCCATGACACAACACTGCAGCTGCAACACCAGTATGACTGTCGTATCTTTGTCCTCATCTACTGAAGTGATGTGTCTACACATCTACTGACCAAGAGGAGTCTGTCCAGCATCTACTGACTCAGGTAGTGTCTACCATCTACTGACTCAGGTAGTGTCAACCATCTACTGACTCAGGTAGTGTCAACCATCTACTGACTCAGGTAGTGTCAACCATCTACTGACTCAGGTAGTGTCTACAATCTACTGACTCAGGTAGTGTCAACCATCTACTGACTCAGGTAGTGTGTCTCCCATCTACTGACTCAGGTAGTGTGTCTACCATCTACTGACTCAGGTAGTGTGTCTGCCATCTACTGACTCAGATAGTCTGACTACCATCTACTGACTCAGATAGTCTGTCTACCATCTACCTACCTGGAGTGGTGTCGTATCTTCATGCTGCTGCTGCTACATCGGGACTCCAGGCTGGAGGAGCTATCATACACCGGCAATATGCCTCCGCCCTGAAACACACAGACACTTACATGTATACTGACATAATGAAAACATTACATCAGTAATAGTACAAATGGTGGATACAGAGTGAGTGAGTGTGTATGGTTTTATGCCGTGTTTTGGGGGACACCAGAAATGGGCAGCACACATTGTACCCATGTGGGAAATTGAAACGAGCGAATGTCTTAACCGTTTGGCCCCGACTGCCTGTTTTATCAGGCAGCATAAACGATAGCCCAGTCCACTGATGCTCGATAAATCAGGCAGCTACTGTCCAAGTCCCTCACACGGCTGACCGCTGAATCGGGCGGCATGAACGTGTTTACAAAATCGCTCATTCTACTTCCTTTCTCGTGTGTAATCTCGTTCTAAAAATAGAAACGAGATCTAGACGCAATGACACTTCATTCCATGGAAATTCCCTGTCTTAATGGCACGAAAATCGAGGATAGGATACGTGTTTTCGCGACAGGTATATTCTCTTGCTTGAATCGGTAAATCTAGCGTAATGGCGGCCAACTACGATTCGGATAGCGATCAGATGTCTGATAACGAATTTATCGGGAATAATAATGTGTATCCATCCCCCACCCCCCCAACTTTCAAGAATGGGAGTGGCAGAGGGACAACAACGGTGGAGACATGAGGGATTTTGAAGAGGAGACAGGGCCCAAGAATACTTATTGACATGGTGAGTGAAGAGAGTCGTGCTATTGATTTTTTCCAACTGTTTTACAATGATTCTGTGTTTGAAAAGATTATGAGGGCGACGAATGAGAATGCAGCCGACAAGTGAATGAGCGATGATGTATCCCTTTTTTAAAAATGTATTTCTCTGATCGCAATCCGAATTGTAGTTGGCCAGTTGGTCACATGTCCTTGTATTTTGCTAAATTTGAATAAAAATTGATTTCCATATTCATGTTTTTTTTCTTGTTTTTTACATCTTAGTTTAAATATTTGTAGCTTATCAGTTAAGTCCAGTGATTGATATCATGAGCATCGATCCACGCAATTGGGATCGATGACCAATTCTAGCCCGGATCTTCACGGGTCTGTTACGCTAAAGACTACTGACAGAGCCATAGTAAAGGTCACTGACTTCATCAGGAACCCATCCCAGAGTAACACATTTCTAAAATACTGGTTAAGTTTACAAGATGGTATTTAGGGTTCCTTCAATGAGTAGTTGTGAACTGTCTTGGCTGAAACATGGCTGAAACATTCTGTGAATAACGTCTGTGTTGTTCGACCAGCTGTAAGTAAGAAGCAATTACTGCAGTGAGATTGTGTCAAGCCCCACTCAATCTGGGTATCACCTCGCACAGATACTGCAGCAGCCCTTAAAACAGAGTGACAGTTGTAGGGCTGATAGTATCTCAGTGTGTCACTGCACGGCTGCTGTCAGGACAACTGTACACGGTGGCAGTGAGAAAACAATTAGTTCTGCTTCTTCATGAGCCGACACAGGACTTTTGACGTCTCGAGATCCAATCTGGACATATTTCTCTGGGTTCTGTGTCGGCATGGGGCAATACGGGCAGTTGTAACTGATCCTTCATACATGTTTCAGGAGTGAGTGAGTGAGTGAGTGAGTGAGTGAGTGAGTGAGTGAGTGAGTGAGTGAGTGAGTGAGTGAGTGAGTGAGTGAGTGAGTGAGTGAGTGAGTGAGTGAGTGTGTGGGTGTGTGAGTGTGTGAGTTTTTCATAGTGTTAAGCATCATGCCACCATATGATGAATGGTCTGAATGTGGGAAATATAAAAAGGTGTTCGGTGAGAGCAGCTATTGCTGTAAAATCTGGGATACCCCATCCCTGGAAGATACACACTCATGTTTCATAAGAATCTGCTTATTGAGGGTTCAAATCCAATTTTACAATGACCCTTCGGTCTGCCAGCGCCATACCTGTGTTTCAGAGAGAATTTACTTTACATAACGATCCACAAAACTGTCATGGACTGGGATGCCTCAGCCTTGTTCCAAGGCTTACTGAATAAGTCCATGGGTGAACAGTAATTCTATCCTTGAAATAGGCAAGTCTAGATATGTGGACAAAGGACTAAGAACGCCAGTCTCATATAGACAACTTGTTCTTATTATTTATATAATCTAGAAATTATGATTTAAACTAATATTATTTTTGTCTTAGAGACTTGTGCAAGTCTCGGTATGCCTGAGCGACACCTTGTCCATGGTGGAATCAGACTGGTGTCTGGGATGGCATTTCCATTAGAGTGAGACCCCTCAGTGAGTAAGTACACCCAGTAATATATTGCCTTGTTTGGTTCCCCGGGTTCCACACCACCCATGGAGGAGCTCCGTCCCCACCACAAGGCAGGCGATACTTGAGGAAGTGAGTGAAACAGGGCATGCTACTTTCCTGTAAACTGATCCACGCATCCTGCACTCCTCCAGAACCAAGAAAACAGGTCATACTCTAACAAAGAGATGAAACTGAACACTTGCAAACCATATTTCAAAGATTGACAACCACTTAGTGTGAAGTGTTTCTGGGGTGGATATTTATACCTTTTATCACAGATCTCATCCGTCAAAATGACAAAATAATGTTGAAACCTTTTTTTTGTCACTGCATGTTGGAAGCAGAATATTAAAAAGAAAAAAAACCTTTTTAGACTGACAATTGAAATGTTTGAATACATAAAAGTAACAACAGCATATCAAAATTGAAATATAAAAATATTTTGATCTTAAAAAGAAATTGTGAACAACAACAGTATACCATGAGAATGAAGAAAACAAGTATGAAATCAACTTCAGTTCACAAAATCAACTTTTGCTGTGACAAAGAGAGGATATTCAAGGTCCTCCAGATAATGGTGAATGTTTGAGAATACCTTCCAGTCTGGTTAAGGTAGACCTCCATGTTATATCACTTTGGGCCTACCATGTCTTGTTGCAATAACAGGCTTGACAGAGCTGGGCGCCAAGGAATAGACCATTTCCACTCAACTGACGCACCTTTCTGAGAATAACCCTTGGCAGATACACAAATTATATCGTAGGCGTGGACAAACATTAAACTTGTATAGCTTACCATTACATACATCATAGTGCTGAGATCTGTGTCTGCCTGAGGAATACAGAATGTATCATGTGGAGAATATCAGCTATATCACACTAGGCTGTGTAAACCAGGGAATCACTGGCTGGAATCAGTTCTTGATGACCTGCATCACTGGGAGTCATATACTATGTTGGAACTGTTCAATAAAATCCTGGAATGCAATAATTCCTCCTTTTGACTATTTGCGACCATAGACAATAGGAACGGGCTCCTCATGAGGTAGGTCTGAGGGGAATACAACTGGCAATTCCTTCCAAGCTCAGGACCGGAGTCAGTCTGTCATACAGACCCTGATACAAATATATCCAATACCACCCATGCAAGTCTATAATGTTTGGCAAGTCTAGATTACTGCAGACCCTGATACAAATATATCCAATATAGCCCATGCAAGTCTATAATGTTTGGCAAATCTAGATTACTGCAGACCCTGATACAAATATATCCAACACAGCCCATGCAAGTCTGTAATGTTCGGTGAGTCTAGAATACTGCAGTACCAGGAAAATGAACGGAGTCTATGGGCTTCTTTTCATTATATATACATATTAAGATAATTGTTTTTTACTGTAAGATATGTTCATTTCAGAGACTAGATGTTAGTCTAGATGGGAGTAATCACAGGGCATCCTGCCATGACCACAGCTTCATTTCATGCCCTGGGTACAGGAAGATTTGTAATGATATTGCAGCTGTCTAAACGAACGGTCACAACCCATTACCATCCATAACACACAGGGCAACTGCTGGATCTACTCCAAGACAGAAACATGGTTGCAGAAATAGCCTAACATGTCACACGTCAATGAAATACCTGACAACCTGAGTGAGTGAGTGAGTGAGTGAGTGAGTGAGTGAGTGTTTGCTTAAAGCCGCACTCAGCAATATTCAAGTTATATGACAACAGCCTGTAAAGAACCGAGTCTTTACAAGACAATCCAGTGATTGACATCATGAGTATCAATCCGCGCAAATGGGATCCGATGACATGCATCAACTAAGTCAGCAAGCCTGGCCACCCGATCCCGTTAGTCGCCTCTTACGACAAGCACAACTATTCAGGTCCACAACAGCCACTAAGCTGGTATGACTAGTCCAGTCCATCCACTGCCTGCCCTATGGGTAATGGCCGAGAAGTGTGATCTATTCGGGCTCCTCATACCGGAGCTATTACACAGCATAGTTCCGCTATATAAAGAGTGAGTGCTAATTCAGTGGAACAGAGAGACTTGAATGTGTTGATGCGTCTAACAGAGGCAAGTATTTCCATCCCTCCCAGGCCCCAGTACACAGAAGGGATGAATCACACCCTCCCAGGCCTGGTACACTCACTGGCTTCAGGACAATCTAACCTGCAGGTGCAACACATCAACAGCCATTGTTTTATGCCGCAGTCAGCACATTTACACCGCAGTCTGTATGTCAACAAGGTCTGGACAAGTGCTTCAGAGTGATCTCTGTCATCAGGGTAAAATGACACACAGTCAGTCAGGCCTTCCACAGTAATGACAAATTCTAACAGCTTCTTATCACAAGTTGGTTACATCAGGATATATTTGTCCAACCCACACATTATTCTCATGCCTACTTTTATGATGTCTATCTTGGGTCTTAATCAGAAATGAGATGTTTCTTTGCTGCTTACCGCCATAGTCAGCAATCCCTCCGTGAACCTCAACCTGACCACCCAATTCACTTAGTTGCCTTAAGACCAGCATAGGTTGCCAAGGGAACCAATTCCAACCCCCCAATCCTCATGGGGACCACCCAGACGAATTTCTAAAGTAGGGCATTTAAACACAAAGGTTACATGTAGATTTATCTGCGATAAATTGAATTTGGAACCAAACTTGCAGCATATTGCCTCACATCCTTTGAATATTGTAGTAACCACAACTTCGCATTTGCAACTTATAATT